TTACCTTTGTCATTACGGCGAATATTTATCAGTCTGTGATCTTCTGTTAATTGCAATACCACTAACATGTGCCCAATACATGGGCACCAACATGTGCCCAACACATGGGCACCAACATGTGCCCAACAGATGGGCACCAACATGTGCCCAACACAGTGGTATATTTGTAGATGAGATTGCTGAAAATTTGCTATGTACATCAACTAAAGATATTAGAAACAGCAAGGTGGGAATTTCAAGGGAGATGATTCAGTAAATGAAGCAATTAAAACAAGAGTTATCGGTGTTGTCTGTGGAAAGTGCTGGCCACAGACCCGAGTAAATCAAAGTTTTTTTTAATTAAAAAATGTTTATAGCAGTTTTATTAACTTTTATTCTGTTTGAATGGACATTGTTTAAAAACGCAGACGACATAGCTTCCTGTAGCAGACGGTATGTTGTAGCGCGCGCTTGACTACGACGCCTGACTGACGCCAGTCGCTGACTCACTGCTTGCTCTTGAGGGCTGACTCCAGTGACGCCTGCTTCATTGGTTGCCAAAAGTCAATCCTGTCACCTGATTAGACAGGTAACATGTCATTAGTAAGTGTTGATTAGCGGAGGTTTTAATTAGCTGATGTTAAATTAGCGGAGGTTTTAATTAGCTGATGTTAAATTAGCGGAGGTTTTAATTAGCTGATGTTAAATTAGCGGAGGTTTTAATTAGCTGATGTTAAATTAGAGGGCGTTTAATTAGTAGTCATTTTAATAATTAGGCGTTTAATTCGTTGAGATTTTTAGGTCGTGGACATTTTTAGGTCGTGGACATTTGAGGGTAAATAACTTGTGGGCGAAAGAGTGGGCGGCAAGCATACAAGCAGTGTCTGAGTGATAACAAGCATACAAGCAGTGTCTGAGTGATAACAAGCATACAAGCAGTGTCTGAGTGATAACAAGCATACAAGCAGTGTCTGAGTGATAACAAGCATACAAGCAGTGTCTGAGTGATAACAAGCATACAAGCAGTGTCTGAGTGATAACAAGCATACAAGCAGTGTCTGAGTGATAACAAGCATACAAGCAGTGTCTGAGTGATAACAAGCATACAAGCAGTGTCTGAGTGATAACAAGCATACAAGCAGTGTCTGAGTGATAACAAGCATACAAGCAGTGTCTGAGTGATAACAAGCACACAAGCAGTGTCTGAGTGATAACAAGCATACAAGCAGTGGCTGAGTGATAACACGCATACAAGCAGTGTCTGAGTGATAACAAGCATACAAGCAGTGTCTGAGTGATAACAAGCATACAAGCAGTGTCTGAGTGATAACAAGCATACAAGCAGTGTCTGAGTGATAACAAGCATACAAGCAGTGTCTGAGTGATAACAAGCATACAAGCAGTGTCTGAGTGATAACAAGCATACAAGCAGTGTCTGAGTGATAACAAGCATACAAGCAGTGTCTGAGTGATAACAAGCATACAAGCAGTGGCTAAGTGGATCACAAGCATACAAGCAGTGGTTGAGTGACGCTAAGCTAGTGAAGTGGATCTTCTACTGAAGTGGTCAAATAAAGACTTTCTGATAGCTCTATTGGGTTAATCTATTATTAAAACTATTAGTGATTAGTGGGCAGTGTTTAACACTAGATGCCCAACCAATCAGCCGTTAATTAGTGATAAGTGGGCAGTGTTGAACATTAGATGCCCAACCAATGCGATTGATCAGTAGTTGAACATTTAAAAGACTGACTTGTGGCTACTTACCTTAACCGAATGACTAATATTGACTAACACAACTTACCTAGCTTGACCACTAGCACTCCCCTAGACTGACCACTACCCCCTAAACTGACCACTACCCCCCTAGACTGATCACTACACCCCTAGAATGACCACTATCCACCAAAACTGACCACTACCCCTTATACTGACCATTACCCCCTAGACTGACCACTACCCCTAGACTGACAATTACCGCCTAGACTGACCACTACCCCCTAGACTGACCACTACCCCCCTAGACTGACCACTACCCCCCTAGACTGACCACTACCCCCCTAGACTGACCACTACCCCCTAGACTGACCACTACCGCCCTAGACTGACCACTACCCCCCTAGACTGACCACTACCCACCTAGACTGACCACTACCCCCCAGACTGACCACTACCCCCCTAGACTGACCACTACCCTCCTAGACTGACCACTACCCCCTAGAATGACCACTACCCCCCTAGACTGACCACTACCCCCTAGACTGACCACTACCCCCTAGACTGACCACTACCCTCTATAATGACCACTACCCCCTAGAATGACCACTACCCCCCTAGACTGACCAGTACCCCCCTAGACTGACCACTACCCCCTAGACTGACCACTACCCCCTAGACTAACCACTACCCCCCTAGACTGACTACTACCCCCTATAATGACCACTACCCCCCTAGACTGACCACTACCCCCCTAGACTGACCACTACCCTTATAATGACCACTACCCCCCTAGACTGACCACTACCCCCCAGACTGACCACTACCCCCTAGACTGAAAACTACCCCCTATAATGACCACTACCCCCCAGACTGACCACTACCCCCCCCCCCTGCTCACCTAACGGGACTTGGTTCCCACTGTGAGGTAGGTGGACAGGTGGGGTGGTGACCACCTTACAGAAGACCCTGGCCCAAGTCGTGTAGTTCCGGCAGTTGTCCATGACGAACAGGTACCGGCCCGGCACCCGGCACACGATGGAACCGTTCCTGTGAGGTGAGTCCATGGTCAAGCTGTGGGGACGGGACAAAACATGGTCAAGTTGGTCAAGTGCCCCCCCCCCCCATCCTATGGAGAAAAAAAGTCTGAAAGAAACACCGCAAGCGTGCAATAACATAATCCACAAACACATTCACACACGACACTGCTCTGGTTGTTTCCCCCCCTATACCCACAACTTACATACGACTGATACTACTGACACACGACTGACACATGTGACCCACGACTGCCAAACGACTGACACACGACTGCCACATGTGACACACGACTGACACATGTGACACACGACTGACAAATGTGACACACGACTGACAAATGTGACACACGACTGCCACATGTGTACACGACTGCCACATGTGACACACGACTGACAAATGTGACACACGACTGCCAAACGACTGACACACGACTGACACATGTGACACACGACTGCCAAACGACTGACACACGACTGACACATGTGACACACGACTGCCAAACGACTGACACACGACTGCCACATGTGACACACGACTGACACATGTGACACACGACTGACAAATGTGACACACGACTGCCAAACGACTGACACACGACTGCCACATGTGACACACGACTGACACATGTGACACACGACTGCCACATGTGACACACGACTGACACATGTGACACACGACTGCCAGACGACTGACCACTTGTGTTTGACCAGACAGCTCCTCTCCTCCACCTTGTTGAGGTAGATGCTGAGGATGATGGGTTGGTTGATGACGGTGAACTGCCACGTCATGACGCTGTGGGCCAGGGGCACGTGATACTCGTCCACCTCCCTGAGCCCCGCCTGGATCAGATACTCCCGCCCGTGGGCCTGTAGGTTAGGGTCTGTCATGTACATCCATGTGGGCACCTGTAGGGGGTGGGGGTTGGAGGGGGGGAGGCTCAAATTTGTGTGGATACATTTGAATGATCGGAACTTTCTAGATTTAATCAAATTTATGTGAAAATTGCAATTTTGGAAAAATGCGCAAACCTGTGATAGCACACCGGTAAATTCTACACACACAAAAGGGTGAAATTAAATGACTAATTAGATTTTTTTCTTTAAGGATCCCGTTATCAATAGCTGAAACTTTTCTCAAATTTATCCTCAACATAATGTGTTTCCTCTAAAACTGTATACCTGCACCCCCCCCCCCCCCCCCGCCCCAGACTAACCGCCTGCCTCCCCTGTATACCTGCAACCCCCCCACCCTTCATCACCCTCACCGCCTCCCTCCACTTGATGTGGGTCCTACAGAACGGGTTGCCCTCCCCCCCCAGGTAGCCCCCTCCCCCCACTCACCGCCTCCCTCCCCCACTCACCACCCCCCCCACTCACCGCCTCTCTCCACTTGATGTGGGTCCTACAGAAATGGTTGCCCCCACCCCCCCCACTCACTGCCTCCCCCTCCCCACTAACTGCCTCCCCCCCCCCCACTCACTGCCTCCCCCCCCCTACTCACCGCCTCCCTCCACTTGATGTGGGTCCTACAGAAATGGTTGCCCCCACCCCCCCCCACTCACTGCCTCCCCCTCCCCACTAACTGCCTCCCCCCCCACTCACTGCCTCCCCCCCCCTACTCACCGCCTCCCTCCACTTGATGTGGGTCCTACAGAGCGGGTTGCCCCCCCCCCACTCACCCCCCCCCACTCACCCCACCCTCCCCACTCACCGCCACCCCCCCCCCCCCCCACTCACCGCCTCCCTCCACTTGATGTGGGTCCTACAGAGCGGGTTGCCCCCCCCCCCCACTCACCCCCCCACTCACCCCCCACCCCCCCCCCCCCCCACTCACCGCCTCCCTCCCCCCACTCACCGCCTCCCCCCCACTCACCGCCTTCCCCCCCACTCACCGCCTCCCCCCACTCACCGCCTCCCCCCTACTCACCGCCTCCCCCCCCACTCACCGCCTCCCCCCCTACTCACCGCCTCCCTCCCTACTCACCGCCTCCCCCCCTACTCACCGCCTCCCCCCCTACTCACCGCCTCCCCCCCTACTCACCGCCTCCCCCCCCTACTCACCGCCTCCCCCCACCACTCACCGCCTCCCCCCCCCCACTCACCGCCTCCCTCCCCCCACTCACCGCCTCCCTCCCCCCACTCACCGCCTCCCTCCCCCCACTCACCGCCTCCCCCCACTCACCGCCTCCCCCCACTCACCGCCTCCCTCCCCCCACTCACCGCCTCCCTCCCCCCACTCACCCCACCCCCCCCACTCACCGCCTCCCTCCCCCCACTCACCGCCTCCCTCCCCCCACTCACCCCACCCCCCCCACTCACCGCCTCCCTCCACTTGATGTGGGTCCTACAGAGCGGGTTGCCCCCCCCCCACTCACCCCCCCCACTCACCCCCCACCCCCCCCCCCCCCCCACTCACCGCCTCCCCCCACTCACCGCCTCCCCCCCTACTCACCGCCTCCCCCCCTACTCACCGCCTCCCCCCCTACTCACCGCCTCCCCCCCTACTCACCACCTCCCCCCCCACTCACCGCCTCCCTCCCCCCACTCACCCCCCACCCCCCCCCCCCACTCACCGCCTCCCTCCCCCCACTCACCGCCTCCCTCCCCCCACTCACCCTACCCCCCCCCCCCTCACCGCCTCCCTCCCCCCACTCACCGCCTCCCTCCCCCCACTCACCCCACCCCCCCACCCCCCCCACTCACCGCCACCCCCCCCCACTCACCGCCTCCCTCCACTTGATGTGGGTCCTACAGAGCGGGTTGCCCCCCCCCCCCACTCACCCCCCACTCACCCCCCACCCCCCCCCCCCCACTCACTCACCGCCTCCCTCCCCCCACTCACCGCCTCCCCCCCCACTCACCGCCTTCCCCCCCACTCACCGCCTCCCCACTCCCGCCTCCCCCTACTCACCGCCTCCCCCCCCACTCACCGCCTCCCCCCCCTACTCACCGCCTCCCTCCCTACTCACCGCCTCCCCACCGCCTCCCCCCCTACTCACCGCCTCCCCCCCTACTCACCGCCTCCCCCCCCTACTCACCGCCTCCCCCCACCACTCACCGCCTCCCCCCCCCCACTCACCGCCTCCCTCCCCCCACTCACCGCCTCCCTCCCCCCACTCACCGCCTCCCTCCCCCCACTCACCGCCTCCCCCCACTCACCGCCTCCCCCCACTCACCGCCTCCCTCCCCCCACTCACCGCCTCCCTCCCCCCACTCACCCCACCCCCCCCCCCCCACTCACCGCCTCCCTCCCCCCACTCACCGCCTCCCTCCCCCCACTCACCCCACCCCCCCCCCACTCACCGCCTCCCTCCACTTGATGTGGGTCCTACAGAGCGGGTTGCCCCCCCCCCACTCACCCCCCCACTCACCCCCCACCCCCCCCCACTCACCGCCTCCCCCCACTCACCGCCTCCCCCCCTACTCACCGCCTCCCCCCCTACTCACCGCCTCCCCCCCTACTCACCGCCTCCCCCCCTACTCACCACCTCCCCCCCCCACTCACCGCCTCCCTCCCCCCACTCACCCCCCCCCCCCCCCACTCACCGCCTCCCTCCCCCCACTCACCGCCTCCCTCCCCCCACTCACCCTACCCCCCCCCCCCCCCACTCACCGCCTCCCTCCCCCCACTCACCGCCTCCCTCCCCCCACTCACCCCACCCCCCCCACTCACCGCCACCCCCCCCCCCCCCCACTCACCGCCTCCCTCCACTTGATGTGGGTCCTACAGAGCGGGTTGCCCCCCCCCCCCCCACCCCCCCCCCCCCCCCCCCCCACTCACCGCCTCCCCCCCCACTCACCGCCTCCCTCCCCCCACTCACCCCCCACCCCCCCCCCCACTCACCGCCTCCCTCCCCCCACTCACCGCCTCCCTCCCCCCACTCACCGCCTCCCTCCCCCCACTCACCGCCTCCCCCCCCACCCCCCCCCCCCCCACTCACCGCCTCCCTCCCCCCACTCACCGCCTCCCTCCCCCCACTCACCGCCTCCCTCCCCCCACTCACCCCCCACCCCCCCCCCCACTCACCGCCTCCCCCCTACTCACCGCCTCCCCCCCTACTCACCGCCTCCCCCCCTACTCACCGCCTCCCCCCCTACTCACCGCCTCCCCCCCTACTCACCGCCTCCCTCCCCCCACTCACCCCCCACCCCCCCCCCCACTCACCGCCTCCCTCCCCCCACTCACCGCCTCCCTCCCCCCACTCACCCCACCCCCCCCACTCACCGCCACCCCCCCCCACTCACCGCCTCCCTCCACTTGATGTGGGTCCTACAGAGCGGGTTGCCCCCCCCCCCCTCACCCCCCCCACTCACCCCCCACCCCCCCCCCACTCACCGCCTCCCCCCACTCACCGCCTCCCCCCCTACTCACCGCCTCCCCCCCTACTCACCGCCTCCCCCCCTACTCACCGCCTCCCCCCCTACTCACCACCTCCCCCCCCACTCACCGCCTCCCTCCCCCCACTCACCCCCCACCCCCCCCCCCCCACTCACCGCCTCCCTCCCCCCACTCACCGCCTCCCTCCCCCCACTCACCCTACCCCCCCCCCCCCACTCACCGCCTCCCTCCCCCCACTCACCGCCTCCCTCCCCCCACTCACCCCACCCCCCCCACTCACCGCCACCCCCCCCCCCCACTCACCGCCTCCCTCCACTTGATGTGGGTCCTACAGAGCGGGTTGCCCCCCCCCCCCACTCACCCCCCCACTCACCCCCCCCCCCACTCACCGCCTCCCCCCCCCACTCACCGCCTCCCTCCCCCCACTCACCCCCCACCCCCCCCCCCCCACTCACCGCCTCCCTCCCCCCACTCACCGCCTCCCTCCCCCCACTCACCGCCTCCCTCCCCCCACTCACCGCCTCCCCCCCCACCCCCCCCCCCCCCCCCACTCACCGCCTCCCTCCCCCCACTCACCGCCTCCCTCCCCCCCACTCACCGCCTCCTTCCCCCCACTCACCCCCCACCCCCCCCCCCCCACTCACCGCCTCCCCCCTACTCACCGCCTCCCCCCCTACTCACCGCCTCCCCCCCTACTCACCGCCTCCCCCCCTACTCACCGCCTCCCCCCCTACTCACCGCCTCCCTCCCCCCACTCACCCCCCACCCCCCCCCCCACTCACCGCCTCCCTCCCCCCACTCACCGCCTCCCTCCCCCCACTCACCCCACCCCCCCCACTCACCGCCACCCCCCCCCCCCACTCACCGCCTCCCTCCACTTGATGTGGGTCCTACAGAGCGGGTTGCCCCCCCCCCCCCCCCCACTCACCCCCCCACTCACCCCCCACCCCCCCCCCCCACTCACCGCCTCCCCCTACTCACCGCCTCCCCCCCTACTCACCGCCTCCCCCCCTACTCACCGCCTCCCCCCCTACTCACCGCCTCCCCCCCTACTCACCGCCTCCCTCCCCCCACTCACCCCCCCACCCCCCCCCCCACTCACCGCCTCCCTCCCCCCACTCACCGCCTCCCTCCCCCCACTCCCCCCACCCCCCCACTCACCGCCACCCCCCCCCCACTCACCGCCTCCCCCCCCCACCCCCCCACTCACCGCCTCCCTCCCCCCACTCACCGCCTCCCTCCCCCCACTCACCGCCACCCCCCCCACTCACCGCCTCCCCCCACTCACCGCCTCCCTCCCCCCACTCACCGCCTCCCTCCCCCCACTCACCGCCTCCCCCACTCACCGCCTCCCTCCCCCCACTCACCGCCTCCCTCCCCCTACTCACCGCCTCCCTCCCCCCACTCACCGCCTCCCCCCCCACCCCCCCCCACCCCACTCACCGCCTCCCTCCCCCCACTCACCGCCTCCCCCCCCCCACCCCCCCCCCCCCACTCACCGCCTCCCTCCCCCCACTCACCGCCTCCCTCCCCCCACTCACCGCCTCCCTCCCCCCACTCACCGCCTCCCTCCCCCCACTCACCGCCTCCCTCCCCCACTCACCGCCTACCTCCCCCCACTCACCGCCTCCCCCCACTCACCGCCTCCCTCCCCCCACTCACCGCCTCCCCCCCACTCACCGCCTCCCTCCCCCCACTCACCGCCTCCCCCCACTCACCGCCTCCCTCCCCCCACTCACCGCCTCCCCCCCCACCCCCCCCCACCCCACTCACCGCCTCCCTCCCCCCACTCACCGCCTCCCCCCCACCCCCCCCCCCCCCCACTCACCGCCTCCCTCCCCCCACTCACCGCCTCCCTCCCCCCACTCACCCGCCTCCCCCCACTCACCGCCTCCCCCCACTCACCGCCTCCCTCCCCCCACTCACCGCCTCCCCCCACTCACCGCCTCCCTCCCTCCCCCCCCACTCACCGCCTCCCTCCCCCCCCACTCACCGCCTCCCCCCCACTCACCGCCTCCCTCCCTCCCCCCCACTCACCGCCACCCCCCCCACTCACCGCCACCCCCCCCCCACTCACCGCCTCCCTCCACTTGATGTGGGTCCTACAGAGCGGGTTGCCCCCCCCCCCCCCCACTCACCCCCCCACTCACCCCCCACCCCCCCCCCACTCACCCCCCCACTCACCCCCCCACCCCCCCCCACTCACCGCCTCCGCCCCTACTCACCGCCTCCCCCCCCCCCCCACTCACCGCCTCCCCCCCCCCACTCACCGCCTCCCTCCCCCCACTCACCGCCACCCCCCCCCCCACTCACCGCCTCCCTCCACTTGATGTGGGTCCTACAGAGCGGGTTGCCCCCCCCCACTCACCCCCCCACTCACCCCCCTCCCCCCCCCCCACTCACCGCCTCCCCCCCCCACTCACCGCCTCCCCCCCCCACTCACCGCCTCCCTCCCCCCACTCACCGTATCCCCCCCACTCACCGCCTCCCCCCCCACTCACCGCCTCCCCCCCCCACTCACCCGCCTCCCCCCCCACTCACCGCCCCCCCCCCCCCCACTCACCGCCTCCCTCCACTTGATGTGGGTCCTACAGAGCGGGTTGCCCCCCCCCCCACTCACCCCCCTACTCACCCCCCACCCCCCCCCCCACTCACCGCCTCCCCCCCTACTCACCGCCTCCCCCCCCCCCCCCACTCACCGCCTCCCCCCCTACTCACCGCCTCCCCCCCTACTCACCGCCTCCCCCCCACTCACCGCCACCCCCCCCCCCCACTCACCGCCTCCCTCCCCCCACTCACCGCCTCCCTCCACTTGATGTGGGTCCTACAGAGCGGGTTGCCCCCCCACTCACCGCCTCCCCCTCTCACCGCCCTTCCTCCCCCCCCCCCTCACCGCCTCCTCCCCCCCACTCACTGCCTCCCCCCCCACTGCCCCCCCACTCACCGCCCTTCCTCCCCCACTCACCGCCTCCCCCCCCCCCACTCACCGCCTCCCCCCCACTCACCGCCTCCCCCTCTCACCGCCCTTCCTCCCCCCCCCCCCACTCACCGCCTCCTCCCTCCCCCACTCACTGCCCCCCCCCACTCACCGCCTCCCCCCCACTCACCGCCCTTCCTCCCCCCCCCACTCACCGCCCTTCCTCCCCCCCACTCACCGCCTCCCCCCCCACTCACCGCCTCCCTCCACTTGATGTGGGTCCTACAGAGCGGGTTGCCCCCCCCCACTCACCCCCCCACTCACCCCCCACCCCCCCCCACTCACCGCCTCCCTCCCCCCCACTCACCGCCTCCCTCCACTTGATGTGGGTCCTACAGAGCGGGTTGCCATCTGGGTCACACTTGTAGCCGCCCAGGTAGGCGGGAATCTCATGTTTCTCTATCCGACTCTCTAGGTATCTGGGAGAGACACGTTAAGGAACTCTTGGTGGAGAGACTGATAGAGAGAGAGAGAGAAGGAGAGAGAGACAAGGAACTGTTGTTGGAGAGACAGATAGAGAGAGAGAGAGAAGGAGAGAGAGACAAGTTAAGGAACACTTGGTGGAGAGACAGATAGAGATAGACAAGGAACTGTTGGTGGAGAGACAGATAGAGAGAGAGAGAGACAAGGCACTGTTGGTGGAGAGACATATATATATATAGAGAGAGACAAGGAACTGTTGGTGGAGAGACAGATAGAGAGTGAGAGACAGAGAGTGAGAGAGAAGGAGAGAGAGACAAGTTAAGTAACTCTTGTAAGTGACTGCAACTAAACAAAGATTGAAGAACAAACAATAGGGGCCATGTCAGCACACATTAGTAGACCTCAAGAGGAAATGTTTGGTGCACAAAGTTTAGTTCAAACATTGACCATAATTTGTTGACCATAATTTGTGGACCATAATTTGTGTACCATAATTTGTGGACCATAACTTATGTACCATAATTTGTGGACCATAATTTGTGGACCATAATTTGTGGACCATAATTTGTGTACCATAATTTATGTACCATTATTTGTGGACCATAATTTATGTACCATAATTTGTGGACCATAATTTATGTACCATAATTTGTGGACCATAATTTATGTACCATAATTTGTGGTTTGTGACAAGACAAAGTGGAAGATCTCAAAAACCCTCCAATGTAAGTATTGACGCACACCTGTATGACAGGCACCTGTATGACAGGCACCTGTATGACAGGCACCTGTATGACAGGCACCTGTATGACAGGCACCTGTATGACAGGCACCTGTATGACAGGCACCTGTATGACAGACACCTGTATGACAGGCACCTGTATGACAGACACCTGTATGACAGGCACCTGTATGACACGCACCTGTATGACAGGCACCTGTATGACAGCACCTGAATGACACACACCTGTATGACAGACACTTCAATGACACACCTGTATGACAGACAAATGTATGACAGACACCTGTATGACACACACCTGCATGACACACATGTATGACAGACACCTGTATGACAGACGCCTGTATGACACACCTGTATGACAGACACCTGTATGACAGGCACCTGTATGACAGGCACCTGTATGACACACACCTGTATGACACACCTGTATGACAGACACCTGTATGACAGACACCTGTATGACAGGCACCTGTATGACAGACACCTGTATGACAGACACCTGTATGACAGACACCTGTATGGCAGACACCTGTATGACCGACACCTGTATGACAGGCACCTGTATGACAGACAGCTGTATGACAGACACCTGTATGACAGACAACTGTATGACAGGCACCTGTATGACAGACACCTGTATGACACACACCTGCATGACACACATGTATGACAGACACCTGTATGACAGACACCTGTATGACAGACACCTGTATGACACACCTGTATGACAGACACCTGTATGACAGGCACCTGTATGACAGGCACCTGTATGACACACACCTGTATGACACACCTGTATGACAGACACCTGTATGACAGACACCTGTATGACAGGCACCTGTATGACAGACACCTGTATGACAGACACCTGTATGACAGACACCTGTATGACACACCTGTATGAGAGGCACCTGTATGACACACACCTGTATGACAGACACCTGTATGACAGGCACCTGTATGACACACCTGTATGACAGACAAATGTATGACAGGCACCTGTATGACACACCTGTATAACAGACACCTGTATGACAGGCACCTGTATGACAGGCACCTGTATGACACACCTGTATGACAGACACCTGTATGACAGGCACCTGTATGAGAGACACCTGTATAACAGACAACTGTATGACAGACACTTGTATGACAGACAACTGTATGACAGGCACCTGTATGACAGACACCTGTATGACAGACCTGAGGTAGTTGGTGCCCAAGACTTTGATCAGCCCGAGGGTGGGTCTCTTCATGTAGGGCCTGAGGGCCAGGTAGATCTCGGGGTACAGCTGGTGGGGGCGGATGATGAGGACCTCCTTCACCAGCCCGGGGTAGAAGTCCTGCAGCATCTCAATCATCTGACACAATCATACAATCTCAATCATCTGACACAATCAAACAATCATCTGACACAATCAAACAATCTCAATCATCTGACACAATAAAACAATCTTAATCGTCAAATACAATTAAACAATCTCAATCTTCTGTAACAATAAAAAAAAAACTCAATCATTTGACAGAATCAAACAATACCATTCATATAACACAATCAAACTATTGTCTCCATTTTATCGTGTAGTCTATAATATATTCCTACATGTTAAGAGTTTGTATGTTTAGTTTGAGGCCCTTAGCCCAACCTACCTCAGCCCAACCTACCTCGGCCTAACCTTCCTCTGCCCAACCTACCTCAGCCCAACCTACCTCAGCCCAACCTACCTCAGCCCAAACCCACCTCAGCCCAACCTACCTCAGCCCAACCTACCTCTGCCCAACCTACCTCAGCCCACCCCCCTTAGTCCAACCTACCTCAGCCCAACCTACCTCTGCCCAACCTACCTCAGCCCAACCACCCTCAGCCCACCCTACCTCAGCCCAACCTACCTCAGCCCAACCTACCTCAGCCCATATCCTCAGCGAAGGCCCCCACAGATTGTTCTTTGAGGCGGGATGCATGTCCACAATCATCAGTAGACTATCCACAGACCTGCCCGTCTCTTTGTTCGTCTTCTACAACAAAAAATGTCAACGACAATCATACAATCTTTGTTCATCTTCTACAACCAAAAATTATGGTCCAATCTTTGTTCGTCTTCTACAACAAAAATTTAATGACAATCATACAATCTTTGTTCGTCTTCTACAACCAAAAGTCAACGTCAATCATACAATCTTTGTTCATCTTCTACAACCAAAAATTATGGTCCAATCTTTGTTCGTCTTCTACAACAAAAATTTAATGACAATCATACAATCTTTGTTCGTCTTCTACAACCAAAAGTCAACGACAATCATACAATCTTTGTTCGTCTTCTACAATATTTGTTACAATATTTTATTCCACTATGTATTTCTTAGTTAATATTGAATTTCTTATAACAACAACTGTTCTTGTTTTACATTAATCCTAAATCTTTTATTCTGTCTCTGGCTGTAGCTAGACCATGTAGCTAGACCATGTAGCTAGACTATGTAGCTAGACCATGTAGCTAGACCATGTAGCTAGACCATGTAGCTAGACCATGTAGCTAGACCATGTAGCTAGACCATGTAGCTGTAGCTAGACCATGTAGCTAGATCATGTAGCTAGACCATGTAGCTGTAGCTAGACCATGTAGCTAGACCATGTAGCTAGACTATGTAGCTAGACCATGTAGCTAGACCATGTAGCTAGACCATGTAGCTAGACCATGTAGCTAGACCATGTAGCTAGACCATGTAGCTGTAGCTAGACCATGTAGCTAGATCATGTAGCTAGACCATGTAGCTGTAGCTAGACCATGTAGCTAGACCATGTAGCTGTAGCTAGACCATGTAGCTAGACCATGTAGCTAGACCATGTAGCTGTAGCTAGACCATGTAGCTAGACCATGTAGCTGTAGCTAGACCATGTAGCTAGACCATGTAGCTAGACCATGTAGCTGTAGCTAGACCATGTAGCTGTAGCTAGACCATGTAGCTAGACCATGTAGCTAGATCATGTAGCTAGACCATGTAGCTGTAGCTAGACCATGTAGCTAGACCATGTAGCTGTAGCTAGACCATGTAGCTAGACCATGTAGCTAGACCATGTAGCTGTAGCTAGACCATGTAGCTAGACCATGTAGCTGTAGCTAGATCATGTAGCTAGACCATGTAGCTGTAGCTAGACCATGTAGCTAGACCATGTAGCTAGACCATGTAGCTGTAGCTAGACCATGTAGCTGTAGCTAGACCATGTAGCTAGACCATGTAGCTAGACCATGTAGCTAGACCATGTAGCTAGACCATGTAGCTGTAGCTAGACCATGTAGCTGTAGCTAGACAATGTAGCTGTAGCTAGACCATGTAGCTGTAGCTAGACCATGTAGCTAGACCATGTAGCTAGACCATGTAGCTAGACTATGTAGCTAGACCATGTAGCTAGACCATGTAGCTAGACCATGTAGCTAGACCATGTAGCTAGACCATGTAGCTAGACCATGTAGCTGTAGCTAGACCATGTAGCTAGACTATGTAGCTAGACCATGTAGCTAGACCATGAAGCTAGACCATGTAGCTAGACCATGTAGCTAGACCATGTAGCTAGACCATGTAGCTAGACCATGTAGCTGTAGCTAGACCATGTAGCTAGACTATGTAGCTAGACCATGTAGCTAGACCATGTAGCTAGACCATGTAGCTGTAGCTAGACCATGTAGCTAGACTATGTAGCTAGACCATGTAGCTAGACCATGTAGCTCGACCATGTAGCTAGACCATGTAGCTAGACCACGTAGCTGTAGCTAGACCATGTAGCTGTAGCTAGACCATGTAGCTAGACCATGTAGCTAGACCATGTAGCTAGACCATGTAGCTAGACCATGTAGCTAGACCATGTAGCTAGACCATGTAGCTAGACCATGTAGCTAGACCATGTAGCTAGACCATGTAGCTAGACCATGTAGCTAGACCATGTAGCTAGACTATGTAGCTAGACCATGTAGCTAGACCATGTAGCTAGACCATGTAGCTAGACTATGTAGCTAGACCATGTAGCTAGACCATGTAGCTGTAGCTAGACCATGTAGCTGTAGCTAGACCATGTAGCTAGACCATGTAGCTAGACCATGTAGCTAGACCATGTAGCTGTAGCTAGACCATGTAGCTAGACCATGTAGCTGTAGCTAGACCATGTAGCTAGACTATGTAGCTAGACCATGTAGCTAGACCATGTAGCTAGACCATGTAGCTAGACCATGTAGCTAGACCATGTAGCTGTAGCTAGACCATGTAGCTGTAGCTAGACCATGTAGCTAGACCATGTAGCTAGACCATGTAGCTAGACCATGTAGCTAGACCATGTAGCTGTAGCTAGACCATGTAGCTGTAGCTAGACCATGTAGCTAGACCATGTAGCTAGACCATGTAGCTAGACTATGTAGCTAGACCATGTAGCTAGACCATGTAGCTAGACCATGTAGCTAGACCATGTAGCTAGACCATGTAGCTAGACCATGTAGCTGTAGCTAGACCATGTAGCTAGACTATGTAGCTAGACCATGTAGCTAGACCATGAAGCTAGACCATGTAGCTAGACCATGTAGCTAGACCATGTAGCTAGACCATGTAGCTAGACCATGTAGCTGTAGCTAGACCATGTAGCTAGACTATGTAGCTAGACCATGTAGCTAGACCATGTAGCTAGACCATGTAGCTGTAGCTAGACCATGTAGCTAGACTATGTAGCTAGACCATGTAGCTAGACCATGTAGCTCGACCATGTAGCTAGACCATGTAGCTAGACCACGTAGCTGTAGCTAGACCATGTAGCTGTAGCTAGACCATGTAGCTAGACCATGTAGCTAGACCATGTAGCTAGACCATGTAGCTAGACCATGTAGCTAGACCATGTAGCTAGACCATGTAGCTAGACCATGTAGCTAGACCATGTAGCTAGACCATGTAGCTAGACCATGTAGCTAGACCATGTAGCTAGACTATGTAGCTAGACCATGTAGCTAGACCATGTAGCTAGACCATGTAGCTAGACTATGTAGCTAGACCATGTAGCTAGACCATGTAGCTGTAGCTAGACCATGTAGCTGTAGCTAGACCATGTAGCTAGACCATGTAGCTAGACCATGTAGCTAGACCATGTAGCTGTAGCTAGACCATGTAGCTAGACCATGTAGCTGTAGCTAGACCATGTAGCTAGACTATGTAGCTAGACCATGTAGCTAGACCATGTAGCTAGACCATGTAGCTAGACCATGTAGCTAGACCATGTAGCTGTAGCTAGACCATGTAGCTGTAGCTAGACCATGTAGCTAGACCATGTAGCTAGACCATGTAGCTAGACCATGTAGCTGTAGCTAGACCATGTAGCTAGACCATGTAGCTAGACCATGTAGCTAGACCATGTAGCTGTAGCTAGACCATGTAGCTGTAGCTAGACCATGTAGCTAGACCATGTAGCTAGACCATGTAGCTAGACCATGTAGCTAGACCATGTAGCTAGACCATGTAGCTGTAGCTAGACCATGTACCTAGACCATGTAGCTAGACCATGTAGCTAGACCATGTAGCTGTAGCTAGACCATGTAGCTAGACCATGTAGCTGTAGCTAGACCATGTAGCTAGACCATGTAGCTAGACCATGTAGCTGTAGCTAGACCATGTAGCTAGACCATGTAGCTAGACCATGTAGCTAGACCATGTAGCTGTAGCTAGACCATGTAGCTGTAGCTAGACCATGTAGCTAGACCATGTAGCTAGACCATGTAGCTAGACCATGTAGCTAGACCATGTAGCTGTAGCTAGACCATGTAGCTAGACCATGTAGCTAGACTATGTAGCTAGACCATGTAGCTAGAGCATGTAGCTGTAGCCATAGCTTACCTTCATGTGTTTGATTATAGACTCGAACTGAAAGAGCTTAAACTTGACCAGGTCGTGTTTGGTGACGGAGAGGACGATGCCCTTCATGTCGTTGACCCCAAACAGCTCGTACAGGACGGGGCAGCCCTGCCTGTCCACGCCACACAATCCCCCGGCATAGTAGTCGCGCAGAACCTGCGAGACACGCAAATTTTAGTAATGGGATACAGTCGACTGGGGGGACGGGGGGGGGAATTGCGAGGCACGCAAGTTTTAGTAATGGGATACAGTCGACTGGGGGAAGGGAAGGGGGTAATCGCGAGACACGCAAGTTAAGATGGTTTGTTAGTATTTACTTTCTAGCGAGCTTGTGGTGTACTAACCTCAGGAGGTTTGTAGTCCGTCAAGACAGTGTCAATCTTGAGCTTCCACCGGAGTTCCAGACATTTCCTGATTTTGGCGGCGGCGTACAAGACACTGTTGTCAGCTGCCGTCAACCATTTCTTCAGGTGAGAATCGGATGTGTCTAGTCGTTTGCCGAAATATGGATGGCTGGTGGGGAAGTAGGTGTGTTGATGGTAGGTGTGGTGGTGGTGGTGGTAGTTGTGGTGGTAGATGTGGTGGTGGTAGGTGTGGTGGTGTTAGGTGTGGTGGTGGTAGGTGTGGTGATAGGTGTGGTGGTGGTAGCGTGGTGGTAGGTGTGGTGGTGGTAGATGTGGTGATGGTAGGTGTGGTGTTAGGTGTGGTGGTGGTAGGTGTGGTGGTAGATGTGGTGGTGGTAGATGTGGTGGTGGCGTGGTGGTAGGTGTGGAGGTGGTAGGTGTGATGGTAGGTGTGGTGGTGGTAGATGTGGTGGTGGCTTGGTGGTAGGTGTGGTGGTGGTAGGTGTGGAGGTAGGTGTGGTGGTGGTAGATGTGGTGGTGGCTTGGTGGTAGGTGTGGTGGTGGTAGGTGTGGAGGTAGGTGTGGTGGTGGTAGGTGTGGTAGTGGTAGGTGTGGTGGTGGTAGATGTGGTGGTAGGTGTGGTGGTGGTAGGTGTGGTGATAGGTGTGGTGGTGGTAGGTGTGGTGGTGGTAGGTGTGGTGGTGGTAGGTGTGGTGGTGGTAGGTGTGGTGGTGGTAGGTGTGGTGGTAGGTGTGGTGGTGGTAGGTGTGGTGGTGGTAGGTGTGGTGGTGGTAGGTGTGGTGTTGGTAGGTGTGGTGGTGGTAGGTGTGGTGGTGGTAGGTGTGGTGGTGGTAGGTGTGGTGGTAGGTGTGGTGGTGGTAGGTGTGGTGGTGGTAGGTGTGGTGGTGGTAGGTGTGGTGGTGGTAGGTGTGGTGGTAGGTGTGGTGGTGGTAGGTGTGGTGGTAGGTGTGGTGGTGGTAGGTGTGGTGGTAGGTGTGGTGGTGGTAGGTGTGGTGGTGGTAGGTGTGGTGGTGGTAGGTGTGGTGGTAGGTGTGATGGTAGGTGTGGTGGTAGGTGTGGTGGTGGTAGGTGTGGTGGTAGCGTGGTGGTAGGTGTGGTGGTGGTACATGTGGTGGTGGCGTGGTGGTAGTAGGTGTGGTGGTGGTAGGTATGGTGGTGACGTGGTGGTAGGTGTGGTGGTATTAGATGTGGTGGTAGGTGTGATGGTGGTAGGTGTGGTGGTGGTAGGTGTGGTGGTGGTAGGTGTGGTGGTGGTAGATGTGGTGGTAGGTGTGATGGTGGTAGGTGTGGTGGTGGTAGGTGTGGTGGTGGTAGGTGTGGTGGTGGTAGGTGTGGTGGTGGTAGGTGGGGTGGTGGTAGGTGTGGTGGTGGTAGGTGTGGTGGTAGGTGTGGTGGTAGGTGTGGTGGTGGTAGGTGTGATGGTAGGTGTGGTGGTAGGTGTGGTGGTGGTAGGTGTGGTGGTAGGTGTGGTGGTGGTAGGTGTGGTGGTGGTAGGTGTGGTGGTGGTAGGTGTGGTGGTGGCGTGGTGGTAGTAGGTGTGGTGGTGACGTGGTGGTAGGTGTGGTGGTGGTAGGTGTGGTGGTATTAGATGTGGTGGTAGGTGTGATGGTGGTAGGTGTGGTGGTGGTAGGTGTGGTGGTGGTAGGTGTGGTGGTGGTAGATGTGGTGGTAGGTGTGATGGTGGTAGGTGTGGTGGTGGTAGGTGTGGTGGTGGTAGGTGTGGTGGTGGTAGGTGTGGTGGTGGTAGGTGGGGTGGTGGTAGGTGTGGTGGTGGTAGGTGTGGTGGTAGGTGTGGTGGTAGGTGTGGTGGTGGTAGGTGTGATGGTAGGTGTGGTGGTAGGTGTGGTGGTGGTAGGTGTGGTGGTGGTGGTAGTAGGTGTGATGGTGGTAGGTGTGGTGGTAGGTGTGATGGTAGGTGTGGTAGTAGGTGTGGTGGTGGTAGGTGTGGTGGTGGTAGATGTGGTGGTGGTAGGTGTGGTGGTGGTAGATGTGGTGGTGGTAGGTGTGGTGGTGGTAGGTGTGGTGGTGGTAGATGTGGTGGTGGTAGGTCTGGTGGGGGTAGGTGTGGTGGTGGTAGATGTGGTGGTAGGTGTGGTGGTGGTGGTGGTAGGTGTGATGGTGGTAGGTGTGGTGGTAGGTGTGATGGTAGGTGTGGTAATAGGTGTGGTGGTGGTAGATGTGGTGGTGGTAGGTGTGGTGGTGGTAGGTATGGTGGTAGGTGTGATGGTAGGTGTAGTGGTGGTAGGTGTGGTGGTGGTAGGTGTGGTGGTGGTAGGTGTGATGGTAGGTGTGGTGGTAGGTGTGGTGGTAGGTGTGGTGGTGGTAGATGTGGTGGTAGGTGTGGTGGTGGTAGGTGTGGTGGTGGTAGGTGTGGTGGTAGGTGTGGTGGTAGATGTGGTGGTAGGTGTGGTGGTGGTAGGTGTGGTGGTAGGTGTGGTGGTAGATGTGGTGGTAGGTGTGGTGGTAGGTGTGGTGGTAGGTGTGGTGGTGGTAGATGTGGTGGTGGTAGATGTGGTGGTAGATGTGGTGGTAGGTGTGGTGGTAGTAAGTATGGTGGTATTAGATGTGGTGGTTGTATTCAATGTGGCGGTGGTAGGTGTGATGGTGTATGTGGTGGTGGTAGGTGTCGTGGTGGAAGGTTTGGTGGAAGGTGTGGTGGTAGGTGTGGTGGTAGCGTGGTGGTGGTAGGTGTGGTGGTGGTACATGTGGTGGTGGTAGGTGTGGTGATAGGTGTGGTGGTGGTAGGTGTGATGGTAGGTGTGGTGGTGGTAGATGTGGTGGTGGCGTGGTGGTAGGTGTGGTGGTGGTAGGTGTGGTGGTAGGTGTGGTGGTGGTAGGTGTGGTGGTAGGTGTGATGGTGGTAGGTGTGGTGGTGGTAGGTGTGGTAGTAGGTGTGGTGGTGGTAGGTTTGCTGGTAGGTGTGGTGGTAGGTGTGGTGGTGGTGGTGGTAGGTGTGATGGTGGTAGGTGTGGTGGTAGGTGTGATGGTGGTAGGTGTGGTGGTGGTGGTGGTAGGTGTGGTAGTAGGTGTGGTGGTGGTAGGTTTGCTGGTAGGTGTGGTGGTAGGTGTGGTGGTGGTGGTGGTAGGTGTGATGGTGGTAGGTGTGGTAGTAGGTGTGGTGGTGGTAGGTGTGGTGGTGGTAGATGTGGTGGTGGTAGGTGTGGTGGTGGTAGATGTGGTGGTGGTAGGTGTGGTGGTGGTAGATGTGGTGGTGGTAGGTCTGGTGGTGGTAGGTGTGGTGGTGGTAGATGTGGTGGTAGGTGTGGTGGTGGTGGTGGTAGGTGTGATGGTGGTAGGTGTGGTGGTAGGTGTGATGGTAGGTGTGGTAGTAGGTGTGGTGGTGGTAGGTGTGGTGGTGGTAGATGTGGTGGTAGGTGTGGTGGTGGTAGGTGTGATGGGGTAGGTGTGGTGGTAGGTGTGGTGGTAGGTGTGGTGGTGGTAGGTGTGGTGGTGGTAGGTGTGGTGGTGGTAGGTGTGGTGGTGGTAGGTGTGGTGGTGGTAGGTGTGGTGGTGGTAGGTGTGGTGGTAGGTGTGGTGGTGGTAGGTGTGGTGGTAGGTGTGGTGGTGGTAGGTGTGGTGGTAGGTGTGGTGGTGGTAGGTGTGGTGGTGGTAGGTGTGGTGGTAGGTGTGGTGGTGGTAGGTGTGGTGGTGGTAGGTGTGGTGGTGGTAGGTGTGGTGGTGGTAGGTGTGGTGGTGGTAGGTGTGGTGGTGGTAGGTGTGGTGGTAGGTGTGGTGGTGGTAGGTGTGGTGGTGGTAGGTGTGGTGGTGGTAGGTGTGGTGGTAGGTGTGGTGGTGGTAGGTGTGGTGGTGGTAGGTGTGGTGGTGGTAGGTGTGGTGGTAGGTGTGGTGGTGGTAGGTATGGTGGTGGTAGGTGTGGTGGTGGTAGGTGTGGTGGTAGGTGTGGTGGTGGTTGATGTGGTGGTGGTAGATGTGGTGGTAGATGTGGTGGTAGGTGTGGTGGTAGTAAGTATGGTGGTATTAGATGTGGTGGTTGTATTCGATGTGGCGGTGGTAGGTGTGATGGTGTATGTGGTGGTGGTAGGTGTCGTGGTGGAAGGTTTGGTGGAAGGTTTGTCGTGGTTGTAGTCAAGAGAAACTTACTTGATCAAGGGACGTAATCGAGACCTGAGAAATCTTAAACGCCTTTCCTCGTCTGTCTCCCCCGGTATCATTTGTTGCTTCCCCTCGGGGAATATTTTCTCTTGCTGGCCCTTCTTCTTCCGTTTTTCTGACTGGGGGAATAAAGCTGTGGGTTAGGGGCGGGGCTTACAATCTTTAGAAATAAATCTGTTGGTAAGGGGCGGGGCTTACAATGGGTGAGGGGCGGGGCTTACAATGGGTGAGGGGCGGGGCTTACAATGGGTGAGGGGCGGGGTTTACAATGGGTAAGGGGTGGGGCTTACAATTTTTAGAACTAAACTAGACAGAAAGAAACTGTTATCGTCCCTAACGGCCGATCGACTCAGAGGTACATTTAACTAAGTAACGTGAGTTGTGACGTCAGTGAGACTGGACTAGTGACGTCAGCTAGACTGGACTAGTGACGTCAGACTGACCTGAGTCTCTGCGATTGATGCCGTGAGTGGTGAGCCCGGTGCCGTGGACATATCAGCGGCCATCTTGACGTAACACCTGCAAGGATAAAACGTGACGTCATCTTGTGGGAGCTTCACTAGCGGTCAGTCCTAAATGTGATACTACCATTAACCTGATCATTGGCCTACAAAGGTTTAATACGTTCATCTTGTCACTTTTTTTTTTGTTGTTTAGGCGCTACCACCGACATACAAATAACAATATTATATTAGCTTTCAGTAAATATTTTTGGGCTGTAATATAACAGACTCAAAGTCAACACTCAAGTTACGCTTCATCCATTTTCACCGGATGGTAGGTCGCCCCACACTACGCGTTAGGGTCTGGGTTACGGCTAGGGTTAGGGTTAGGGTTAGGGTTAAGGTTAGGGTTAGGGTTAGGGTTAGGGTTAGGGTCTGGGTTACGGCTAGGGTTAGGGTCTGGGTTACGGCTAGGGTTAGGGTCTGGGCTAGGGTTGGGGTATGGGTTACGGCTAAGGTTAGGGTCTGGGTTAGGCTCTGGATAAGGGCTAGGGTCTGCGTTAGGGTTAGGGTCTTGGTTAGGGCTAGGGTAGGGTCTAGGTTAGGCTCTGGGTAAGCGCTAGGGTCTGGGTTAGGGCCAGGGTAAGAGCAAGAGTTAGCGTTAAGTTCTTGGTCAGGGCTAAGGTCTAGGCGAGTGTCTGGGTTAGGGTTAAGTTAAGGGTCAGGGATAGGGTCAGGGTTAGGGCGTGTGAGTGTGAGTGTAGTTAGGCAGTGGTAGAAGAATGATGAGGATAACTCGCCCGCCTCCAGGTTCCCCAACCCCCATGCTCCCCAACCCCAGGCGCCCCAACCCCAGGCGCCCCAACCCCCAGGCGCCCCAACCCCCAGGCGCCCCAACCCCCAGGCGCCCCAACCCCCAGGCGCCCCAACCCCCAGGCGCCCCAACCCCCAGGCGCCCCAGCCCCCAGGCGCCCCAACCCCCAGGCGCCCTAACCCCCAGGCGCCCCAACCCCCAGGCGCCCTAACCCCCAGGCGCCCCAACCCCCAGGCGCCCCAACCCCCAGACGCCCCAACCCCCAGGCGCCCCAACCCCCAGGCGCCCCAGCCCCCAGGCGCCCCAACCCCCAGGCGCCCCAACCCCAGGCGCCCCAACCCCCAGGCATCCCAACCCCCAGGCGCCCCAACCCCCAGGCGCCCCAACCCCCAGACGCCCCAACCCCCAGGCGCCCCAACCCCCAGGCGCCCCAACCCCCAGGCGCCCCAACCCCCAGACGCCCCAACCCCCAGGCGCCCCAACCCCCAGGCGCCCCAACCCCCAGGCGCCCCAACCCCCAGACGCCCCAACCCCCAGGCGCCCCAACCCCCAGGCGCCCCAACCCCCAGGCGCCCCAACCCCCAGGCGCCCCAACCCCCAGGCGCCCCAACCCCCAGGCGCCCCAACCCCCAGACGCCCCAACCCCCAGGCGCCCCAACACCCAGGCTCCCCTGACTTCAGCAAGATATCAGTCACCTTCCATAAGTCAATGACCAGTTAATGTAAGGACCAGAGAATTGGTTGTGCTAAATTCTAATGCAACCATAAAAATCTAAGATACCCAAAGTTTTTGAAACCTATAGATCTAGATGCTGTCGCTGGTTGCAAAAACAACCCACTGGGGTTTAACGTAAGATCTAGCTAAGATTAGAAACTTTACTTAGAGCTAAACTTGACACTTTACACAGAACTAGACTTGACACTTCACTGAGAACTAGACTAGACTCTACCTACATACCTCTGACTTGAGCGTATGTTTTATGTTACAATAAATGTATTCATAAGTGGACCTAGTCCACACGGTGTCTTACTCTCAGCTAGTCAACTCTGAACCAAAACATGTCAAATGCCGCATTTATCCTTTGATTGTGTGAGTTACATGAGTCTTGCTGTGTCGCTATTTCAGCATTCAGGACACCATGTTTTGTGTAAGAAGACAATTTTTATTTCACAAGGCGGTGTTGGGGATTTCCCCTAGGAAGTGCGCATCAAAAACATCAATCAGACAGTAACATCAGACAGTAACATCAGACAGTAACATCAGACAGTAACAACAGACAGTAACATCAGACAGTAACATCAGTCAGACAGTAACATCAGACAGTAACATCAGTCAGACAGTAACATCAGACAGTAACATCAGACAGTAACATCAGACAGTAACATCAGACAGTAACATCAATCAGACAGTAACATCAGACAGTAACATCAGACAGTAACATCAGACAGTAACATCAGACAGTAACATCAGTCAGACAGTAACATCAGACAGTAACATCAGACAGTAACATCAGACAGTAACATCAGACAGTAACATCAGACAGTAACATCAGACAGTAACATCAGACAGTTACATCAGACAGTAACATCAGACAGTAACATCAGACAGTAACATCAGACAGTAACATCAGACAGTAACATCAGACAGTAACATCAGACAGTAACATCAGACAGTAACATCAGACAGTAACATCAGACAGTAACATCAGACAGTAACATCAGACAGTAACATCAGACAGTAACATCAGACAGTAACATCAGACAGTAACATCAGACAGTAACATCAGACAGACAGTAGCATCAGACAGTAACATCAGACAGTAACATCAGACAGTAACATCAGACAGTAACATCAGACAGACAGTAGCATCAGACAGTAACATCAGACAGTAACATCAGACAGTAACATCAGACAGTAACATCAGACAGTAACATCAGACAGACAGTAGCATCAGACAGTAACATCAGACAGTAACATCAGACAGTAACATCAGTCAGACAGTAACATCAGACAGTAACATCAGACAGTAACATCCATCAGACAGTAACATCAGACAGTAACAGAAAATAAAATATTCTGACTATTGATCTCATTCAAAATAAAACAATCACAATCAAATTTGTTAATCGATGTGTATAAAATTGTTTCGGACAGCCGAAGGTATCACACATCATCAGACTGCTCACTCTATCATTTGTTCACCTCTCCTCATCAAACGTGCGCATCCGTCAAGTTTGCACTAATTAGCGCATCAAGTTGCACTAATTAGCGCATCAAGTTTGTACTAATTAGCGCATCAAGTTTGTACTAATTAGCGCATCAAGTTTGCACTAATTAGCGCATCAAGTTTGTACTAATTAGCGCATCAAGTTTGTACTAATTAGCGCATCAAGTTTGTACTAATTAGCGCATCAAGTTTGCACTAATTAGCGCATCAAGTTTGTACTAATTAGCGCATCAAGTTTGTACTAATTAGCGCATCAAGTTTGTACTAATTAGCGCATCAAGTTTGTACTAATTAGCGCATCAAGTTTGTACTAATTAGCGCATCAAGTTTGTACTAATTAGCGCATCAAGTTTGTACTAATTAGCGCATCAAGTTTGTACTAATTAGCGCATCAAGTTTGTACTAATTAGCGCATCAAGTTTGTACTAATTAGCGCATCAAGTTTGCACTAAATTGCACTTGAAGAAAACAAGACAGAAAACAAGACACGGAAATGGTGATGGCATTGTTTTTTTAATGGTTGTTGACTATCACTTCAAAACAAGATTTCGATAATTTAAATTGTGTAAGTGTACGTGTGTGTGTATGTGTGTGTGTGTGTGTTTACGTCTAATATTTTTCTCAAGTTGTTAAATATAAACGTAACATCAATGGCACAGCTGTAAATTGTACTGAAGGTAAAGGTTAAGTTACTTAAATAATAACTTAATAAGGTGAAAGGAAAAAAAAAGTCACAGAACAAAAGTAACAGTGGAAATGTTTTATCGGAAAAAAAGTCACAGAAATAAAGTCACAGAAAAAAGTCACAAAAATCTTTTTAGAAATATTTTTTATTAATTTGTTAAGAATTGTAAAATTTTGTATGTTTATTGTTGTGGGTTGTATTTTTTATAGCATAAATTATTTATAGACGTTAAAAGCATTATGATTTATATCAACTGTAAGTAAAAATACTCTAAGATAATTAACACAACAATCTCAACTTTTGTTACGTATTTAGTTAAATACGCGGTAAGAAAGTTAATTATAAAAGAAATTTAGGCACATTTTGCCGTAGGCTATTCTCTGGTCGGCCTCTCCTCAGTAGGCATTGTCCGAACATATTGTGTGTTGTTGACGTTATGCGTCAATGACAGCCTTTGAACCTTGTCGGCTTTCTGTTTTGATCCTAAGTTTTGTTATGTAATGAGCGTGATAAATGTGGGCAGTAAAGGTGGTTGAACTAAACATAACTATTGTTGCCATGAGTTGAGGGCAGCAAGTCAGATGAACTTACCATTCCACGGTAATTTAATATTGGTATTTTTAAAAAAAACCCGATGCAAAACGTGGACTTTGGAGCATTCTATTACATGCTACTAATCTTAAGTTTAAAATAATTACAATCTACATACCTCATAATAAAAATTTACATGAATTATAAAAATTCCTATTCGTATACAGCCTACACATTACATTTAATTAATCCTAAGTTAATTTGCACTCTCTAAATATTTAATACATAAAAGTATTAACAAATATCATGCAAATATATATTTGTGACCTTTTTTCCTGTGACTTTTTTTCCTGTGACTTTTTTTCCCGTGACTTTTTTTCTGTGTTTTTTTTTCCTGTGTTTTTTTTTTTCCTGTGACTTTTTTTTTCTACAATCCTTAATAAGTAAGTGTACGTCTGGCCGTGTTGTCAGAGACATGACTCAAGATCAATTTAAGTTCTGTAATTTGCTTCCCTCGATTACAAATTCCACTCCCAAATATTCGCGATGATTGGAAAAATACAACCGCAGGAAATTCGTGCGCAATATTTTAAAATTTAAAAAGAACATTATTTTGCTTTAAGATTTGTTTGAGTTTTTCTCTGCACTATTGCTATAATTGATATCTAAGTAACTTAAACAAACTTAAGGTTTGGTTTAGGCGAGGTTAGGGCTTGGTGCCATCCAGATTAGGCTGGAACAGTTACCCAAACCTTAAACCTTGACCAACCATAGCCTTATACCAGGGCCTAATTACCCCCGAGCCTAATTACCCCCGAGCCTAATTATCCCCGAGCCTAATTATCCCCGAGCCTAATTACCATCGATCCTAATCTCCTCTTGACCATAACATAATTACAATTCCTGTGCTGAGCTGTCTTGTGACGATTGTACAGGCACTGGTTTGGGTTGATATTTTAAAATAGACTTTTCTAGAATGCTGGGTATAGAGTATGTGGGTACGGCTATTCGACTAGTATCGGACCAAGCAGTTACCAGAAACTTCGACTAGTATCGGACCAAGCAGTTACCAGAAACTTCGACTAGTATCGGACCAAGCAGTTACCAGAAACTTCGACTCTCTACCAGACATGTCCTTCACCCAATGACCTCCAGAGCTTTCGCTAGCAAGACGTCACGACCTCTTCAACGTGACGTCGCCGGTGACGCGACTGGAGATGACGACAAACGTGCGGCTCTGGGCAGCTGGCTCAGGAGAGCTAACCAGGGCCAGTGGGCCGAGGACAAGACGGTGCTCAAGATACGACAGTTGAAACAGAGGCTGAGGCCGCTAACACAGTGAGTGTGCTCACCACTTGAGTCATGTGTCACCACTTGAGTCATGTGTCACCACTAGAGTCATGTTTTAAGTCATCACTTGCGTCATGTTTTGTATCACCACTTGCGTCATGTTTTGTATCACCACTTGAGTCATGTTTTGTCTCACCACTTTAGTCATGTTTTGTATCACCACTTAATTCATGTTTTGTCTCACCACTTGAGTTGTTTTGTATCACCACTTAAGTCATGTTTTGTCTCACCACTTGAGTCATGTGTCACCACTTGAGTTATGTTTTGTGTCACCACTTGAGTCATCTTTTGTATCACCACTTAAGTCATGTTTTGTGTCAACCTTTGAGTTATGCTTTAAGTCAACACTTGAGTCATGTGTCACCACTTGAGTCATGTTTTGTCTCACCACTACAACAGGGAGAGCTGTGTTATTGTCACAATTAGCCTCTGCTTACCACACACCTCCCTGACCACCACTGACGAGTGTCGAATACTAACGCCTCTGCGCACCACTGACCTGTGACTCCACTGTCTCTCCCCCACTGACCTGTGACTCCACTGCCCCCCCCACTGACTTGTGACTCCACTGCCCCCCCCCCCACTGACTTGTGACTCCACTGCCTCTCCCCCCTGACCTGTGACTCCACTGCCTCTCCCCATTGATCACTGACTCCACTGCCTCTCCCCATTGATCACTGACTCCACTGCCTCTCCCCCCCCCTGACCTGTGACTCCACTGCCCCCCCCACTGACCTGTGACTCCACTGCCCACAGGCACATGGTGTACAGCCGTAGAGTTGACCTGAGTGACGCCGCTCTGCTCAAGTGGCTGATCGTCTCCAACTTTGACGTCTACATGGCCGACACCAAGATAAGGAAAAGTCTGGAACTCAGGGAGAAGTTAAAGATTGATTACTTGACCACAGAGTACAGACCACCACAGGTAAGCTGACCACAGACAGACCACCACAGGTAAGCTGACCACTTGACCACAGGGACAGACCACCACAGGTAAGCTGACCACTTGACCACAGGGGCAGACCACCACAGGTAAGCTGACCACTTGACCACAGGGACAGACCACCACAGGTAAGCTGACCACTTGACCACAGGGACAGACCACCACAGGTAAGCTGACCACTTGACCACAGGGACAGACCACCACAGGTAAGCTGACCACAGACCACCACAGGTAAGCTGACCACAGACCACCACAGGTAAGCTGACCACAGACCACCACAGGTAAGCTGACCACAGACCACCACAGGTAAGCTGACCACAGACCACCACAGGTAAGCTGACCACAGACCACCACAGGTAAGCTGACCACAGACCACCACAGGTAAGCTGACCACAGACCACCACAGGTAAGCTGACCACAGACCACCACAGGTAAGCTGACCACAGACCACCACAGGTAAGCTGACCACAGACCACCACAGGTAAGCTGACCACAGACCACCACAGGTAAGCTGACCACAGACCACCACAGGTAAGCTGACCACAGAGTACAGACCACCACAGGTAAGCTGACCACAGAGTACAGACCACCACAGGTAAGCTGACCACAGACAGACCACCACAGGTAAGCTGACCACAGACCACCACAGGTAAGCTGACCACAGACCACCACAGGTAAGCTGACCACAGAGTACAGACCACCACAGGTAAGCTGACCACAGACAGACCACCACAGGTAAGCTGACCACAGACAGACCACCACAGGTAAGCTGACCACAGACCACCACAGGTAAGCTGACCACAGACCACCACAGGTAAGCTGACCACAGACAGACCACCACAGGTAAGCTGACCACAGACCACCACAGGTAAGCTGACCACAGACCACCACAGGTAAGCTGACCACAGACAGACCACCACAGGTAAGCTGACCACAGACCACCACAGGTAAGCTGACCACAGACAGACCACCACAGGTAAGCTGACCACAGACAGACCACCACAGGTAAGCTGACCACAGACCACTACAGGTAAGCTGACCACAGAGTACAGACCACCACAGGTAAGCTGACCACAGACAGACCACCACAGGTAAGCTGACCACAGACCACTACAGGTAAGCTGACCACAGAGTACAGACCACCACAGGTAAGCTGACCACTTGACCAGAGGGACAGACCAACAGACCACTTGAGTGCGTTTATATTTTCTACACTTTCTAACTTCGTGTAGTGGCTATTTTTATCTTGGACAAGCAGGGCTCACCTGTCTACCTGTCTACCTGTCTATATGTCTACCTGTCTACCTGTCTTGTCCAGCACCTACAGGCTTGCTATGCAGGTGGTCTATGTGGCCTAGACAAGCAGGGTTCACCTGTCTACCTGTCTACCTGTGTACCTGTCTTGTCCAGCACCTGCAGGCCTGCTATGCAGGTGGTCTATGTGGCCTAGACAAGCAGGGCTCGCCTGTCTACTACGAGCTGTACGGTCTGATGAACATCCAAGACGTGATGAAGACGGTGGGGCGGGAGGGGCTGATCCAGTTCAAGGTCTACCAACACGAGCGGATCCTCCAGCACATGAAGGTGAGTAGTGTTTTGGCTCACCTGTAACACACGTGTCAGTACACACTTTGTGGCTCTCTGTTGACCTAATGACCTAGTGACCTTAAAATATGGTCATTGAAAAAATTCCCTTAATGTAAAGCGAAGTGAGCTCCCCTAAACTTTCTCGTACATTCTATTTTAACACTCATGGTTTAGAAACCGGAAATAAAGTACCACCAATGGTCACCGGAAATCGCTCCAACGTTGTTACATAACTACAAATTTGATATAATACAAATAAATGAAAGTTTTGTCAACCTAACTGAAACGAACTCATCGTATTGTTTTTATATAAATGCAGACGGAAAGAGACAGACAGACAGACACACAGACATGCACACAGACACGCACAGGCGTTGAGACTAAACTAAGTTTTGCAGACGATGGAGGCCCTAAAACGTCGAGATGTGTCAAAGTTTTATTTGAATTGTTTGCACGATTACAAAACTTGCTCTTCCCTCCGTGTACGAAACCAAATACTCAGTGACTGCCCTACCTCCGTGTACGAAACCAAATACTCAGTGACTGCCCTACCTCCGTGTACGAAACCAAATACTCAGTGACTGCCCTACCTCCGTGTACGAAACCAAATACTCAGTGACTGCCCTACCATCTGTGTACGAAACCAAATACTCAGTGACTGCCCTACCTCCGTGTACGAAACCAAATACTCAGTGACTGCCCTACCTCCGTGTACGAAACCAAATACTCAGTGACTGCCCTACCCTCCGTGTACGAAACCAAATACTCAGTGACTGCCCTACCATCCGTGTACGAAACAAAATACTCAGTGACTGCCCTACCTCCGTGTACGAAACCAAATACTCAGTGACTGCCCTACCATCTGTGTACGAAACCAAATACTCAGTGACTGCCCTACCTCCGTGTACGAAACCAAATACTCAGTGACTGCCCTACCTCCGTGTACGAAACCAAATACTCAGTGACTGCCCTACCATCTGTGTACGAAACCAAATACTCAGTGACTGCCCTACCTCCGTGTACGAAACCAAATACTCAGTGACTGCCCTACCTCCGTGTACGAAACCAAATACTCAGTGACTGCCCTACCATCTGTGTACGAAACCAAATACTCAGTGACTGCCCTACCTCCGTGTACGAAACCAAACACTCAGTGACTGCCCTACCTCCGTGTACGAAACCAAACACTCAGTGACCCACTTTTTATCACCGAAGAAACTCTCGCGAGGCAAGGCTCATCAAGTGGACGCCATCTTGATCGTGGCTGACCTCCAGTTCTGCGGGGTCGAGAGTTTGTTCAGTTCTGCTCTCTTCTTGTGGGCTAAGGTCAGTAGAGGTCAAACTGACCATTGGTCATCGTTATAGCTGTTTAACGTCACCACGTTTTGTGTTTAATATGTGATTTGTGATGCAGACAGACATATAGACAAACAGACACAGACAGACAAAAAGGCAGACGGACGAACAGACAGACAGACAGACAGACAGACAGACAGACAGACAGACAGACAGACAGACAGACAGACAGACAGACAGACAGACAGACGGACAGACAGACGGACAGACGGACAGACGGACGGACGGACAGACAGACGGACGGACGGACGGACAGACAGACTTTGAGACTAAACCAAGTTTTTGAGAGGCTAGCTTCCTGTGTCTGTAGACAATGCATTAATACCACGGGGAATATAAGGCACTACATTAAACATACAAAACTTGTGTAAAGTTTGTTGTTAGATGTTTTCAAAGTGTCAAGTTTATTGTTAGATGTTTTATTTCATTTGGAATGTAGGATGTGTGACGTGACATGTAGGATGTGTGACGTGACATGTAGGATGTGTGACGTGACATGTAGGATGTGTGACGTGACATGTAGGATGTGTGACGTAACATGTTGGATGTTTGTTGCACGGCATCTAGCCACACATCTGTCACACATCTGTCACCAGGTGCTGGAGGTCCTGATTGAGACCTACCCGTCCCTGATCAAAGAGATTCTGCTCATCAACACCCACACGGTGACCTTGGAGATAGAGGGCAACCTACAGTCGTACTTCAGCGCCCCGGCATGTCAGCTGATTAAAGTCTGTGGCAGACATTACATGCCGTGAGTATAGTGGGGGAGGGGGGCAGACATTACATGCCGTGAGTATAGTGGGGGAGGGGGGCAGACATTACATGCCGTGAGTATAGTGGGGGGGGGGGCAGACATTACATGCCGTGAGTGGGGGAGGGGGGCAGACATTACATGCCGTGAGTATAGTGGGGGAGGGGGGCAGACATTACATGCCGTGAGTATAGTGGGGGAGGGGGGCAGACATTACATGCCGTGAGTATAGTGGGGGGGGGGGCAGACATTACATGCCGTGAGTATAGTGGGGGAGGGGGGCAGACATTACATGCCGTGAGTATAGTGGGGGAGGGGGGCAGACATTACATGCCGTGAGTATAGTGGGGGGGGGGCAGACATTACATGCCGTGAGTGGGGGAGAGGGGCAGACATTACATGCCGTGAGTGGGGGAGAGGGGCAGACATTACATGCCGTGAGTGGGGGAGAGGGGCAGACATTACATGCCGTGAGTGGGGGAGAGGGGCAGACATTACATGCCGTGAGTATACAGCTAGTGGGGGAGGGGGGCAGACATGACATGCCGTGAGTATACAGCTAGTGGGGGAGGGGGGCAGACATTACATGCCGTGAGTATAGTGGGGGAGGGGGGCAGACATTACATGCCGTGAGTATAGTGGGGGAGGGGGGCAGACATTACATGCCGTGAGTGGGGGAGGGGGGCAGACATTACATGCCGTGAGTGGGGGAGGGGGGCAGACATTACATGCCGTGAGTATAGGGGGGGAGGGGGGGCAGACATTACATGCCGTGAGTATACAGCTAGTGGGGGAGGGGGGCAGACATTACATGCCGTGAGTATAGTGGGGGAGGGGGGCAGACATTACATGCCGTGAGTATAGGGGGGGAGGGGGGGCAGACATTACATGCCGTGAGTATAGGGGGGAGGGGGGGCAGACATTACATGCCGTGAGTATAGTGGGGGAGGGGGGCAGACATTACATGCCGTGAGTATAGTGGGGGAGGGGGGGCAGACATTACATGCCGTGAGTATAGGGGGGGAGGGGGGGCAGACATTACATGCCGTGAGTATAGGGGGGGAGGGGGGGCAGACATTACATGCCGTGAGTATAGTGGGGGAGGGGGGCAGACATTACATGCCGTGAGTGGGGGAGGGGGGCAGACATTACATGCCGTGAGTATAGGGGGGGAGGGGGGCAGACATTACATGCCGTGAGTATACAGCTAGTGGGGGAGGGGGGCAGACATTACATGCCGTGAGTATAGTGGGGGAGGGGGGCAGACATTACATGCCGTGAGTATAGGGGGGGAGGGGGGCAGACATTACATGCCGTGAGTATAGGGGGGGAGGGGGGGCAGACATTACATGCCGTGAGTATAGTGGGGGGGGGCAGACATTACATGCCGTGAGTATAGGGGGGGAGGGGGGGCAGACATTACATGCCGTGAGTATAGTGGGGGATGGGGGCAGACATTACATGCCGTGAGTATAGGGGGGGAGGGGGGGCAGACATTACATGCCGTGAGTATAGTGGGGGAGGGGGGCAGACATTACATGCCGTGAGTATAGGGGGGGAGGGGGGGGCAGACATTACATGCCGTGAGTATAGGGGGGGAGGGGGGGCAGACATTACATGCCGTGAGTATAGTGGGGGAGGGGGGCAGACATTACATGCCGTGAGTATACAGCTAGTGGGGGAGGGAGAGGACGGGGGGGACCACCCTGATAAAATCATGATACGTGTGGGCAGAATGAGGTGCGTCTCTGATACAAACAAGGCTGGTCCTGATAGCGTTGATGACGTCATAATGACGCACGTTCCGCCTCTCCCCAGGGATTTACTCAAGCGTATCAAACACCAGGAGATTCCCGCTTACCTGGGCGGCAACAAAAAGATGCCAGACATTCACACCTTCGCTAGACTGGACGTGGACTACTGGAACTGTAAGGTAGGTCACACAGACAAGAGGTTGAGGTTATGTGAGGTAGGTCACACAGACAAGAGGTCAAGGTTATGTGAGGTAGGTCACACAGACAAGAGGTCAAGGTTATGTGAGGTAGGTCACACAGACAAGAGGTCAAGGTTATGTGAGGTAGGTCACACAGACAAGAGGCCAAGGTTATATGAGGCAGGTCACACTGAAAAAAGGTCGAGGTTATGTATGGTAGGTCACTTATGCAAAAGGTCAAGGTTATGTAATATATGTCACACCTGTAAGAGGTCAAGGTTATGTAAGGCAGGTTACATAGCCAGCGGATCATGGTTATAAAAGACAGGCACAATAGGCAAGGGGCAAAGGTTATGTAAGGTAGACTAAATATGCTAGGGTCAAGGTTATGCAATGTAAGCCACATAGCCCCCCCTCCCCCTCCCCTACAGGATCTAGACTGGATCTCTGTGACCGACGCCCGACGGGCCAAACAGAAAACCGACGAGTGCACGGTCCTGCCGGGCATCCGGCGTGTGGAGGAGTATCACGTGACCGAGGCCGAGTCGAGCCTGGCCTGGGAGGTGAAGGACATCGATGAGGCTATCGGTCTGTCCATCTACTGGCACCTGCTGGGTGAGCGGAACCTCGTCTTCGCCAGATGCGTGTGAGTACACCCATGCACGTGCGACCTTGACCCGTGGAGCGTACACGAGCGACCTTGTGTGTGACTGTATTTATTCGTCTATTGTTGTTTGCTCAGTTTGCTGAGATCAGTTTAGTACGCTAAAGTGAATTAAAAATGTTTAGTATAAACTTACCTAAAGAAGTAATTTTTCTGAGATATTTTGACTGATATATTCTGTCTTAGGGATAATTTCTCCTGTTATATTTTGTTATATATCTAGACCTGCTGATAGACTTGTAATGTCCCCAGGCTATCTGCTGATAGATTTGTAATGTCCCCAGCCTTTAGATCTGCTAATAGATTTGTAATGTCCCCAGCCTATCTGCTGATAGATTTGTAATGTCCCCAGGCTTTAGATCTGCTGATAGATTTGTAATGTCCCCAGCCTATCTGCTGATAGATTTGTAATGTCCCCAGCCTTTAGATCTGCTGATAGACTTGTAATGTCCCCAGCCTATCTGCTGATAGATTTGTAATGTCCCCAGCCTTTAGATCTGCTGATAGATTTGTAATGTTCCCAGCCTATCTGCTGATAGATTTGTAATGTCCCCAGGCTATCTGCTGATAGATTTGTAATGTCCCCAGGCTTTAGATCTGCTGATAGATTTGTAATGTCCCCAGCCTTTAGATCTGCTGATAGATTTGTAATGTCCCCAGCCTTTAGATCTGCTGATAGATTTGTAATGTCCCCAGCCTTTAGATCTGCTGATAGATTTGTAATGTCCCCAGCCTTTAGATCTGCTGATAGATTTGTAATGTCCCCAGCCTTTAGATCAGCTGATAGATTTGTAATGTCCCCAGCCTTTAGATCTGCTGATAGATTTGTAATGTCCCCAGCCTTTAGATCTGCTGATAGATTTGTAATGTCCCCAGCCTTTAGATCTGCTGATAGATTTGTAATGTCCCCAGCCTTTAGATCTGCTGATAGATTTGTAATGTCCCCAGCCTTTAGATCTGCTGATAGATTTGTAATGTCCCCAGCCTTTAGATCTGCTGATAGATTTGTAATGTCCCCAGCCTTTAGATCTGCTGATAGATTTGTAATGTCCCCAGCCTTTAGATCTGCTGATAGATTTGTAATGTCCCCAGCCTTTAGATCTGCTGATAGATTTGTAATGTCCCCAGCCTTTAGATCTGCTGATAGATTTGTAATGTCCCCAGCCTTTAGATCTGCTGATAGATTTGTAATGTCCCCAGCCTTTAGATCTGCTGATAGATTTGTAATGTCCCCAGCCTTTAGATCTGCTGATAGATTTGTAATGTCCCCAGCCTTTAGATCTGCTGATAGATTTGTAATGTCCCCAGCCTTTAGATCTGCTGATAGATTTGTAATGTCCCCAGCCTTTAGATCTGCTGATAGATTTGTAATGTCCCCAGCCTTTAGATCTGCTGATAGATTTGTAATGTCCCCAGCCTTTAGATCTGCTGAAAGATTTGTAATGTCCCCAGCCTTTAGATCTGCTGATAGATTTGTAATGTCCCCAGCCTTTAGATCTGCTGATAGATTTGTAATGTCCCCAGCCTTTAGATCTGCTGATAGATTTGTAATGTCCCCAGCCTTTAGATCTGCTGATAGATTTGTAATGTCCCCAGCCTTTAGATCTGCTGATAGATTTGTAATGTCCCCAGCCTTTAGATCTGCTGATAGATTTGTAATGTCCCCAGCCTTTAGATCTGCTGATAGATTTGTAATGTCCCCAGCCTTTAGATCTTCTGATAGATTTGTAATGTCCCCAGCCTTTAGATCTGCTGATAGATTTGTAATGTCCCCAGCCTTTAGATCTGCTGATAGATTTGTAATGTCCCCAGCCTTTAGATCTGCTGATAGATTTGTAATGTCCCCAGCCTTTAGATCTGCTGATAGATTTGTAATGTCCCCAGCCTTTAGATCTGCTGATAGATTTGTAATGTCCCCAGCCTTTAGATCTGCTGATAGATTTGTAATGTCCCCAGCCTTTAGATCTGCTGATAGATTTGTAATGTCCCCAGCCTTTAGATCTGCTGATAGATTTGTAATGTCCCCAGCCTTTAGATCTGCTGATAGATTTGTAATGTCCCCAGCCTTTAGATCTGCTGATAGATTTGTAATGTCCCCAGCCTTTAGATCTGCTGATAGATTTGTAATGTCCCCAGCCTTTAGATCTGCTGATAGATTTGTAATGTCCCCAGCCTTTAGATCTGCTGATAGATTTGTAATGTCCCCAGCCTTTAGATCTGCTGATAGATTTGTAATGTCCCCAGCCTTTAGATCTGCTGATAGATTTGTAATGTCCCCAGCCTTTAGATCTGCTGATAGATTTGTAATGTCCCCAGCCTTTAGATCTGCTGATAGATTTGTAATGTCCCCAGCCTTTAGATCTGCTGATAGATTTGTAATGTCCCCAGCCTTTAGATCTGCTGATAGATTTGTAATGTCCCCAGCCTTTAGATCTGCTGATAGATTTGTAATGTCCCCAGCCTTTAGATCTGCTGATAGATTTGTAATGTCCCCAGCCTTTAGATCTGCTGATAGATTTGTAATGTCCCCAGCCTTTAGATCTGCTGATAGATTTGTAATGTCCCCAGCCTTTAGATCTGCTGATAGATTTGTAATGTCCCCAGCCTTTAGATCTGCTGATAGATTTGTTATGTCCCCAGCCTTTAGATCTGCTGATAGATTTGTAATGTCCCCAGCCTTTAGATCTGCTGATAGATTTGTAATGTCCCCAGCCTTTAGATCTGCTGATAGATTTGTAATGTCCCCAGCCTTTAGATCTGCTGATAGATTTGTAATGTCCCCAGCCTTTAGATCTGCTGATAGATTTGTAATGTCCCCAGCCTTTAGATCTGCTGATAGATTTGTAATGTCCCCAGCCTTTAGATCTGCTGATAGATTTGTAATGTCCCCAGCCTTTAGATCTGCTGATAGATTTGTAATGTCCCCAGCCTTTAGATCAGCTGATAGATTTGTAATGTCCCCAGCCTTTAGATCTGCTGATAGATTTGTAATGTCCCCAGCCTTTAGATCTGCTGATAGATTTGTAATGTCCCCAGCCTTTAGATCTGCTGATAGATTTGTAATGTCCCCAGCCTTTAGATCTGCTGATAGATTTGTAATGTCCCCAGCCTTTAGATCAGCTGATAGACTTGTAATGTCCCCAGCCTATCTGCTGATAGATTTGTAATGTCCCCAGGCTATCTGCTGATAGATTTGTAATGTCCCCAGCCTATCTGCTGATAGATTTGTAATGTCCCCAGCCTATCTGCTGATAGATTTGTAATGTCCCCAGCCTTTAGATCTGCTGATAGATTTGTAATGTCCCCAGCCTTTAGATCTGCTGATAGATTTGTAATGTCCCCAGCCTTTAGATCAGCTGATAGACTTGTAATGTCCCCAGCCTATCTGCTGATAGATTTGTAATGTCCCCAGGCTATCTGCTGATAGATTTGTAATGTCCCCAGCCTATCTGCTGATAGATTTGTAATGTCCCCAGCCTTTGTGAGGACAGCGCCAACCTGTCTGGAGAGATCGAGTGTTCGATGACGGGCAGGTACCTGGTGGTACTGGACAATGTTCGGGACCTGGCACAGGCCTGCACTTTCAAGCACACCATCACCATCCGGTCACCCAAAGAAAAAACCGTCCAGAAAACTCTCAAGATAGGTCAGTGATTCTGCTCACATTACACCTGACATCTCATGACCTTTGACCTGACATCGCCTTTCACTTGACTTAATTTATCCTGACCTATGACCTGATACCTCCTGAAATCTGACCTGATAATTAATGAGTTTGGACTTGTTATCTCATGACCTTCGACCTCATGACCTTTGACCTGAGATCTCATGACCTTTGACCTTCGACCTCATGACCTTTGACCTGGGATCTCATGACCTTTGACTTGATATCTCATGACCTTTGACCTTCGACCTCATGACCTTCGACCTGAGATCTCATGACCTTTGACCTATGGCTGGTGAAGAATATCGAATGATGTTTTCTCTGTGACAGAGGACACCATGGGCGTGAAGTTGCCGCCCATTCGTCAGACTGGAAGGAAGGACAGGCTTGATCAGATGGTCAACTTTAGGAGTGACAACACGGATTGGCTGACACACATTTAGCACAGCACACACAATGACCTACCGACCCACATTTAGCACAACACACACAATGACCAACTGACCCACTTAATAATACATAGCACACACAATGACCTACTGACCCACTTAATAATACATAGCACACACAATGACCTACTGACCCACATTTAGCACCAGTACGGAACCAGTTAAGATTACAGGATGTGACGCCAGACAAGGAACACACCTTCAAACCTTTCGAACCTTTACATCGTGTGAATGATTCGCCTCATGTCTCATACATTAATGGTATATTGAAGAATTACTCTGTTGAAATTATTAAACTTTAATTTAAAGGTGTTCCGATGTTTTTAAATTCTGACTTTTTAAAAAAAAAAGTGTTTTTGTGCTTGGCCCTACACATACACACACATACACACACATCTATAGCTACATATGTGTCAATCATAAAACAGACCTTGTTAAAAAAATGTAGTAAAAGGTCTTTAAACAACAAAAATAAAACTTTATCCCAAACTTTTCATTCAGTTGACAATGACAAATTTCCTTTATTAATAAACTGTAAGAAATCCTAGAAAAAAAACTGAACAAAAAACACAGCTATATATTTTTAAGCCAGTCCAGGTTTTCACTCTGAAAATTGTCAGCCATTTTCTTTCGCTTCTCCGTCTCTGTCACTCTCTGGGCTCGCCGATGTTGGACTGGAAGAAATCGTTTTTGGTAATGGGTTATTTGTTCGTTAAATGGGTTATATGTTGGTTAAATGGGTTATATGTTGGTTAAATGGGTTATGTGTTGGTTAAATGGGTTATATGTTGGTTAAATGGGTTATGTGTTCGTTAAACGGGCTGTGGTCGTCAAATGGATGTTCGTTACATGGGTTACATATACGTTAAACGGGTTATATGTTCGTTTAATAGGTAATCAGTTCGTTAAATGGATTTATATTCGTTAAATGGTTAACTGGTCGTTAAATGGGTCACTTTTTTAAAAGTGGGTTATATGTTAAATTGGTCACATGATCGTTAAATGGGTCATATCTTCGGTAAATGGGTCATATGTTCGTTAAACGGGTCATATGTTCGTTAAATGGGTTTATGAAGGTTGTACTGTTTTTATCTTTTTCCCCATGGGACGGGGTGGTGGTGGGCGAGGGCACAGACCAGCTGACCAGCTGACCAAGAGACCAGCTGACCAAGAGACCAGCTGACCAGCTGACCAAGAGACCAGCTGACCAAGAGACCAGCTGACCAAGAGACCAGCTGACCAGCTGACCAAGAGACCAGCTGACCAAGAGACCAGCTGACCAAGAGACCAGCTGACCAAGAGACCAGCTGACCAAGAGACCAGCTGACCAAGAGACCAGCTGACCAAGAGACCAGCTGACCAAGAGACCAGCTGACCAAGAGACCAGCTGACCAAGAGACCAGCTGACCAAGAGACCAGCTGACCAAGAGACCAGCTGACCAAGAGACCAGCTGACCAAGAGACCAGCTGACCAAGAGACCAGCTGACCAAGAGACCAGCTGACCAAGAGACCAGCTGACCAAGAGACCAGCTGACCAAGAGACCAGCTGACCAAGAGACCAGCTGACCAAGAGACCAGCTGACCAGCTGACCAAGAGACCAGCTGACCAAGAGACCAGCTGACCAAGAGACCAGCTGACCAGCTGACCAAGAGACCAGCTGACCAAGAGACCAGCTGACCAGCTGACCAAGAGACCAGCTGACCAAGAGACCAGCTGACCAAGAGACCAGCTGACCAGCTGACCAAGAGACCAGCTGACCAAGAGACCAGCTGACCAAGAGACCAGCTGACCAAGAGACCAGCTGACCAAGAGACCAGCTGACCAAGAGACCAGCTGACCAAGAGACCAGCTGACCAAGAGACCAGCTGACCAAGAGACCAGCTGACCAAGAGACCAGCTGACCAAGAGACCAGCTGACCAAGAGACCAGCTGACCAAGAGACCAGCTGACCAAGAGACCAGCTGACCAGCTGACCAAGAGACCAGCTGACCAAGAGACCAGCTGACCAAGAGACCAGCTGACCAAGAGACCAGCTGACCAGCTGACCAAGAGACCAGCTGACCAAGAGACCAGCTGACCAGCTGACCAAGAGAACAGCTGACCAAAAGACCAGCTGACGAACACACAACTCACCCAATGGAACCATTGGCGTAAACTGGGTCATGTACGTGCCGGGCGGGGTCACGGTGACCTTGTACCTAACTCTGGCACCGTCCTGCGAGTTCCTGGTATTGTCCAGCAGCGCCAGGTACCTGCCGGTCACGTGACAGTTTATACAGCCTGACTGGGCACCTGTGTCACGTGATACCCTGCAAACATCAGGCCACAATATGTCGCTGACCTTGAAGAGAATTAGACCCCCCACACCAAACGCTGACCTTGAATAGAATTGGACCCCCCCCCCCATAGACTCATAGGCTACATAAAGGACCTTCCAAATAAAAATCTACATTTAATTTGCCAGCTAATATATGTGGTTGTCCCCATCCCAAACAACCCCCCCCCCCATATACTCACACGACGGGTTGGCAGACCAGATGGTTGTCACCCAGCACGTTCAGACCAACCGAGAACGTGACCGGGTTGTCCTCAACCTCCACCAGCCACGTGAGCTGGCTGTCGGGGGCGGCCACGTGATACTCCTCCACCCTCAGCACCCCCGCTCCCACCAACTGGACGGGCCCCTGGGTGCTGGACTCAGTCTCCATGGTAACGTACGGCATCTAAGGTCAGGGAAAAAGTTAGTGTCGTAATCGCGTGACCTTGGTGACCTTGTCACTTCACCTGTCTAACCCGAGCTAGTATCTGACCTTGACATTCCAGTGGCTCTGACCTTGACATTCCAGTGTATCCTGAGACCACAATCCAAGTTTGGCTCCAGCTCTCGTTGTCCCCGGAGGTAGACGGGCAGCTCCTGGTGGGGGATCTTCTTCCTCAGCTCTCTGTGACAGGTGGACAGGTGTGCAGGTGGACAGGTGGACAGGTGGGCAGGTGGACAGGTGGTCAGGAGGACAGGTGGACAGGTCGGCAGGTGGGCAGGTGGACAGATGGACAGATGGATAGGTGGACAGGTGGACAGGTGGACAGGTGAACAGGTGGACAGGTGTGCAGGTGGACAGGTGGACAGGTGAACAGGTGGACAGGTGTGCAGGTGGACAGGTGTGCAGGTGGACAGGTGGACAGGTGGGCAGGTATGCAGGTGGGCAGGTGTGCAGGTGGGCAGGTGTGTAGGTGGACAGGTGGACAGGTGTGCAGGTGGACAGGTGTGCAGGTGGACAGGTGGACAGGTGTGCAGGTGGGCAGGTAGACAGGTGGACAGGTGTGCAGATGGACAGGTGTGCAGGTGGACAGGTGGACAGGTGGGCAGGTGGGCAGGTGTGCAGGTGGGCAGGTGTGCAGGTGGGCAGGTGTGTAGGTGGACAGGAAAACAGGTGGACAGGTAGGCAAGTGTGTAGGTAGACAGGTGGGCTGGTGGACAGGTGGACAGGTAGGCAAGTGTGTAGGTAGACAGGTGGACAGGTGGATAGATGGATAGGTAGACAGGTAGACAGGTGGACAGGTAGGCAGGTGGACAGGTAGGCAGGTGGATAGATGGATAGGTGGACAGGTAGGCAGGTGTGCAGGCGGACAGGTAGGCAGGTGGACAGGTAGGCAGGTGGACAGATGGATAGGTGGACAGGTAGGCAGGTGTGTAGGTGGGCAGGTGGACAGGTAGACAGTTGGACAGGTGGGCAGTTGGACAGGTGGGCAAGTGGAAAGGTAGACAGATGGACAGGTGGACAGGTGTGCAGGTGGACAGGTGAACAGGTAGGCAGGTGGACAGGTGGGCAGGTGTGCAGGTGGACAGGTAGACAGTTGGACAGGTGGGCAGGTGTGCAAGTGGACAGGTGGGCAGGTGGACGGGTGGGCAGGTAGACAGGTGGACAGGTAGACAGGTGGACAACTAGACAGGTGGGCAGGTAGACAGGTAGGGAAGATGATATGGGAGGTATAGACATACATGTTGGTGAGGTAAAAACCCTCCAACTACCCACAAAGACCACTACCCCTAACCACATTACCCACCACCACCCACATGACTACCACCAACACTGCTACCACCTACCACCAGCTACCCATTGCCAACCAGCACTTACCACCACGAACCACACACCCAAAACACACCCACCAATCATCACCAAAGACACATCAACAAACACTAACACATACCACCAACTACCCACAACACCCTAACCACCACCAACCACCACCACCACCAACACCTACCACCAACTACCCACCACCAACTACCCACCACCAACTACCCACCACCAACTACCCACAACACCCTAACCACCACCTACCACCAAATTTCCACCACCTATCTGACCACACCGACCACATTCACCCACACACCACCACCCAACACTACCACCCACCTCACCACACCGTCCAGTTACCTGAGAAAGTGATTATCATACATGGTCATCAGACTCCAGGCCTCACGCGAGAAGCAGGACGTGCACGCCTGGTGAAGGTCACGGGGAAGGTCAGGGACGTTGATGACAATTATCTCTTTAATTAAGGTGGGGTAATTATCTAGCAGCATCTGCAGTATCTGTAAGACACAGATCACCAAAAGATAACTGACGACTCGGACTAAATGGTTGGATTTTCATGGTCTAGTAGAGTGAGGTACTGAGGTACCATCCTTATGGTCTAGTAGAGAGAGGTACTGAGGTACCATCCTTATGGTCTAGTAGAGAGAGGTACTGAGGTACCATCCTTATGGTCTAGTAGAGTGAGGTACTGAGATACCATCCTTATGGTCTAGTAGAGAGAGGTACTGAGGTACTGAGGTACCATCCTTATGGTCTAGTAGAGTGAGGTACTGAGGTACTGAGGTACCATCCTTATGGTCTAGTAGAGTGAGGTACTGAGATACCATCCTTATGGTCTAGTAGAGTGAGGTACTGAGGTACCATCCTTATGGTCTAGTAGAGTGAGGTACTGAGGTACTGAGGTACCATCCTTATGGTCTAGTAGAGTGAGGTACTGAGATACCATCCTTATGGTCTAGTAGAGTGAGGTACTGAGGTACCATCCTTATGGTCTAGTAGAGAGAGGTACTGAGGTACCATCCTTATGGTCTAGTAGAGTGAGGTACTGAGATACTTAGGTACCATCCTTATGGTCTAGTTGAGAGAGGTACTGAGGTACCATCCTGATGGAAGATTATCAAAACTCATTGCTGCACTGAATGACTCCATCGAATCCAAAAGTAATCATAAAGCAAAATAAAGAGGTTAGTAAACTACTGATAGAAAATGTGAATTCGTGCAAGAAAAAAACAGTAGATTGGTAAACTACTGATAGAAAAATGTCAACTTGTGGAAAACTAAAGTTACCTCCGCCCACCTTTTGATGTTGCCAGGAGAGATGTCAATCTTCTGACAGAACTGGACATCAACGACAAGAAGAATCGAGTCGACATCTTTCTCTCTGCACACTGTCAGGTCCTGGATAGTGGGTCGTCAGTTTAGTGCAAGCGGTCAAAGGAAATGTCTACTATACGAGAGCACTTAAAATATACATGCCCATTACAGATATCAGTAATGATACACTTTAAATTGTCCATTAAACATGCACATTACCATTGTACTTTACACTGTCTCCTTCATATGTCCATTACAAATGTCCACTACAAATGTCCACTATAAATGTCCACTACAAATGTTCACTACAAATGTTCACTACAAATGTCCACTACAAATGTCCACTACAAATGTCCAATAAAAATGTTCACTACAAATGTCCACTACAAATGTCCACTACAAATGTCCACTACAAATGTCCAATAAAAATGTCCACTACAAATGTCCACTCCAAATGTCCACTACAAATGTCCACTACAAATGTCCCTCCAAATGTCCACTACAAATGTCCACTTCAAATGTCCACTACAAATGTCCACTACTAATGTCCACTACAAATGTCCCTCCAAATGTCCACTACAAATGTCCACTACAAATGTCCACTCCAAATGTCCACTACAAATGTCCACTACAAATGTCCCTCCAAATGTCCACTACAAATGTCCACTACAAATGTCCACTACAAATGTCCACTACAAATGTCCACTACAAATGTCCACTACAAATTTCCACTACTAATGTCCACTACAAATGTCCACTACAAATGTCCCTTCAAATGTCCACTACAAATGTCCACTTCAAATGTCCACTACAAATGTCCACTACAAATGTCCACTACAAATTTCCACTACTAATGTCCACTACAAATGTCCACTACAAATGTCCCTCCAAATGTCCACTACAAATGTCCACTTCAAATGTCCACTACAAATGTCCACTACAAATGTCCACTACAAATGTCCACTACAAATGTCCACTACAAATGTCCACTACAAATTTCCACTACTAATGTCCACTACAAATGTCCACTACAAATGTCCCTCCAAATGTCCACTACAAATGTCCACTACAAATGTCCACTACAAATGTCCACTACAAATGTCCACTACAAATGTCCACTACAAATGTCCACTACTAATGTCCACTACAAATGTCCACTACAAATGTCCACTACAAATGTCCACTACAAATTTCCACTCCAAATGTCCACTACAAATGTCCACTACAAATGTCCCTCCAAATGTCCACTACAAATGTCCACTACAAATGTCCACTACAAATGTCCACTACAAATGTCCACTACAAATGTCCACTACAAATGTCCACTACAAATGTCCAATAAAAATGTCCACTACAAATGTCCACTCCAAATGTCCACTACTAATGTCCACTACAAATGTCCACTACAAATTTCCACTACAAATGTCCACTACAAATGTCCACTACAAATGTCCCTCCAAATGTCCACTACAAATGTCCACTACAAATGTCCACTACAAATGTCCACTACAAATGTCCACTACAAATGTCCACTACAAAGGTCACCTTGAGGTGCTCCAGGATCTTCTCGTGTTGATACAGCTTGTACCTGACTAGCGCCTGCTTGCCTGCCGCCTGCTTGCCTGTCGCCTGCTTGCCTGTCGCCTGCTTCCCTGCCGCCTGCAGGATGTCGTCAAACGTCATCAGGCCAAACAGCTCGTAGTAGACGGGTGATCCTTGCCGGTCAATGCCGCAAAGACCGGCCGGATAGTGGAGCAAAATCTGCCGGAAGACCGGTCCATTCTTAAACATTGAGCTGACAGCGTTCAAATACATGTTACATACTCATTGTAGTGACCGCTTACCTTTGCTAGATGCTCACGGTTAGAGTCAGTGCCTGCTAACCTTTGCTAGATGCTCACGGTTAGAGTCAGTGACCGCTTACCTTTGCTAGATGCTCACGGTTAGAGTCAGTGGCCGCTTACCTTTGCTAGATGCTCACGGTTAAAGTCAGTGACCGCTTACCTTTGCTAGATGCTCACGGTTAAAGTCAGTGACCGCTTACCTTTGCTAGATGCTCACGGTTAGAGTCATTGACCGCTAACCTTTGCTAGATGCTCACGGTTAAAGTTAGTGACCGCTTACCTTTGCTAGATGCACACGGTTAAAGTTAGAGACCGCTTACCTTTGCTAGATGCACACGGTTAAAGTCAGTGACCGCTTACCTTTGCTAGATGCACACGGTTAAAGTCAGTGACCGCTTACCTTTGCTAGATGCTCACGGTTAGAGTCAGTGGCCGCTTACCTTTGGTACTTTGTAGCTGGTCAACAATTTGTCCATTTTCATTTTGTCGCGAAACTCTAAATGTCGTCGTATCTTGCTGTCCGCGCCAAACACGTCACGAGAAGATACGTCCAGCCATTTCTTCAGAGTTTTTGTCGACAGGTCAAGTAGAGGCCCGTATTTTGGATGTCTAGGGGTGGGGGAGGAGTAGGGGGTGGGGAGGGGTGATACAAAAAATGGCCATGTAAAAAAAACAATGCCCTGGTGGTAGTAACGCAGCAACATGTCTACATGCGATCTTACACGGCACTGCGACAAAATGTCGACAAGGGAAGTAACAAAAGTCTTACTGCAGTAATGGCAAAATGTCGACAAAGGAAGTAACAAAAGTCTTACTGCAGTAAGGGCAGCAGACGACACTTCAAACGTCGCACGGCGATGGCCAACTTTTCATCTCGCCTTGACCGGAGATCAACCTTCGATTCATCGCTTGATTGGAGCTGACCGTTCGATTTCTCGCTTGATTGGCGCTGACCTTTTTTTATCTCGGGGAAAATTGACGGCAGTCTCGTCATGGTCTGTAGATATTTATAGCACGAGGAGCTAATTATAGCGCGAGGTACGCTAATTATAGCACGAGGAGAAGGTCCATAAAATAATAACATCAATTCTTCATGTCTGTTATTCAACAAGCATATCATAACACAGGTCTATCAATGGAATGGTCTCGTCAGCCTTGTGTTGATAAACAAATGTGTCAACTTCCGTTCATTGGCCGGATTTTTTGGTTTGTTGACAAATACATGCACGCCATACTTTCATGTTAAGATGGTTTCCGTTGTTCAAATTAATATTATTCTAAAATAATTAGTTCTTTACACCAATTTGCAAAAACAAATCAAGTTTAATACTTTTCAATTTAATGACAGGCAAAATATCATAAAGTTTTAAACTCTTGTTTTAACCTCTCCATTCCCCGCCCCTACCCACACTGACTCCCCGTACCCACACTGACCCCATAGCCACACTGACCCCATAGCCACACTGACCCCCTACTCACACTGACCCCATAGCCACACTGACCCCAAAGCCACACTGACCCCCCTACCCACACTGACCCCCTACTCACACTGACCCCATAGACACACTGACCCCACAGCCACACTGACCCAATAGCCACACTGAACCCCCTTCCCAAACTGACCCCCCACCCTCCTATCCAAATGTACCGCACTATCTCATTAATGTGCTAAAATACGCATCCATTTTAATATTTCTTTTCTTTTTATAACAACTTATTTTCAATCAACACAAATTGACCACAGGTTTACACTTTTGTATATATAACTTTAATTGTCAGCATCAAACGATCAGAAAATCAGCGTGCATAATTTCAAAATACTTGTATAGAAAAAAATATTCCGTTGATAATCAACGTACAACGACCTTTTAAAAGACCATTTTAAATCATTAGAATATTACTCCAATATTCTAATGATTTAAAAACACTTTAAATTATCCAAGCGAAGAATCCATTCAAAGCAAAATAAAATAGCGTCTTATATAAAAGGATAGTTGTCGATTGAAAGATTTTATACGATGTAATACATTATTGTCTTTTGGCTTTAGCTTTAAGGATATATCTGTTTGTTATTTCTATTAGGTTCCAACAATTATATCATTTGTCAATAAGAAAAATCGCCAAACAACCGTGACGTCATTTAAGAAAGACTCCTAAACCCAAAGGATGTCGGATGGTAAAGTAATGTGCTCAAATACCAAGTTGAAACCAGAAAAAAAACAGTTTGTCCAGTTTTGTGCAACATCGTGCAGCATCTGGTGCAACAGTTTGGTGCGACACCGCCATCTTAGCCTATTTGTGCTGGTGCTGACTGACTTGCAAACGGAAGGAAATCTTTGGCGCGCTACAGGTGGGAGTAGAATTCTATTGTCCAGTTCGTTGTCCACTTCCTTGTGGGGTGGGGTGGTCTTCTGTCTTGTGGGGTGGGGTGGTCCTCTATCTTGTGGGTGTTCACATTTTGAAATTATCGTAAACAAAATTGTATCCAGTAGCTTACAGCTGCCTGGCAGTACATAATTAGTTAAGCTCCAAAATACAGTTTATTTTGTTTAAGCTCCAAAAGACAGTTTGTTTTGCTTAAGCTCCAAAAGACAGTTTGTTTTGTTTAAGCTCCAAAAGACACAGTTTGTTAAAGCTCCAAAGGAAAATGTTTTGTCTTATAGAGCTGCATCCATGGATAAAGTCGTGATTCTGGTGTTATCCACATTTTTTCTTGGGATCTTTTGTCAGATGGGTGAGTGTTCTATGTGTAACATTTACAGGTGAGTGTTCTATATGTAACATTTACAGATGAGTGTTCTATATGTAACATTTACAGATGGGTGTTCTATGTGTAACATTTACAGGTGAGTGTTCTATTTATAGATGTAACATTTTTAGGTGGGTGTTCTATGTATAGATGTAACATTTACAGGTGAGTGTTCTATTTATAGATGTAACATTTTTAGGTGAGTGTTCTATGTGTAACATTTACAGGTGAGTGTTCTATTTATAGATGTAACATTTTTAGGTGGGTGTTCTATTTATAGATGTAACATTTACAGGTGAGTGTTCTATTTATAGATGTAACATTTTTAGGTCGGTGTTCTATTTATAGAGGTAACATTTTTTGGTGGGTGTTCTATTTATAGATGTAACATTTGCAGATTATGAGCCGGTTCGATGGGATCAGTTAGAGAACGTGAAGATCGACAAGTTTGAACAGGACTGTGTCAACTTTACCGGCTGTCGCTACACCGGCTTTGTGCTGGGTACTTTCTCCTTCCCGTCCTTCGTGCAGCCCTCAGCCCTAGGCAGCCTCAACATGCGTGTGGTCTACTGCCCGAGGGGTGGGGACTGCTCCAATACTGGGGACTGGAGATCGGTAAGCTTTTGGTTGGCATTTTGTGCTGGTGTACACACATGACATTTTGTGCTGGTGCACAGACATGACATTTTGTGCTGGTGTACACACATGACATTTTGTGCTGGTGTACACACATGACATTTTGTGGTGGTGTACAGACATGACATTTTGTGCTGGTGTACAGACATGACATTTTGTGCTGGTGTACAAACATGACATTTTGTGCTGGTGTACACACATGACATTTTGTGCTGGTGCACAGACATGACATTTTGTGCTGGTGTACACACATGACATTTTGTGCTGGTGTACACACATGACATTTTGTGGTGGTGTACAGACATGACATTTTGTGCTGGTGTACAGACATGACATTTTGTGCTGGTGTACAAACATGACATTTTGTGCTGGTGTACAAACATGACATTTTGTGCTGGTGTACACACATGACATTTTGTGCTGGTGTACAAACATGACATTTTGTGCTGGTGTACACACATGACATTTTGTGCTGGTGTACAAACATGACATTTTGTGCTGGTGTACACACATGACATTTTGTGCTGGTGTACAAACATGACATTTTGTGCTGGTGTACAAACATGACATTTTGTGCTGGTGTTCACACATGGCATTTTGTGCTGGTGTACAAACATGACATTTTGAGCTGGTATACACACATGATATTTTGTGCTGGTGTACACACATGACATTTTGTGCTGGTGTACAAACATGACATTTTGTGCTGGTGTACACACATGACATTTTGTGCTGGTGTACAAACATGAAATTTTGTGCTGGTGTACAAACATGACATTTTGTGCTGGTGTACACATATGGCATTTTGTGCTGGTGTACAAACATGACATTTTGAGCTGGTGTACACACATGATATTTTGTGCTGGTGTACACACATGACATTTTATGCTGGTGTACAAACATGACATTTTGTGCTGGTGTACACACATGACATTTTGTGCTGGTGTACACACATGACATTTTGTGCTGGTGTACACACATGACATTTTGTGCTGGTGTACACACATGACATTTTGTGCTGGTGTACAGACATGACATTTTGTGCTGGTGTACAGACATGACATTTTGTGCTGGTGTACAGACATGACATTTTATGGTGATGTACACACATGACATTTTGTGCTGATGTACACACATGACATTTTGTGCTGGTGTACAAACATAACATTTTGTGCTGGTGTACACGCATGACATTTTGTGCTGGTGTACTGACATGACATTTTGTGCTGGTGTACAGACATGACATTTTGTGCTGGTGTTCACACATGACATTTTGTGCTGGTGTACAAACATGACATTTTGTGCTGGTGTACAGACATGACATTTTGTGCTGGTGTACACACATGACGTTTTGTGCTGGTGTACATACACGAGGCTACGTTATGATAGGGTCACAGGTAGGGGGTATTGGATTGGTAGCTCAATAAACAGGGGGTGGGGTGGGGTGGGGGGGGGTAATGGTAGCTAAATAAACAGGGGGTGGGGTGGGGTGGGGGGGGGGGTAATGGTAGCTAAATAAACAGGGGGTGGGGTGGGGTGGGGGGGGGGGGGTAATGGTAGCTAAATAAACAGGGGGTGGGGTGGGGTGGGGGGGTAATGGTAGCTAAATAAACAGGGGGTGGGGTGGGGGGTAATGGTAGCTAAATAAACAGGGGGTGGGGTGGGGGGAGGGTAATGGCCACCAACAAGATCTTTGTTCCTGTATTGCAACAAGTTCCCCATCCACGTGACCTAAGTTCCTGTATTGCAACAAGTTCCCCATCCACATGACCTATGTTCCTGTATTGCAACAAGTTCCCCAACAACATGACCTAAGTTCCTGTATTGCAACAAGTTCCCCATCCACATGACCTAAGTTCCTGTATTGCAACAAGTTCCCCATCCAAGTGACCTATGTTCCTGTATTGCAACAAGTTCCCCATCAACATGACCTATGTTCCTGTATTGCAACAAGTTCCCCATCCACGTGACCTAAGTTCCTGTATTGCAACAAGTTCCCCAACAACATGACCTATGTTCCTGTATTGCAACAAGTTCCCCACCAACATGACCTATGTTCCTGTATTGCAACAAGTTCCCCATCCACGTGACCTATGTTCCTGTATTGCAACAAGTTCCCCACCAACATGACCTATGTTCCTGTATTGCAACAAGTTCCCCAACAACATGACCTATGTTCCTGTATTGCAACAAGTTCGCCATCAACATGACCTATGTTCCTGTATTGCAACAAGTTCCCCAACAACATGACCTATGTTCCTGTATTGCAACAAGTTCCCCATCCAAGTGACCTATGTTCCTGTATTGCAACAAGTTCCCCACCAACATGACCTATGTTCCTGTATTGCAACAAGTTCCCCATCCACGTGACCTATGTTCCTGTATTGCAACAAGTTCACCAACAACATGACCTATGTTCCTGTATTGCAACAAGTTCCCCATCCAAGTGACCTATGTTCCTGTATTGCAACAAGTTCCCCACCAACATGACCTATGTTCCTGTATTGCAACAAGTTCCCCATCCACGTGACCTATGTTCCTGTATTGCAACAAGTTCCCCATCCACGTGACCTAAGTTCCTGTATTGCAACAAGTTCCCCATCAACGTGACCTAAGTTCCTGTATTGCAACAAGTTCCCCATCAACATGACCTAAGTTCCTGTATTGCAACAAGTTCCCCACCAACATGACCTTTGTTCCTGTATTGCAACAAGTTCCCCATCCAAGTGACCTATGTTCCTGTATTGCAACAAGTTCCCCAACAACATGACGTATGTTCCTGTATTGCAACAAGTTCCCCATCCACGTGACCTAAGTTCCTGTATTGCAACAAGTTCCCCATCCAAGTGACCTATGTTCCTGTATTGCAACAAGTTCCCCAACAACATGACCTATGTTCCTGTATTGCAACAAGTTCCCCAACAACATGACCTATGTTCCTGTATTGCAACAAGTTCCCCAACCACATGACCTATGTTCCTGTATTGCAACAAGTTCCCCACCAACATGACCTTTGTTCCAGTACTGTGACCTATTGGGCTACTTCAACCGTGGGAACTCTGGATGCAACAGCCACAAGTTCCCGTGTTACTGCCAAGGTCGAGGTCAGGCTCGGGTCAAGTTCTACCCTGTCCTGGAGAACAGCTTGTACCAGATTCAGGTCGAGTACGACTACAACAACGAACGTGATGGTGTCGGCGTGGTCCAGTTCAGCAACATCTTTGACTTCATCAAACCAGGTAGGTGGTGCCAGCTCTACATTTTCGACTTTAAGCAAACCAGGTAGGTGGTGCCAGCTCTACATTTTCGACTTGAGCAAACCAGGTAGGTGGTGCCAGCTCTACATCTTCGACTTGAGCAAACCAGGTAGGTGATCTTTGACTTCATCAAACCAGGTAGGTGGTGCCAGCTCTACATTTTCGACTTCATCAAACCAGGTAGGTGGTGCCAGCTCTACATTTTCGACTTCAGAAAACCAGGTAGGTGGTGCCAGCTCTACATTTTCGACTTGAGCAAACCAGGTATGTGGTGCCAGCTCTACATCTTCGACTTGAGCAAACCAGGTAGGTGATCTTTGACTTCATCAAACCAGGTAGGTGGTGCCAGCTCTACATTTTCGACTTCATCAAACCAGGTAGGTGGTGCCAGCTCTACATTTTCGACTTTAAGCAAACCAGGTAGGTGGTGCCAGCTCTACATTTTCGACTTCAGAAAACCAGGTAGGTGCTGCCAGCTCTACATTTTCGACTTTAAGCAAACTAGGTAGGTGATCTTTGACTTCATCAAACCAGGTAGGTGGTGCCAGCTCTACATTTTCGACTTCATCAAACCAGGTAGGTGGTGCCAGCTCTACATTTTTGACTTCATCAAACCAGGTAGGTGGTGCCAGCTCTACATTTTCGACTTCATCAAACCAGGTAGGTGGTGCCAGCTCTACATTTTCGACTTCAGAAAACCAGGTAGGTGGTGCCAGCTCTACATTTTCGACTTCATCAAACCAGGTAGGTGGTGCCAGCTCTACATTTTCGACTTTAAGCAAACCAGGTAGGTGGTGCCAGCTCTACATTTTCGACTTTAAGCAAACCAGGTAGGTGGTGCCAGCTCTACATCTTCGACTTTAAGCAAACCAGGTAGGTGGTTCCAGCTCTACATTTTTGACTTCATCAAACCAGGTAGGTGGTGCCAGCTCTACATTTTCGACTTTAAGCAAACCAGGTAGGTGGTGCCAGCTCTACATTTTCGACTTCAGAAAACCAGGTAGGTGGTGCCAGCTCTACATTTTCGACTTCATCAAACCAGGTAGGTGGTGCCAGCTCTACATTTTCGACTTCATCAAACCAGGTAGGTGGTGCCAGCTCTACATTTTTGACTTCATCAAACCAGGTAGGTGGTGCCAGCTCTACATTTTCGACTTCATCAAACCAGGTAGGTGGTGCCAGCTCTACATTTTCGACTTCAGAAAACCAGGTAGGTGGTGCCAGCTCTACATTTTCGACTTCATCAAACCAGGTAGGTGGTGCCAGCTCTACATTTTCGACTTTAAGCAAACCAGGTAGGTGGTGCCAGCTCTACATTTTCGACTTTAAGCAAACCAGGTAGGTGGTGCCAGCTCTACATCTTCGACTTTAAGCAAACCAGGTAGGTGGTTCCAGCTCTACATTTTTGACTTCATCAAACCAGGTAGGTGGTGCCAGCTCTACATTTTCGACTTTAAGCAAACCAGGTAGGTGGTGCCAGCTCTACATTTTCGACTTCAGAAAACCAGGTAGGTGGTGCCAGCTCTACATTTTCGACTTCAGAAAACCAGGTAGGTGCTGCCAGCTCTACATTTTCGACTTTAAGCAAACCAGGTAGGTGATCTTTGACTTCATCAAACCAGGTAGGTGGTGCCAGCTCTACATTTTCGACTTCAGAAAACCAGGTAGGTGGTGCCAGCTCTACATTTTCGACTTCATCAAACCAGGTAGGTGGTGCCAGCTCTACATTTTCGACTTCATCAAACCAGGTAGGTGGTGCCAGCTCTACATTTTCGACTTTAAGCAAACCAGGTAGGTGGTGCCAGCTCTACATTTTCGACTTCATCAAACCAGGTAGGTGGTGCCAGCTCTACATTTTCGACTTTAAGCAAACCAGGTAGGTGGTGCCAGCTCTACATTTTCGACTTCAGAAAACCAGGTAGGTGGTGCCAGCTCTACATTTTCGACTTCAGAAAACCAGGTAGGTGCTGCCAGCTCTACATTTTCAACTTTAAGCAAACCAGGTAGGTGATCTTTGACTTCATCAAACCAGGTAGGTGGTGCCAGCTCTACATTTTCGACTTCATCAAACCAGGTAGGTGGTGCCAGCTCTACATTTTTTTTTCTGACTAGACGACTCGGTAGGCAACCTCAACACGATCAACTCCGACTAGCTGGCCATTATCTAGGCCGACCTTAATAAACTCCGACTATCTGGCCATTAGCTAGACAGACCTTAACAAACTCCGACTAGCTGGCCATTAGCTAGGCCGACCTTAACAAACTCCGACTAGCTGGCCATTAGCTAGACAGACCTTAACAAACTCCGACTAGCTGGCCATTAGCTAGACAGACCTAAAAAAAAAACTCCGACTAGCTGGCCATTAGCTAGACAGACCTTAACAAACTCCGACTAGCTGGCCATTAGCTAGGCCGACCTTAACAAACTCCGACTAGCTGGCCATTAGCTAGGCCGACCTTAACAAACTCCGACTAGCTGGCCATTAGCTAGGCCGACATAAAAAAAACTCCGACTAGCTGGCCATTAGCTAGGCCGTCATCAACTAATTCCGACTAACTGGCTCATGAAAATATCTCTATTTCGCACTATAGCAGTCATATATTTTATGTTGTACTTTGTATGAAAACATATTTAAAAAGCACCTATGCATATAGTCATATATTTTATGCTTTGCCAATGTATAAAGTCATATATTTGAAACCATACATGTATATAAAATCAGAAATATGATACTGTACCTGTATATAAAGTAATATATATGATACAGTACCTGAATATAAAGTCATATATATGATACTGTATCTGTACATGAAGTCATATATATAATACTGTATCTGAATGTAAAGTCTTATATATATATATATATATATATATATATATATATATATATATATATATATAAATATATATATATATATATATATATATATATATATATATATATGATAGTGTACCTGTATATAAAGTCATATTTTTTATACTGTACCTGTATATAAAGTCATATTTTTTATACTTTACCTGCAGCTGATTGGGACCCTATAGTTAAGGTGTCTCAATACGAATTGCAGAATGTCAAAAAAGAGATATGTTAGGTAATATATCAGGTAATATATCAGGTAATATATCAGGTAATATATCAGGTAATATATCAGGTAATATATCAGGTAATATATCAGGTAATATATCAGGTAATATATCAGGTAATATGTCATATAATATATCAGGTAATATATCAGGTAATATATCAGGTAATATATCAGGTAATATATCAGGTAATATATCAGGTAATATGTCATATAATATATCAGGTAATATATCAAGTAATATATCAGGTAATATATCAGGTAATATATCAGGTAATATATCAGGTAATATATCAGGTAATATATCAGGTAATATATCAGGTAATATATCAGGTAATATATCAGGTAATATATCAGGTAATATATCAGGTAATATATCAGGTAATATATCAGGTAATATGTCAGGTAATATGTTAGTTAGTATGTCAGGTTCTTTGACCGTTGCAGCCATAGTCTGGTCGATTGACACGGTCCGTCACACACCAGGTGGCTTTAGTCTCGGGGCGGGAGACGTTGGACGAGTTACATCAGCTCTAAAGAGTACCTGGCATTTATCTCAGTTATCTGAGCAGACGATAGCTGGACGCTAGCCTTGGATTAGTAGATACAAAAACCCGAGCTACTTTAGACTACACATGTTGAGGCTAGAGCTACTTTAGACTACACATGTTGAGGCTAGAGCTACTTTAGACTACACATGTTGAGGCTAGAGCTACTTTAGACTACACATGTTGAGGCTAGAGCTACTTTAGACTACACATGTTTAGGCTAGAGCTACTTTAGACTACACATGTTTAGGCTAGAGCTACTTTAGACTACACATGTTTAGGCTAGAGCTACTTTAGACTACACATGTTGAGGCTAGAGCTACTTTAGACTACACATGTTGAGGCTAGAGCTACTTTAGACTACACATGTTGAGGCTAGGTGTATAGATCTATTTACAATCAAAAACAGATGCCTGGTGTAGTACAAGAGCCCACCCACCCCACAGCCTAGAGCCTCACCCTCCCCACAGCCTAGAGCCTCACCCTCCCCACAGCCTAGAGCCTCACCCTCCCCACAGCCTAGTTCACGCCACACACAGACGTCAGCCAATGGTTCAGTACAGGTGTCAGACCCCCATTCAAACTTGATGTACATGTGTCAGTTTATATCTTGACAAATAAATATTTAAACGAGAACTCTAGTTTCTGCTTTTGACGTCTGTTTGTGTGTGTGTGCGTGCGTGTGAGTGTGTGTGCGTGTGTGTACGTGTGCGTATGTGTGTGTGCGTGTGTGTGGGTGCGTTTGTGCTAAAGCTCCGTGTGAGAATTTACGCCATTCAAGATTGGAACATCATGAAGAACGCTGCACCAAATGGACAGATGTTCAGGTTTGCTAGAGGATATAGCTGTCAACTAGATAATTATCGACATTAACACATACAAACATCACAGGAACACATACAAACATTGCCAGACATACATAGATCGTAATAGTACGTACCAACATAACAGCAATTGTATTCTCTATCTTTATACAACTTATCCGTTACAAACCAAACCTTCTAGCTATTATGAAGATCATAGATAAAAACTACCTCTATTGTATTTGCTCATGTGGCATGACCACAGACGCATGTCTCGTCTAGGTGGCTCGCGGCATATAATTCAATCAATATTTAAACTGATATGCCGCTAAAATAACCAATCACTACCATTTCTGTTTTGATATCCCATGTATAAATAGAAAGCTCTTCTTATGATTGTATTGTCAGGTTAAGGCAACTCTTTTTGTGATTATATTTTTAGGTTAAGATAACTCTTGAAACCTTCTATTAAAATGTAAGTTGAGGTAACCCCCCCTCCTCCAACACCATTTCGGAGTATGTGTGTTTCAAGTTAGAAAAAGACTTATTAATAAGTCGTGAGTGTTGAAAAACAGAATCGAGAGTTTGTTAATAAATTACCTTGAATAAGAATACAACTTAATAGCTGTCATCACTGTACTGCATATTATGTTAGCAAGTTTTGTTTTAAAATACTGTACAGTATATTCTGATTGATATTTTGGTTTGTAGTTTTAAAAGGGTTTAATGATTAACAAATAAATGTATTATTTTATTATTTACATTAGAAAATGAGCAAGTGTTGTGTTTTCACAACAATATACCTGCGATTTTCTTGAACTTCAATGCTCGTTGAAGAAAAAGTCACCCCGATGAGCTATCTGCAGCAACAAACGAGGAGAGAAAAATAATTACAACACACGCCAATGAAAAGTTAATTATTTTAATTATTAATTCAGCTAGACAACATGTAAACATCAGCTATCTAGTCTAGACCAACTGGAAAGTACCATCTAGCCGACATATTAAAAGATGTCTTGTTTTCGTATTTGATCAAAACTTTCTAGTTCGATTAAAAGCGTCAATTTACAAAACGTGTTTGTTTATATTAATGTATATTTCCTTTAAAAGATCGCAGGATTCATATTTTTTAAATTACCAAACTATATTTAGAATATCCTGATTATGTAATCTGGCTTTGATTACAATGTCGGATAGAGTAAGTAATCTTTTTTTATCTTTTAATCAAGTTAATGGATTTAATGTAACCAATTAATTGTAGTAATGTGTGTTACTGTCAAGTTTGGTGTTAAAGACGATGACTCATTCATTAAAGTAGGAAATGTTTTCACCTGGTATGTGTCATCATTAATGCAGAGAAGCTCTTCCGTCTCTTGGTTAGATACGTCACCAGTCAACAAAAACAGAATGGGCGCTACTGCCCACAACTACACTACATATAATTAATTAATCATATTTTCTTTAGGTTCAAGATTTCAGTTGTATATTTGTAAGGTTTTATCGTTGTATAAATACTGGGGAGTAAGCTATAAACATGGAACAGCCGACATAGCAAATCGGGGTTTACCGAAGAATCGGCGAAAACCCATAGTGCTCTCATATCTGCCATTTTGTTCAATTCTTTCTCTCTCTCTTGCTTACTATATTGTGTGTGTGTGTCAGTGGCGGAACTAGAAAAAAAGGGCCACCCCGCAAAAAAAAATTTAGGCCCCCATATGTATATATATATATATATATATATATATATATATATATATATATATATATATATATATATATATATATATATATATATATATATATATATATACAAACACAAAATACGAACATGGGATACTCATTGCTGGCCTGTTCGGGTTTTGAAAAAAAGTGTTTTGTTTATCAATTAAAACAAATTACAACATCATATCATGTGTGTAAGTGCATTAGTGTGTTTTGTGAAAATCAGTTCTATTTTATCTTGGTTATAATACTTCCTAGCCTCTAGACCTAGACGGTCAAAAGAATATAAAACACGAAAGCTTTTTATAAGTAATGGTGTCTCGTGTTATGTTTATGTTTTTTTTTTGTATTTATACTATTAATGTAAAATACATTTCCTTTTTGCACAATGTCATTCTTTAGTAAGTACTTTATAAAAATAAATAATTAAGAGAAGTAATTGCTTTTTAATTTGTTTAGTACAAATCTATTAAAAGGAACTTATGAGCACCTCTATTTTACTATTTAAAAAAGGGAAATAAGTCATAGAAGTGGTTTGAACGTTTGCTTATCTTTGATAAGTTTGATTGTAGGAGAAAGAGGACTCGGCTTTCACAGTAGTTAAAAACAAAGGGAAAAAGAATATTCAAGAGTTCGTGGGTTGGTGTCTATAGAATAAAGATAATCCAACCGCAGCTACGGTAACCTTTTTACAAAACAACCATCAAGTCAAAATGCAAGAAAATTTTTAAAAATGTAACTATAAAAAAAAGTATTATGGTCGGCTGTGGGCCCCTAAATGGCGTGCCCCCCCCCCCCCCCGCATTGCGGGGTCTGGCGGCACTGTAGTTCCGCCCCTGGTGTGTGTGTGTATCCATGTGTGTGTGACAAAGTGTAACACAATTTATAAAGTGAGAAAAGCTTTTTTTTTTGGTATACAGTTGTTGTGCAACATACTGACACACGGTTACGTATAATCAAGTGTGTTGCACAACATATAAGATAAACAACCACAAGCGGGTTACAGAACACAAGACTAAATAAAACAATGGTATTTTACAAGACCTATCTACACAATCTACACACAGTCTATTCTAAATAGGTAGTCCAAACTGGCGAAAAAGTGCGTTTTGAGTTCATTTTTTGTGGTTTTCAAAAAACAAAATTCACTACTTCTAGTTCTGCTATAAGAATAAAATTTATATCTCAATAAAGTTTAAGTCGTTAGCTGTCAAAATCAGGTATTTTTATATCTGTAACACATGTTCGAATGTGTGTTATATTTGTTTGAAAAGTATCAGTTACGGAAGTTACGATCGACCCAATACTATTTCATTCAGTGTTTCTTCCAGACTTTTTTCTCGGGGGGGGGGGGGGGCACTTGAAATTTTCGGGGGGGGGGGGGGGGGGCGGTAGACTTTCTTCGGGGTGGGAGGAAGAAATGCCTGGAAGAAATTGTTTCATTAGTTCATTAGGTCACCTCATTCGCAACAGTACGTAAAATAGTTACACAAGAAATGAAAATTTTTTTTTTTCGGACAGGGTCAGTAAAAATGGATGATATAACTTTAGACGGGGTATTTTTATCCCACATGAAGCCAATATTGCATAAGTTATTTCAACAGTTCGTAGTGCCAGCCAATTTGATTTACTTAATTCAACAGCAGACGCCAAACATAGTTACTGAGTCAGATAAAGTAAGTCACTATCTTCATGATACAATTATTATTGACTGATTGATATACAGATATTGTATAGCTTATATATTTATGTATGAATATATATATATATATACTAGCTGCATCCCGTGCTCCGCCACGGTAAATCTTTTTTAAATGTACCAACTTGGGAACAGAACAGAACAAAACTAAACACAACACAAACGAACGCAAAAAAAAAAAAACAAAAAAAAAACGAAAAAACAAACATAACACTCATAACATAAACACAATTTAAATGTAATCATTAAGGCATATTGCTCACAGTCTAGCCCGTAGCGCCAAATTGCGCCCTTTCCGGTGATTTGCACCCCCTCAAACTTCGATTTGCACCCCTCCCCCCCCCCCCCGCCCTAAAACTTTCGATTTCCACCACACCCCCCCCCCCCTCGCAAATTTTTTCCACCCGACTTTGGCGCCCCCTAAGGTCGGCACCCGGGGACATATGCCCCCCCCCCCTCCATACGCCTCTCCTATAAAACCCGAAAGATAGAATAATAATTAGAAAACAGTATAAATAATAGTCAGTATCTATAATATATACAATATTTCACTTTATCCATTCACGCAATTTATTTCCAGCACTTTAAATTTTAAAAATTTACAATAGAGTTTCATAACTAAAACCATTGCGCACCTGATGAACGTGATGACGCGTCTATAATAGTGCTGAATAGTTGATTCAAAATTATAAGTAATAAACAGTAGGGCCTACATTCAGTGAATAAAATAAATAAAAGATTGCCTTTTATCAATCCATGCTAATTATAATTTTCTAACAATAATTTACTCTTACACATCCGGATAATTTGCATTCACATTTTGCTAATTATATTATTGCAACACTAATTCCTTCTATGACGACCGTATATTTGCATTCACATTTTTTATTAGCGTGAGTTTAATGTATTTTTAAATTACCTCTTTTGTCAAAATTAGAAAAAAAGAGTTATATTAATTTGATTTTTCTACCGTACTGTTATTATGTTATTGAAATGTATCCATTTTTTTCTGGGAATATAAACGAAAATGATATTTGACATTGATACTTTTAATATGTTTTAGCCGTGTGTGTATATTTAATATTTTCTTTAAGTTATGCAAAATTGTACAAACAGTGGAAATTATAAAATAGCTCTATGCCGCTATATAAACAACCCCTACTCTAATACTTATAATAAGACACTGCGGTGCACTGAAAAGCACAGCATGGTGCGTAGTTTACTTTTATAGTCCCAAAATCTATAGCGATGACGGAAGGACTGACACACTACCTAGCCGCTTATATTATAGACTAGAATACCCGTCATCCGTTGGATAACTGTGGGTTTCGGGGGTCATCCATCAAAAAACATCACGTCTGTCACTCAGAGGCATAGCGACCCTTCCCGGCGCCCGGGGACAAACTTTTCGATTTTAACCCCCCCCCCCCCCCAAAGATTTCGATTTTCACCCCCCCCCCCCTCCCTCAAACTTTTGATGTGCACCCCCCCCCCCCACTCAAACTTTCGATTTGAACCCCCCTCAACCTTTCAATTTATTTTTCCAAACCATTTTGGCGCCCCAACATATGTCCCCCCCCGCCCCCCCCCTCCACCTGAACCCCCACCTCCCCTCCCCCCCGCCTCCCCTCCCACCCGCCCCCCCCCCCCTCCTCGCTACGCTACTGCAGTGTCACTTATCCTCACAAAAAACAGACCCCACATTCAAAAAGATGTTTTTTATCATTTAAAAACACCGAAAACACCGATTTCGGACTATCCCTTCATATACTGACGTCACAGGTGACCTACTCAACTCTACTTCACCTGCCCAGTGTCCCGCCAAGTCTCAGACAACATGTTTTTATCGTTTAAAAAACGATTCCAGCCGAGCATGTCTCTGACCACACTATCCCTTCATATGCTTAGGACAAAGAAACAGATGAACCCTACTTCACCTGCCCTGTGCCCCGAGAGTTCCTGATAGTCAGCCTTATCATTCACATATAGGGCTTAAGAAAAAATAATTGAAAACGTAAAAAAAAAAGTTCTATTAATTTTTATGACACTGACTTTAAAATTTAGCCTTCACTCTCCAAAGCAAATTTTAAAATGCTTTTCTGACATATCTAGCCCTGGCCACCTATACCATGTTTAAATAATGTGAACACCCGCCATCTTGCTCGTGGTAAATATGGCCTAAAAATGGTCCGAAGTCATTCGTCCGGTCCGGACGCCATATTGTTGTTAGCAGCCGACCACGCCTCCAAGTTAGTTAGTAATCCTACTATATCTAGATATAGAACCTAGATTTTAAAAAATCCCATTTATTCTCGAATTAGATGATCATTGAAGCTAAACAAAGATTTATATAAAATAATTAAGGCCTGAAATAGATTCTAGATGTAGAATTTACATTAAGTCTAGATCTAGAATGTACATTGAGTCTAGTGACCTAGATCTAGGCTAGATCTAGATTCTAGTCTAGAATCTAGGCTAGATTCATAACTTTCCTTCAACAGCTGATCTTTAGATCTAGATCTAGAGAAATTTATTGTAAAACTAATGAAAAAAGACAGTTTAAAATTGATATAAGTGTTGGAACGTAATAAATACAGCAAACGGACGTATTGTTTAAGTTATAGCCGGCAGAAAATTAGCTTTGTAACGCGTTAAACTTTTGAATGGGCCACAAAGTCTATGATGGAGTCCGCCATTTTTATTGTACTAAAAAAGTAAACACATCAAGGGACGTCACTATTCCCACAAAGTTTAGTCAATGTTTTAACATTTTCTTGGACAGATTGTAGATCTAGAGAAATTTATCGTAAAACTAAATGAAAAAAGACAGTTTAAAATTGATATAAGTGTTGGAACGTAATAAATACAGCAAACGGACGTATTGTTAAAGTTATGACCCACAGAAAATCAGATTTAGAACGCGTTAAACTTGTGAATGGGAACACAATTTTCTTCGATAGACGCCGCCATTTTATTGTACTAAAGAGTAAACAAAAACCTGTGACGTCACGGTCCCGCCGAGTGTAGTGGTCGTTTTAATCTTTTAAAAAAAAATGGGTTACTCTGCATATGAATAAATCAATAAATTAATTAACGTCTTTAAATAAATGTGTGATTAACAGTCTGTCTTAAAACAAAAAAATTTCTATACCTACATACTATTTTACAGCTTTCCACGATGAGTGCAACCATGCGAGATAGTCGATCAGGCAAACAAAAAAACAAACAAAAAAATAAATATTCAAACATGTAAACAAACTTGACTTTTAGTAGTATATAGATATTATTGTAATACATTTCATGAGATAAAAATCAATCTATTATAAAACGTATGGAAAGGTGTTAGTCTGCACAAAATATTGCTTGTTTAAGTTAAAGCTTTAGAAAATCCCCTTACAGTGCAAAGCAGTTAGACATTGATTGCAATTTTAGAAACAAAGATTGAAGTTTTCGTTTTCTATACAAATGACAACCGCCTACATTTATCTGTAGAAAATTAGTTGTTTTGGGGAAATAGATATTTTTCTAAATTTTCTGAAGTTTGAAAACATTTTGTTGATCTTTGATTGAAGATCGAACTATATCAATGCTTTCAAAAAGTTATCAATTTAATTATTGGGCTGTAATATTTATGCTAGGCAGACTTCAGTTAGTTTGAGTGATGTAGGTTTGTCTAAGTTGACATTTAGATTCTGTTTGTTCATGTTTTAGTCCAGAATTTTGGCGGAAGCGAAGATGTGCGGAGACGTTCAAGCAGCGTCGATGCTACTCGACACGGTAACAAAACACGTCGATTGGTTCCAGTGCCTTGTGTCAGTCTTAGGGCATCCAGATGTTCAGCTGGGCCATGTTGCTGAGAAAATGAAAGAAATAAAAGGTCAGATCAACGGTTAGCGCACATGACCATTGTCACTAGCATTTCACAACTAATTCTGCAACTACTTCCTTCACAAATATCTGTGTTTACATTTTCTGCAACTAATTCCTTTACAAATATCTGTGATAACTCATTTCTTTACAACTAATACAACTACACAACGTGTTTTTCCAGAAGTCTACAAAAAGGAGTTTCTTACAAATAAGGCTTCGCAAAACCTAAAGGTAACTGTTTTAAATGTAATTTCCGACCCCCCCCCCCCGACACACACACCCTTTATATATTTTTAAATGCACACATAGTTATACACATACACTTATAATTATACATCTAAATCTATTATATATATATATATATATATATATATATATATATATATATATATATATATATATATATATATATATATATATATATATGTATGTATGTATATAAGTGTATGTGTGTGTGCGAGCGCGCGTGCGTGCACGTTTTCTCGTGGTTTTTCCACATACATTTTTAGAATGTATTTCTTTATTTTTTTTTAAGGATAGTTCAGGATCAATCTCGGAGACAGGTTCGTTATGTAAAAGTATTTTTTATCCTCTTAAGTTAAGTAACAAACTAATCAATTACCTAATGAACTATTTAATTTTCCTCCTCATGCGTGTATTTTTCCAAAAATAAAAATAAAATTATGATAAAAGGATATTTCTGAAAAGATTCAACTTTTTTCTATCTACATTTTGAAGATAAACAAATGATATAAAAATTATAAAAACTTTTTAGTCATTAGATGACGTGTTCAATTAAATTATAAAAGAAAACAAAAGTATTGTCAAGTGATGGCTTAAATTGAAACAAGAACAATTTTAGCAAAGTACGTTTATTTTAACAAAAAAAAAAAACAGAAGGCCAACATTTCACACAAGCCTGCCCTAAGACTTTTAATCCTAACTTTCTTTATCGATATATATATATATATATATATATATATATATATATATATATATATATATATATAATTATGATACGTCTTTTCATTTTTCATTAATTCATTGCGATTTAATCGCTTAAGTTAATATACATATGTTCACACGAGTTTACTGTATTCATTACATTAACATTAGTTAAATATGAAAATAAAAGAGATAAAACAATTCTAACGTGGTGTTTCTCTGTTTACAGCACATTTTAAAAGCATGCTTGCAGATTATGAAATCACAAAGTTAAAAGCAGAAATTGGTAGGGTTATATACATATATATATATATATATAAATATATATATATATATATATATATATATATATATATATATATATATATATATATATATATATATATATATATAAATAAATAAATAAATTTATTTATTTATTTATTTATATACATATACATATATATAAATTTATTTTTATATGCATATATATATATATATATATATATATATATATATATATATATATATATATATATATATATATATATATATATATATATATATGCCATATACATTTGTGTATATAAAATTGTTTAATATTATCTTTATTTTCAGTTACATAAATATGCACGTAATCGTGTGTGTGTGTGCTTGTGTGTGTGTCATTGTATGTGTACACACGTCCTGATGTAATGAATAATTCAATTACTTTTTTGATGAATGTATGAACAGATACCTTAAAGATTTCACTTCAGGCTCTAAAACGAGAAAACAGCCAACTTCGCTGTTTTCAAGATCAAATCAATCAAGAGAAAGGTATGTTGATGTTTATATTTTACGTATTGGAATATTGGAAACATTGTAATTTAACATGTTGTTATAAAAGTATCATGTTTCAAATCTGATTGTGTGTTTTACTGAGTTTAAACTAATAAATATTTTGTTTTTCAAATTTAGTATTAACCTACAATTTAATATGCATGATATTTAATTAATATCGTGTTGCTTTATTTACTAATTTTTTTTTATGTTTAGATTTTAGTTTTAATCTTGGAACTTACGGTGTAAAAACAAGGTTGAGCGATGGCATAGGTACGTTAACTATTTGAAAATATTGTATGTAACTCAAACAAGCTAAAAATTCATTTACCTACAACACATGTGTACCACGGCACAGAGAGGCAATCAATAAACGTTTAGAAGCCGCTCCTAAATGTCCTCTATGTTTTACTATCTTTCCGTTTGAGGATAAGTTTGGGGGTATTATAATGTTTAAGTAAATCGAATCCGGGCGTCCTCCGGCGCCCCGACAGGGTGCGATTAGGCGCCCCGGGCCTTACGGTGAGTGATATGGCGCCTAAGTTCGTTTTAAACAGTGCGATCGACTATGGATAAGAAGGGTTACTATAGTCCTTAACTAAATCGAAACCTGGCATCTGCTGATACCCTACAGGGTGCTATTTGGCGCCCCAGGCATTCTCGTTAGCGCTTTTGCCGCCGACGTTCGGTTTGAACTGTTCGATAGCGTGTGGATAATTTGGGGTATTTCAATCGTTTATTAAGTTGAATCAGGTTCCACCGGTGTCCCGGCAAGGTGCGGTTCAGCGCCACGGGCTATTGTTTTTTGCTTTGCGTTGCGTTTATGTTTATGTTTGCGTTTGCTTTTGTGTTTGCTTTTGTGTTTGCGTTACGTTTGTGTTTGTGTTTCCTTTTTTCCCCCTCTGTGTTTGGGTTTGCGTTTATGTTATGTTTGCGTTTGTTTTTTTGTTTATGTTTTGTTTTTGGTTGGTTAAAGGTTAGGGTTAATTATAAAAGTAATACATTTTCTAAATCCGGGAAAGCTGGGTATATGCTTCTAATAAACACAGAAGTTATAGTCATTTACAGATATGTTTTTCACAGAGTGCCAGTGCAGGGTCTGGCCGGGACGGCTAGTTTTCTATAGATTTAAAAAAATTAAAGTGTTTCATACAATACTATTAAATACAATATTTAACGTTTTGCTTGCTTTACGTTCTGCTCGATATTCTCAGCGATTAGTCCAAAAAATGTACGTATGGCAAGTTTGCATCAAATACTAATCATCGATTGTTAAAACTAGACCGGTATCGTTGGATAATACGCAAAAATAACAATTATAAGTGTATGTTTCTGAAATGACCATGAAATATTGTTAAACAGCGGAGTCACGGTATCGTCGGCAGCCATCATTACCATGCCGACGGTAAAAAAGTATGTCACGCGACAGGCTAATTTGACCATGTGCAAAGAGAAACGTATTAGCATTTGATTCTAAGCATGTATTTTAATTGACATTGTTTATACTACAGACAATTTAGAAAATGAAAAGAATATTATCCCTAAGAAAAGGCTGTCGCTATTGCAAAGAGAGCTAGAACGGAACAGAGCTCAAATCGGTAGGTCAACATCAGAACAATTGTGACGTATGTGTTTGTTGAGCCGCACTAATACATACACACACTTACACACACACAAGTATATTTTATTAAAGCCAAAGAGATTCACAATTCACACTGCATTGTGTAATCATTTTATTCATTTGAATGTAATCTTCTGATATTGAGGTCTTAATTCTAATTATAACATATCAATCCACTCCCCCTCCCCCCATTTATATACTTGTCTTAGATGGATTAGCTAAGGAAATGGAAACTTTACAAGAAGAAAACAGGTGCTTGTCACGTGAAAAAGGTATGGCATTTGGCAGCGAGGCAGCAAACAGACAATTTTTCATGTCATTCGATTTTCACGACGTAATGTCACTTAATTTCATGATATTTAGGATTGTTTTCTACAAATTACAAAGTTTTTAATAACTCGGGCATTGTAATTACATTATTTTCAAATGCATTCAGTAACGCATGATTTGTAAGTACATTGCAATGCATGCTTTGTTTTTTCTGTTATTGACAGAAAAAATGCGCAAACGTATAGCAGAATTAGGTAAGTTACCAACATTAACATACCCGAATCCAGATCCAGATTTCTACCCAAATCTGGATAATTAATATTACCTGTAAAAAAATCGCAGCATAATTGTAAATATTTAGCTTAGCCAAAAATAACAACGTGTAAAATGTAGATCTACCATTCAGACGAATTACTTCTGGGTTGAACTAAACTCATTTCGTAATTCTTTGTTGTCTTAGGGGTTATTTAAAAAAAAATAGAATTTTGAAAATTTGAGATAGTAAGTCAGGGTCAAACTAATGTATCATCTATGCTAATTATAATTTATAGAGAAGGTATATTAACACTTTATAAATGATTGACAAGAGAAAAAAATCCATTGTTGATTTCTTATCTTTTAGAAGAGAAATTGAAGGACATCGGCCACCCATTGAAGGGCAGGTGTGAGAGAGATCAAGGTAAAGAGAACACTTTGTTTGAATTAGACGGTTTATTAAATACTTTTGTCTTTTTATTAAACAAATTCAGTTTTATGAATTTTATAAAATGTATGAGCAATGACATTCAAAGACTTATTTTTTTTTTACCTTATCTTGAAGTTCCTTTTACATAAAAGGATTACGTAGTTAAATATATGACTTAACATTGAATTAATCATACCGCTTTAAAAACCAAAATTACAATATTTATAAAAGACCTTCAATTGGTTTTATTTTGTTTGATTATAAACATTTCTATTGATTATATATAGAATATTTCAATATACGAATCTTTTGGGTTTTTTGTATGTGTGTAGGTAAAAATAAAAGAAGCGCAGGAGTTTTTAACTTTCCTGAAGGTAAGAAAATTTAAAAATCGTTTTCTGTGACACACCTCTACATCAGATGGTGACCTGCAGAACATTCTAGAATAAAATGCATTTCATCAGCAATCATACACAGTATTAAGAGAGTTAAAAGTTTATGAAATAAAATTTCTTTGATAAACCAACCACGATTGTCTAAAATTGATCGTTATGTTTAGATTTGAGCCGTAGCTCTTGTTGACCCTCCAAATATCATGGGAGACCATATACACGCTTAACTTGCTCAAAACGGGTGTTGTAAGAGTATCAATTTTTTAAACTATATGATACTCTTTCACACAGGTGAAAAGTAATGATGGTCTAAAGATAAGAAGGAAACCCAACTTTGATCCGCCCAACTCCACAACTATGTGCCTGTTGAAACATGTTTTCTTTGGTTTAGAGTGGCCGTGCATGGGAATAGGCCTACAGTAAGAATCATATTAGACACATTTAACCGTTTTTTTTTAAATTCAAACCCAGTTTCCACGATCAATTACACTTCATCAATAGAATTCAAGGTCGGTAGAAAGAAATCATGACAGACACCATTATACCTGACACTGCACTGTATGATGGTTTATATATATATATGTAAATATAGTTCATTGACACCTACAAGTAGTAGTTGTAAATCGTATGATGGTTTACACACACACACACACATATATATATATATATATATATATATATATATATATATATATATATATATATATGTTACATCGCAAATTAAAACATGTTTTTACATCAGTCCTATTAATTGGATGATTATTTTATGTCATTTGGATATTATAGATCTATTGCTCCTCTTTTATTCCATCCGGGTAATTTTTTTCGCCTAATAACAGTGAAATAAAATACGGATGAGACTTTTATTGGACGCGCCTGATTCAATTTAGTGAACGAATATAAAACACCCAGCTTGTCCACAAACCGAAAGATTTTAATTTTAATTATTAAACAGTTCGTTCAGTGTATAAAATAAATAAAAGATTGCCTTTTATCAATCCTTGCTAACTATAATATTCTAACAATAATGTCCTCTTATACATCCGCATAATTTGCATTCACATTTTGCTAATTATATTATTGCAATAATAATTCTTTCTTGGAGGTCCGCAGATTTTGCATTCACATTTTCTATTAGCACGAGTTGAATTTATTTTTAAATTACCTCCCTTGGAAAATTACAAAACAATTTAATTAATTAATTTTTTTATCCTATTATTATTAAACTGTATCCAATGTTTCTAGGAATCTAAACGAAAATGATATTTGACATTGATCCGTTTAATATGTATTAACAATGTGCATGTATTAAATATTTTCTTAACGTTATGCAAATATAAAATAAATTTAAGACATTATATAAACAAACCCTACTCTATATTATACTTATATTAAGACAAGTGATGCAAGTAAAAAGCACGACATGTGATGTGTTTACTTTCATGGTTCCAAAATCTATAGCGATGACGGACTGATACACTACCAGCCCGCTTATAGTATAGATATTTACATGCGAAATATATGTCTGATTTATTAAATGCTGTAAATATTGGTATTAATAAATACGCTTAATTGAATTTTATGAATTGATAAATGAATTTTATTTTTTTTATTAATAAAATAAGACTAATAGATTATTTAATATATAGTTAAATTGTACTATAGATCGACACAGTGGCGTAGCGAGGTCGGGTGTCACCCGGTGCGGCACTTAATGGTGTCACCCCTTAGAGGCGTAGCGAACCTTCCCGTGGACAAACTTTCAAATTTTCGATTTTCACCCCACCCCCCCCCCCCCTCAAGTTTTCGATTTGCACCCACCCCCTCAAGTTTTGGATTTGCTGCCCCCCCCCCCTCAAGTTTTGATTTGCTGCCCCCCACCCCCCCCCCCCTCAAGTTTTCGATTCCCCCTCCCCCTCCTCAAGTTTTGGATTTGCTGCCCCCCCCCCCTCAAGTTTTTCTCTATATATTTTGCTATTTTTTGCCTTGGTATCACCCCCCTAAATGGTGTCACCCGGTGCGGTCCGCACCCCCCCCCCCCCCCCTACGCCTCTGGTTCGACATGTAATCAAATATTAATTACAGGAACTTTGTAAAGATTTAACCAATAAAAGTTTGTGATAAATAAACTTAGCTGTTTAGCTTTTACTGTTAATGAAATAACAGATATAACATTATATAACTTCATGCATAGCGTCATGATATAATGTCATGATGAAAGATGTATTACGTCATACATACAAGGTATATTGTCATGATATAACAGCATGAACACCCAATAAAATAAATATAAAACTACAAAATAAAAATAAAGTTAGGATTATAAAACAACAACGTTTAAAAAAATTTAAGATAATAAAATTAAAATGACATTTTTTTTTTAAGATTATGAAATTACAATGATAAAAGTTTTAAGATTATAACGTTTCGCTGATAAAAAAAAAACTAAATTATAAATTACAAGGATAAAATATTTTTATAATATTACAAGGATAATTTTTTTTAAGATTATAAAGTTAAAATAATACAATCTTTTAGGATTATAAAATTACAAAGATAAAAAAAAAACATTACAAAAATTCAAGGTTAAAATTTTTATGATTATAAATCTACAGTGCTAAAAAAGTTTATTTTTATAAGATTTATTAGTTAAAATTTAAAAATTTTGTATCATGATTAAATAACACCTGATTTTTTTTTAAAAATAATTAATAAACTACTACATTTAAAAATGTGTTTTTTTACATTTAAAAAAGAGATTGTATTGTTGCAACGTAAAAACTTTAAAATTTGAAACATAAAACATTTTTGTGAGGTTAGACTAAGAAGTCGGTTAATCTTCGAATTTATTTTGGTTAAATATTTTACACTTTGTTCATCAATGTTTTACTATTCCACAACTGTCAGAATTAATTTTCTTACAAATTCTATTATAAAAGATTTTATTCTGGATCGTTTAATATCTTATAGTTCATCAATTTTCAAGATAACTATGTAGTTCACAAAATCAAGTAAATATTTATTTGGTTGCTTCCCCTAGACCACAAATTTTGAGCTATCGTGTTATTCCATTATGCATTTTAGCTCAACATTATTTTACTGTATTTATTCAACAATTAAAATGAATATTGTGTTAAAATTATTTTTAATTATTTTATAATAAACTATTGTTGTAAATTAACTGCATTTTGATTATTGTGTTTTGAAGGAAAATAACTCATTACTTCTTGAATTGTTACATTTTTTTAGTAGACTAAATTCTTAAAATAGTTAATAATAAATTTTAAAAGTTATTATAAGTAAATAAATAAGAAAGCTATCCGCTGGAGATGTGTAAATGGTAGATGAAGTAGAGTGCATCTGTTTCTGTAACATTAGCGTTTAAAGACGTGGTGTGGCCAGTTTTGTGACCGTTTCTCAATTATCAACAGGAGGAAGGTAACTAATGTTTAAAAGTACAAGCGGCACTAAAAATAGACAGAATGAATGTTAGAAAAGCGCTACAGTAATTCAGCGAAACAAATTTAAATTAATTTCTACAGCTATATTGATAGTTTTCACAAGAATTAGATTTAATAATTACTGAAGATTCAAATCGTCCGTGAAGAAGGAACGAAAATTTGATGTTGACAAAAACTAATGCTCTCCTGGACGTTGGCACATGTTGTCTTTTCCACTTTAAAAAGCGCGGGAAAACAGTTTGCTTTCCTGGGCGTCCGTGCAAATACCATTAGGCTTAGATGGTGCGTGAAAGAAATCGCTCGTCAAAATGATGGTACTTGGCGTTGCTGGGAGCAATACAAGACTGTAGCACTGAGTGTGCAGTCTATTAAGTCCCAGCAGTCAAGGAGCGCATAGACCCTCAAGATACTCGGGGTCGTAGGTGGCTTCGAGGCGATGTCACCTACACACCGATGTACAGAGGGGACATGTCTAACCCTCACTGACGGAGATCTGAGGAGCGCTGTACAACTCAGCCTGCTAAGGTCTTTGAGTAACTCGTGTATGTCGAGTATTTCATCTGTCACCCTAATCTGGGTAAGCTCCCTTGCGCTGGACACTTGAGCACTAAGAGCTTCTAGAAACTTTAGGCGGTAGTTCCATGGCGTTGTTCTCCAATAGGAAGAATCTAGTCGGCTTAGCCGTCCGTTTGAGTCTTCAGTAGCCGCCGACTGATATTCAGCTTAGGGTGTTCCGGGCACCTGATGACTGGTACTGTTGCATGGATACTTGAGTCTCTAGGAACTCTATGGACCTTGAACATCTGGGACACGCTGACCTTAGCGGAACAAGGTCGTCTTGGCTGAGATGAACCTTGAACTTCTAGGACAAGTTGGCGGCCTCAGCGGAACTAAGTCTGTCCTGGCTTAGAGATTGAAGTTTTCCGATGCGTGCCACGGTATCTTGACATCGGCAATACATTCCACCGTTTCAAAGGTTTGGTACATTGTTTGTTTATAAATATGATTCTTAGACATTACTGTATATTATGTAGGAGTTATTAGATATTATGTCGGCTAGTTTCTACTTGTGGTAATTCAGAGGAAAATATCATGAGTATAAACTAGGCCATGATATATATTTTTTGGTGGCCGGAAAGAACCGCAACGGAAAAAAGCGCAAAACAAAAAGCGCAAAACAAAAAGCGCAACGGAAATAAGCGCACACGGAAAAAAGCGCAAAGAGAAAAAAGCGCACACGGAAAAAGCGCAAAGAGAAAAAAGCGCAAAGAGAAAAAAGCGCAAAAAGAAATAAGCGCACACGGAAAAAAGCGCAAAGAGAAAAAAGCGCACACGGAAAAAGCGCAAAGAGAAAAAAGTGCAAAGAGAAAAAAGCGCAAAAAGAAAAAAGCGCACACAGAAAAAAGCGCAAACAGAAAAAAGCGCACACGGAAAAAAGCGCAAAGAGAAAAAAGCGCAAAGAGAAAAAAGCGCAAAAAGAAAAAAGCGCACACAGAAAAAAGCGCAACAGAAAAAAGCGCACACAGAAAAAAACGCAAACAGAAAAAAGCGCAAACGGAAAAAAGCGCAAACTGAAAAAAGCGCACACAGAAAAAAGCGCAAACGGAAAAAAGCGCAAACGGAAAAAAGCGCAAACAGAAAAAAGCGCAAACGGAAAAAAGCGCAAACAGAAAAAAGCGCACACAGAAAAAAGCGCAAACAGAAAAAAGCGCAAACGGAAAAAAACGCAAACAGAAAAAAGCGCACACAGAAAAAAGGCAAACGGAAAAAAGCGCAAACACAAAAATGCGCAACCAGAAAAAAACGAAAAATGTGCAAAAGAGAAATTTAGCACAAATACCTATATCGACTAGATGACACCTTTATACATGACTGTTAGGGCTGCTGTGAGAGTGTCGTGTTTGATCACGTGATTTACTACCATTTAAAGCGTACCACTACCATGTGCATTCCCCTCACCACGATACAGGCGATAATCGCTTTACACAGTGCCTATTATTTTCTTGGTCAATAATTATTCAACTACTATTCTCGTATAAATAAACATAAAACTATCCTTGATATCGACATTACACGAAGTATCTCTTACACTCCCTAGTCCGAACTACCTAGCTTGCATACCATAACTACCCGTTCCTATGGCAAAACTTCATTCTCTTTCATCCGCCTCATTAAACATGCATTCGTCATATTTCTCGCAACAACATTCATTCGCACCAAAATACCTGATAAAACACACATCATAACAACGATTTATTTACCATTATTTCATTATGACGCACCTACTTACCTACCTACCTACCAACCTACCTAATTCTATTAGGATTCTAGATCTAGATCTAGATGATCTAGATCTACGGAAAAACTAGACTTACACAGATGTAGACCCTACCTAGATCTAGAATCTATTCAAACAATACATTTCTATACTAAAGTATTTCAGGCCTTAATTACTTTATTGAAATTTTTGTTTATCTTTGCAATTTGCTAATCTCTATAATATATAAAGCAAAGTTGTCGGGTGTCCGATAGGGCACTTCCCGGCGCCGCAGGCGCTTCAAATTTGGCAGGATCTTGCCTTGGGGCGACAGAACACGAGGGCCGGTTGGCCGAAAAGTCTACGATGAGGGGGTCAAAACTGACCTCGACTGACCGGCGCCTTATATGTGCTATAAATCGAAAAAAAATTGTCCACGTAGGAACCTCTTCATAACTCCTGAGGTCGTAGACCGACCCTCGGGCGAATTAATTAAGCATTCAAATTCTCAATGTTTTCGAAAGCCTAAGCGAAGCTGGGCAGCATGCCTAGTTTTGAAATGACCCTACATAAAGTTAAAGTGAGTGACTACACTAATCTATAACGTGTTTAAACTTTGGGATGTTTGATCACCTGATACCCGTTTTCTTGAGGGTCTAAGGATTCAGTGGTCTCTTTGACGTCGGCGTGGTATTGACGGAAGGTTGGCTAACAGAATAAGGAGGCTACAAGCTACATCACGAGGCCGCATGTACTCAAACTGACGGCAAGTTCAAGGACTAGTTTTAAAAATAAATAGGCCGAAGCTTGAGGTAGTGAATGGGATCAATAACCTTGAGAGGACGCCACTTTGTTGTTCTTGCATAATTCAGACGGCTGACACGTGTTAGTCCTGGTTCCTGGTCAGTAGGTAGGTTCCACATCCCCCCCCCATCCCCAAGAAACACCAGCATCAGTGAAACCACTTGAGTGGTTATGGTGTAGTTGGCTCGGTACAAGAGTCTGTTTGTTCTTTACCTGTTCCGATTGAGTTAAACTATGGGTTGTGTTAAACTAGGGCCTGGGTTAAACTATGGACTGGGTTAAACTATGGACTGGGTTAAACTATGGGTTGGGTTAAACTATGGGTTGGGTTAAACTATGGGTTGGGTTAAACTATGGGTTGGGTTAAACTATGGGCTATAGACAAATGAAGAAGAGTCCACTTGTTCTAGTGACCTCTTGATATAAAAGGATAGTGTGGTCAAATCGAAACCCAGCCACAACTTCTCTCACTAGTCAGGTAGCCCACTGGGTGGACCACAACTTCTCTCACTAGTCAGGTAGCCCACTGGGTGGACCACAACTTCTCTCACTAGTCAGGTAGCCCACTGGGTGGACCACAACTTCTCTCACTAGTCAGGTAGCCCACTGGGTGGACCACAACTTCTCTCACTAGTCAGGTAGCCCACTGGGTGGACCACAACTTCTCTCACTAGTCAGGTAGCCCACTGGGTGGACCACAACTTCTCTCACTAGTCAGGTAGCCCACAGATCTGGGTGGACCACAACTTCTCTCACTAGTCGGGTAGCCCACTGGGTGGACCACAACTTCTCTCACTAGTCGGGTAGCCCACTGGGTGGACCACAACTTCTCTCACTAGTCAGGTAGCCCACTGGGTGGACCACAACTTCTCTCACTAGTCAGGTAGCCCACTGGGTGGACCACAACTTCTCTCACTAGTCAGGTAGCCCACTGGGTGGACCACAACTTCTCTCACTAGTCAGGTAGCCCACTGGGTGGACCACAACTTCTCTCACTAGTCAGGTAGCCCACTGGGTGGACCACAACTTCTCTCACTAGTCAGGTAGCCCACTGGGTGGACCACAACTTCTCTCACTAGTCAGGTAGCCCACAGATCTGGGTGGACCACAACTTCTCTCACTAGTCGGGTAGCCCACTGGGTGGACCACAACTTCTCTCACTAGTCGGGTAGCCCACTGGGTGGACCACAACTTCTCTCACTAGTCAGGTAGCCCACTGGGTGGACCACAACTTCTCTCACTAGTCAGGTAGCCCACTGGGTGGACCACAACTTCTCTCACTAGTCAGGTAGCCCACTCTAACCGAACTCTAACCAGCTGGTGAGCTGCTGTATGCCCTACTGACCGTCCCATCTGACCACAACATTGAATGGGTGTTGAGTTCAACCAACTTTCTTTTACCTGTCCCTTGATGTTTGTGAAAGCTGCAAAATTAAGATGTTTTTTTTTTTATTTTTAAAACTAAATATTAGTAAAGGCAGGTATTCAATAGATTCTAAAGTGGCCCACGATTTTCTTTATAGTTAGTTAAATAGTAGTCTATAACTTATTTTCTCTTTTTAATGCATTATTACATAAAATCTTGTTATAAAACGTTTTTTATGAAAAACATTTTAACTAAGTATTTTCAGTAGATCAATGTAAATGTTAATGACGTCAAAATATCAAATTAATCCACACGAAGAACACATTAATTTGGTGTGTTCTGCTGTTGTTTTTTTTTTTTTTTTTTTTTTTTTTTTTTTTTTTTTTTTTTTTTTTGTAAGGAAAAGAAAGTTGATAATTAAAATAATAAGAAAGTTGATAACTAAAATAAAAAGAAAGTTGTTGATTTGATTTACTTGTAAAATGGCGGTGTTTGAATATTTGAGTACTGTAAACTATTTAACAAAGCAGAATTCAATGAATCATTTAGATCTAGTTGTGTTGCAATAATTAGAAAAGTGTCGCTTGATCTTACAGTAAACATTTAAAAAAGGAATGATCTTATATGCCAGTACTGAAAGCAAATATTTAAATCGCCTACATGAACTTTGACTAAGACTTATGACGATGTTTTTTGTGAAAATGTTCCAACTTAACTGCTGATTCAACGTTAGCTTACACCAACTGTGTGGAAGATCTTGGTCCGTTTACTTGTCGCCATTTTTAAGAAGTTATTAATTGATGGTTGCTTTCCAATATTTCTAATTAATTATGTGGGCATTAATTAGAGATAGAACTGTGTAGCTCAAACAACGTAAAGACAGATTAGAAACTTAAATAAATTTGGAGTAACTAGAGTGTTCGGTTAATCTACTTTGGAGTAACTAGAGTGCGTATAATGTAATGTTGTTTACATTTGGTTCGGTTACTCTAACTGACGCAATATTTGTTGGGTTAGAACACACACCTTGATAGAGAAAAAAATAAGTTCATTCTTCAGTATCAGGTATGTACAGCTATTTAATTCCCGACCTCTATCCTGATCAGAAGAAGATAATACAATCTTAGTCAAACATTAATACAAACTAATATTTAGCACCTGAACTCAAACAATAAGTAGGACATAAGCCAAACAGTTAGTAGGACATGAGCCAAACAATAAGTAGGACATAAGCCAACATCTGGACACAATCCTTAACCTTAACTTGAAACCAAAAACTAGAACTTGAGATTGAAGTTTACGTATAAATGAACCTAGAACTTGAGATTGAAGTTTACGTATAAATGAACCTAGAACTTGAGATTGAAGTTTACATATAAATGAACCTAGAACTTGAGATTGAAGTTTACATATAAATGAACCTAGAACTTAAGATTGAAGTTTACATATAAATGAACCTAGAACTGGAGATTGAAGTTTACATATAAATGAACCTAGAACTTGAGATTGAAGTTTACATATAAATGAACCTAGAACTTAAGATTGAAGTTTACATATAAATGAACCTAGAACTTGAGATTGAAGTTTACATATAAATGAACCTAGAACTTGAGATTGAAGTTTACATATAAATGAACCTAGAACTTAAGATTGAGGTTTACAAAAAATGAACCGTGGCTTTATAAAAGAATAGATTTCTATATTTCTGTCAAAGATCTAATCACCATTGGTTCAGTTTTAGCAAATTATGTATGCACACAATTTTAAAATGCAGATCGTGAATGTTTTTAATGCCCAGACTACTTCATTATACAAGTATTTAAGTTATGCAAATAGTGTATTATTCAGTCGAGATATAGAACAATGACACTGAATGATGTATTTAGCAATATCAAGTATACACAAAATATTGAATACATGAATAAAGTTGTTTTTTTGTTTTAGTCGACATTGACTGGACATGTTTTAACCGACATTGATTGGACATGTTTTAGCCGACATTGATTGGGCATGTTTTAGTCGACATTGACTGGACATGTTTTAGCCGACATTGAATAGACATGACTTTGACATAGGATGTCATAGACACGAGCTGTGCTGAACACAAAAGTTTTTGTCGATTGTGTCAGATACACGTTGTAGTTGAGGCAATTTGAGACACAATCTGTCATAGATACAATCTGTCATAGATACAATCTGTCATAGATACAATCTGTCATAGATACCATCTGTCATAGATACAATCTGTCATAGATACAAGATGTCATTGACATAATATTTCATAGAAACAAATAGATAAAGACAATTAGTCGTAGACACCAACTTTCATAAACACAAACTATTAGATTGACACAATTAGCCCGCGGAAGTAAATCAACAATGTAATATCACTTCAAGGTTATCGCTTTTTAGAAAATAGATTTAAAGTTTATGTCTAGTACATCAAGGTTTAGTTTTCATGTCATTAGTTATTTCCCTTGTTATGGTATTCATACAAAAGGACTGGATAAAAAAATGTTACAACATTATAAAGATCAACTTTTTAAAAACAATAAAGATTTTTTTAATGCTTCCTTTAATAAAAATCTGTGGCCCTTAAATTGTGTAAGAGATTCAGGATATTCACATATCAGGAGAAACAACTCCACATAACATCAGGAGAAACAACTCCACATAACATCAAGTTAAACAACTCCACATAACACCAGGAGATCTAGCATTGATAGGCTGAGCTGAGGCAGTAAGACGTGTAAATAATATATGTGACCTCTTTAAATGACCCACTTGTCATTATCTTCATCTCTTGATCAGCATTATCCACTGGGAACGTCAATCGTCTTCCCTCGTTAGTTCAAACAGAAACAGGTTTTTAAAAACAGCAGAACCACAACTTGATGTCAGTAGAATGACGTCACTCTATGACGAGGCTCCTCTGTTATCTTGATCAAAGCTAGTCCGGTCAGGCACATGATAACAGTCTGGAACTCTATCCACTGTGTTAAGTCGTTGTTAAGGGAAATTTTAAAACGCATCATTTCACTTTTTTACTAGCACACAAATGTAGGTTCTTGATAGTATGTTGTTTACCAATACACAAAAATATGCTCTCAGCTGTATGTAAACATTTGTGTTCAAATGACATGTTATCAGGGCGAATACAATTGAAAGAAATCAGTGCTAAGTTCGCAATGGCGGGTTCATTCAATATAAAACTAAAAATATTTTATAATTATTCGTTTTTTTTTAAGCACTGAAAATAAAAATAAAATAAAAAGCACATTGTTTTCTTAGATTGGTCTTACAACATGAAAGAGATTTCATGAGCGAACAATACGTTTTTATTAGGGAAAGCAAGATTTAAAAAAAAAAATTCAGTGCATTTAAATGCTTAGTATTATGAAGGTTTTATATACTTTAATTTTCTACCTTTTGATAATCCGTTCTTAGGAAGACGACACTACATACCACATCTCTTTCTTAGTCCGTGTAAAGAACAATTATCTGCTCTTTCTTAGTCCGTGTAAAGAACAATTATCTGCTCTTTCTTAGTCCGTGTAAAGAACAATTATATGCTCTTTCTTAGTCCGTGTAAAGAACAATTATCTGCTCTTTCTTAGTCCGTGTTTGAATCTCCGGTAAAAAAATCAGCCAGGTGTGACCATGACTTCACGGTCGTAGGTTACGTTACTAGATAGATTTTAACATTTGTTTTTATTTTGTAGCTTTTAGTAAAATAAAACCACCATAATTTGATTGGGCAACATTAAGATCCGCTGCCCAACTTGTCCAGTTGACCGGTACATTGTTGTAGTTGACCCCCAAATTGTCCAGTACATTGTTGTAGTTGACCCCCAAATTGTCCAGTACATTGTTGTAGTTGACCCCCAAATTGTCCAGTTGACCGGTACATTGGTGTAGTTGACCCCCAAATTGTCCAGTACATTGTTGTAGTTGACCCCCAAATTGTCCAGTACATTGTTGTAGTTGACCCCCAAATTGTCCAGTTGACCAGTACATTGTTGTAGTTGACCCCCAAATTGTCCAGTACATTGTTGTAGTTGACCCCCAACTTGTCCAGTTGACCGGTACATTGGTGTAGTTGACCCCCAACTTGTCCAGTTGACCGGTACATTGTTGTAGTTGACCTTTAGAGAAATGTATTGACCCCACCAAGACAAATAACAAGATCGACCTTGACCCTGGTTCGATGTGAGGTGTAAATCAGTCAACCATGACAACACTGACTGATCGAGACCTTGAACCTCCTAACTGCCGGGCTAGTGGCGTTGATGAAACGGGTGGAGTAGAGTTGAACTGCCAGTAGTGTTCTGTAGAATAAGTGTACCAATGGGGAAACTTTTGTGAAATACTTAAGCGATTCGGTTATTTAAAGGGTTCTAAAACCGACATGATAATAGGAGAAATTTAATATGACAATATTCGAGAATAGACGCAATACACTTTCATCTGTATTAATGATAAGCTACCATAGTACCATTGTAAGAATTATTTTCTAGACATATAGCAGAGTTTTTCTTCAGTCGGTCAAACTTTTCCTATTGAGTGCTAGCCAACCAATCGTTGAAGAGAAGCTGTGGAGCCGCCAGTCACCGTGGCTAGTACTACCTCAGGGTCAGACAAATGTGTTACCCACTCCAATCTACACAAGTGTGTTACCTACCTGAATAATGCAAGAAGCTCGGGGAAAAAACAAAGTGGCGCCCTCTTGTGGGTATGGATTTCAATGACTGTTTCATAAACAAGCACTAAAATTTGTGCTTAAAACTGTTTTAATCAGCCCGAGTTCTGGGGTAAACGTCGCCTAGCAACAATCGTCTGCCAAATTTGTTTTGGTGGGTGTACTTCTACCAACAACACCGTGTTGATTGTTTTAAGAAATAACAGCAGCTTAGCAGATCAAGGCTTTGGGTGCTTTCATGTAGCGTGTAGCTCTAGTGAAAGGTAGCGTGTAGCTCTAGTGTAAGGTAGCGTGTAGCTCTAGTGTAAGGTAGCTGTGGCTGACCGTGAAACTGGAACCTGTGGATTCTGTGACGTCAACATGAGGAGCCTGGTCAGACTTTTGTTCATTTTGTTCAAAGGTGATGTAGGCCGATATAGTTACTTTAGTCAAAGGTGATGTAGGCCGATATAGTTACTTTGGTCAAAGGTGATGTAGGCCGATATAGTTACTTTGTTCAAAGGTGATGTAGGCCGATATAGTTACTTTGGTCAAAGGTGATGTAGGTCGATTTTTAAATTTTGAATTTAAAGTTTATTTCAGGTGTTGAATGTTCACATTTAAGCTAATGTGGTTTAGATATTAGATAATCCTAAATCTCATAATCTTCGTTTATTTCGTAGTTTAGATAGGCCTAGATGTCATTATGGGGAGTCGGAGTGGTATAGCGGTAGAGAGCTGGACTAACCCGAAAATCTCGAGTTTGAATCCGAATCAGTATAGATTCCCTGAGTCCACCCAACCCTTATGAAAAGCAAAGGCTGCGCAACCACACATTCTCTTCATATGCCGAGGTCACAGAAACAAGCGAACTCTACTTCACTTGCCCTATAGACCGTCAGGCTTGAAAAGGGAACCTTACTAGTTACTTAGATGTCATAATCTTCACTTATTACTTAGTTTAGATAGGCTAGGAGGTGGAAATTTAATCATCAGCCCGTAATTATCGTCATGCTTGAATTGTCCCATAAGATGTTAATATGATTTTGATTTTAAATCGTGTGTGTGAGTGTTCCTCATTATATCTTTGATTTTAAATCGTGTGTGTGAGTTTTCCTCATTATATCTTTGATTTTAAATCGTGTGTGTGAGTGTTCCTCATTATATCTTTGATTTTAAATCGTGTGTGGGCGTGTTCCTCATTATATCTTTGATTTTAAATCGTGTGTGTGAGTGTTCCTCATTATATCTTTGATTTTAAATCGTGTGTGTGAGTGTTCCTCATTATATCTTTGATTTTAAATCGTGTGTGTGAGTGTTCCTCATTATATCTTTGATTTTAAATCGTGTGTGTGAGTGTTCCTCATTATATCTTTGATTTTAAATCGTGTGTGTGAGTGTTCCTCATTATATCTTTGATTTTAAATCGTGTGTGTGCGTGTTCCTCATTATATCTTTGATTTTAAATCGTGTGTGTGACTGTTCCTAATTATATCTTAGATTTTAAATCGTGTGTGTGACTGTTCCTAATTATATCTTTGATTTTAAATCGTGTGTGTGACTGTTCCTAATTATATCTTTGTTTATCCAGTGATTGTCATCAGCTGTGAAGTTGTGGACTATGATTACGTCAGACTTGACAGACGGAGCGTGAACATTTTGCCACTGAACGAGCGCCACACGACTGGCAGTGTGATGAGTTGTGCGGCAAGATGTGTGGACAGTACTAGCGACTGCCGCAATCTGATGTATGATGAGACCACTGGAGTGTGTATTCTAGGTACCCGAACTTTTACTCTAGGTACCCGAGCTTGTACTCTAGGTACCCGAGCTTGTACTCTAGGTAGCCGAACTTGTACTCTAGGTACCCGAACTTTTACTCTAGGTACCCAAACGTTTACTCTAGTTACCCGAGCTTTTACTCTAGGTACCCGAACTTGTACTCTAGGTACCCGAACTTTTACTCTAAGTACCCGAGCTTTTACTCTAGGTACCCGAACTTTTACTCTAGGTACCCGAGCTTGTACTCTAGGTACCCGAACTTTTACTCTAGGTACCCGAACTTTTACTCTAAGTACCCGAGCTTTTACTCTAGGTACCCGAGCTTTTACTCTAGGTACCCGAACTTTTACTCTAGGTACCCGAGCTTGCTTCTAAAACGACGTGTTGGCGTTGTAGGCTTTACGTATGGCGGAGTGGTCGGGCGGGTAGCGTATGGTTGCTAACCCGAAAGTCACGAGTTCGAACCCTCAGGCAGATCAGGCTCCTCAGCAAGCCAGCTAGGAGAGACAACTCCAAAATCAAACACGAGTCCAAGAATCAACCCAACTCTGATGGGTACCCAACTCACGTTAGGGAAAGTAAAGTCGACTGTCATATTGCTAACCACACTATCGCTTCATATACCAATGGCACAGAAACAGGTGAACTCTACTTCTCTTGTTCCATGGGCCGTCAGGTTCGCAAACAGATTTTTTTTTACTCTAGAACTCTCAACGCGTGTATGTCAGTCTCAGTCACCGAGCCGGGAGGTGTTACATGGCAGACAAACTCTACTGCCCCTGTGTCAAACTTACCCCGTTGACTGGAGGTTCTAGCCGGTACCTAGTGGGCTGCTCCTCCATGTATCAGCCTCTCTATCAGCCTCTCTATCAACCTCTCTATCAGCCTCTCTATCAGCCTCTCTATCAACCTCTCTATCAGCCTCTCTATCAGCCTCTCTATCAGCCTCTCTATCAACCTCTCTATCAGCCTCTCTATCAGCCTCTCTATCAGCCTCTCTATCAACCTCTCTATCAGCCTCTCTATCAGCCTCTCTATCAGCCTCTATCAGCCTCTCTATCAGTCTCTCTATCAGCCTCTATCAGCCTCTCTATCAGCCTCTCTATCAGCCTCTCTATCAGCCTCTCTATCAGCCTCTCTATCAGCCTCTCTATCAGCCTCTCTATCAACCTCTCTATCAGCCTCTCTATCAGCCTCTCTATCAACCTCTCTATCAGCCTCTCTATCAGCCTCTCTATCAGCCTCTCTATCAACCTCTCTATCAGCCTCTCTATCAGCCTCTCTATCAGCCTCTCTATCAGCCTCTCTATCAGCCTCTCTATCAGTCTCTCTATCAGCCTCTATCAGCCTCTCTATCAACCTCTCTATCAGCCTCTCTATCAGCCTCTCTATCAACCTCTCTATCAGCCTCTCTATCAGCCTCTATCAGCCTCTCTATCAACCTCTCTATCAGCCTCTCTATCAGCCTCTCTATCAACCTCTCTATCAGCCTCTCTATCAGCCTCTCTATCAACCTCTCTATCAGCCTCTCTATCAGCCTCTCTATCAACCTCTCTATCAGCCTCTCTATCAGCCTCTCTATCAGCCTCTCTATCAGCCTCTCTATCAGCCTCTCTATCAGCCTCCCTTGTTGTGCCTAGCTAGGGCGGAAACTACCCCGATAGCCCGTAGTAAAAGCTGCTAGATTCAAGCTTGTTGTCGTATTAGTATTTCTGGTATCTTTGAGGTCACTGGATTCTACCAAAAGACTCGGTCAATGAATCAGTGCCACAACCGTCAGCTGAGTCAACGCTCTTCTCGCTGGGCAAGTTCTGTCAAGTCAATGAGACGGTCAACTTCATCGGCAATGGCAGGATGGGATCTTGTAACACTGCTGCTTGTCTAGGTATGGGATCTTGTAACACTGCTGCTTGTCTATGGGATCTTGTAACACTGCTGCTTGTCTAGGTATGGGATCTTGTAACACTGCTGCTTGTCTAGGTATGGGATCTTGTAACACTGCTGCTTGTCTAGGTATGGGATCTTGTAACACTGCAGCTTGTCTATGGGATCTTGTAACACTGCTGCTTGTCTAGGTATGGGATCTTGTAACACTGCTGCTTGTCTAGGTATGGGATCTTGTAACACTGCTGCTTGTCTAGGTATGGGATCTTGTAACACTGCTGCTTGTCTAGGTATGGGATCTTGTAACACTGCTGCTTGTCTAGGTATGGGATCTTGTAACACTGCTGCTTGTCTAGGTATGGGATCTTGTAACACTGCTGCTTGTCTATGGGATCTTGTAACACTGCTGCTTGTCTAGGTATGGGATCTTGTAACACTGCTGCTTGTCTATGGGATCTTGTAACACTGCTGCTTGTCTATGGGATCTTGTAACACTGCTGCTTGTCTAGGTATGGGATCTTGTAACACTGCTGCTTGTCTAGGTATGGGATCTTGTAACACTGCTGCTTGTCTAGGTATGGGATCTTGTAACACTGCTGCTTGTCTAGGTATGGGATCTTGTAACACTGCTGCTTGTCTATGGGATCTTGTAACACTGCTGCTTGTCTAGGTATGGGATCTTGTAACACTGCTGCTTGTCTAGGTATGGGATCTTGTAACACTGCTGCTTGTCTAGGTATGGGATCTTGTAACACTGCTGCTTGTCTAGGTATGGGATCTTGTAACACTGCTGCTTGTCTAGGTATGGGATCTTGTAACACTGCTGCTTGTCTATGGGATCTTGTAACACTGCTGCTTGTCTAGGTATGGGATCTTGTAACACTGCTGCTTGTCTAGGTATGGGATCTTGTAACACTGATGCTTGTCTATGGGATCTTGTAACACTGCTGCTTGTCTAGGTATGGGATCTTGTAACACTGCTGCTTGTCTAGGTATGGGATCTTGTAACACTGCTGCTTGTCTATGGGATCTTGTAACACTGCTGCTTGTCTATGGGATCTTGTAACACTGCTGCTTGTCTAGGTATGGGATCTTGTAACACTGCTGCTTGTCTAGGTATGGGATCTTGTAACACTGCTGCTTGTCTAGGTATGGGATCTTGTAACACTGCTGCTTGTCTAGGTATGGGATCTTGTAACACTGCTGCTTGTCTAGGTATGGGATCTTGTAACACTGCTGCTTGTCTAGGTATGGGATCTTGTAACACTGCTGCTTGTCTAGGTATGGGATCTTGTAACACTGCTGCTTGTCTAGGTATGGGATCTTGTAACACTGCTGCTTGTCTAGGTATGGGATCTTGTAACACTGCTGCTTGTCTAGGTATGGGATCTTGTAACACTGCTGCTTGTCTAGGTATGGGATCTTGTAACACTGCTGCTTGTCTAGGTATGGGGTCTTGTAACACTTATAATTCGTTAGCTAATAACTGATGTTTCATAGTCGTTTCAACATCAAATGTATATATATATATATATATATATATATATATATATATATATATATATATATATATATATATATATATATATATATATATATATATATATATATAGTGCGTTTGTATTTATTGTTAATAGTGAATGTATATAGAAACGAATGTATTTCAACCACAGAACAGCAAAACATAGCAAGAAAGAATTCCAATGTGCTCTATGACCCAGCTATTTATAAATCCTGTTCGGACGTCAAGAACTCCAGCAACCCCAGACAACTTTTACAACTGTCGTCTGGTCTTGTCGTCATGTGTGACACAGTGACAGATGGAGGGGGCTGGACAATTTTCCAACGTCGCGTCTCCGGTGTCGTGGACTTTTACCGCAACTGGGAGGAATACAAACACGGGTTCGGAGACTTCGACGCTGGAGAATTTTACCTGGGCAACGAAAACATTTACTGTCTGAGCAACAACAAGACATACGAGATGAGGATCGACATGACCTACCTTGGCAACAGCTACTTCGCCTCGTATTCCAGCTTTAAATTCTACCCGGAAACTGACTTCTACAAGATGGCGGTGTACGGTTTCTATGGCAACACGTCGGACGCTCACAGTCTGATCAACAACGAGCGTTGGTTCGGCACGTACGACAAGAGTTACGACACGACGGGCACGTGGTGCGCCGAGTTCTGTCACGGTGCCTGGTGGTACAACGGTGGCTGCGGCTACACCCACCTCAATGGTGTATACGGCAGTCGCCAGTACAAGAGCGGCATCCAGTGGTGGTACCTGACAGATTTCTACAGCAGCCTCAACTCCACGGAGATGAAGATCAGAGCTAAACCCGTGTGATTGGACAAACAACCAGAGCTAAAGCCGTGTGATTGGACAATCAGAGCTAAACCCGTGTGATTGGACAAACAACCAGAGCTAAACCCGTGTGATTGGACAAACAACCAGAGCTAAAGCCGTGTGATTGGACAAACAACCAGAGCTAAACCCGTGTGATTGGACAATCAGAGCTAAACCCGTGTGATTGGACAACCAGAGCTAAACCCGTGTGATTGGACAACCAGAGCTAAACCCGTGTGATTGGACAATCAGAGCTAAACCCGTGTGATTGGACAAACAACCAGAGCTAAACCCGTGTGATTGGACAAACAACCAGAGCTAAACCCGTGTGATTGGACAAACAACCAGAGCTAAACCCGTGTGATTGGACAACCAGAGCTAAACCCGTGTGATTGGACAAACAACCAGAGCTAAACCCGTGTGATTGGACAACCAGAGCTAAACCCGTGTGATTGGACAAACAACCAGAGCTAAACCCGTGTGATTGGACAACCAGAGCTAAACCCGTGTGATTGGACAACCAGAGCTAAACCCGTGTGATTGGACAACCAGAGCTAAACCCGTGTGATTGGACAATCAGAGCTAAACTCGTGTGATTGGACAAACAACCAGAGCTAAACCCGTGTGATTGGACAAACAACCAGAGCTAAACCCGTGTGATTGGACAACCAGAGCTAAACCCGTGTGATTGGACAACCAGAGCTAAACCCGTGTGATTGGACAATCAGAGCTAAACCCGTGTGATTGGACAACCAGAGCTAAACCCATGTGATTGGACAACCAGAGCTAAACCCGTGTGATTGGACAACCAGAGCTAAACCCGTGTGATTGGACAATCAGAGCTAAACCCGTGTGATTGGACAAACAAGCTCTTTTGAACTTCTCTTAAACTTTAAATATTTATGTTCTTCTCCAGTAAAATACTTCTTAAATATTAAAAATTTTAAAACAACTTTTATAAAATATGTCTAAAAACAAATTTTTTATATATTCTAAACCATATTGCTGATATTTGCATTCAGTTTTTCGAATTCAACTTTTTTTCTCAGATATGAATGTTTTTTTTTAAGTTTTAAAATCTTGATTGAGAAAAATTTACCGAGCTAAACTATTCAAACGCTATTAATGAGGTTAAGATTTCGTGCTAAATACTTTGAGGTTAATGAAACAGATTGTTTAGTGGGAATTTAATTGATTGACAGTGTTCTTGCTAACCAAGAGACACTTTGATGGAATTTTCACAGACGTAAACAAATTCATTAAAAATAACTTGAAAATGTAAGTAATAAATATGTTTTAGATAAAATGTTAAAAGATTTTTCAATTTGAAAACAAATTTGTTTGTTTACTTTGATTAATTAAAAATGACATTAAAAAAACAGTGTTTAATAATGATTTTCTTTAATTTTTTAACATTGGGACAAACTTTTTATTTTACTGCAGCAGAAAAGACGGGTAATATAATGTGATTTAGAATGTGTATGTTTCTGTTGTAGCTTGACAGAGGTCAAACATACGAACACAATTAAAGATACTTCTCCAGTAAAGTGAAGGACTCAGGGACCCAGAAAGTTCTGTCAGCTAATACAGTAGTTTTCCCGTGATTCTTAAAACTCAGCTTCATCAACCTCTCTAGTGACTATACGCATAAGGCTGGACTTACGTGGATCTCTAGCTCTAGACTCAAGACCTAACTGAATCTCCAACTCTAGACCTAACATTGAATCCTAATGATGAATTATTATGTTTAATTTTGGAAAAATGCCGCTTTAGTTTGATTTTCAAAAGTAAACAAATGTACCAACAACTTAAATGTTCAAGTTTTGCATTTCAAGGGAAACAACTAAACACAGGTTAAATTTCCTCAGTTCTCTCCCTTAGATTAACAAACCTGCGTCACCTAGCTGAGGTTAGACTCCTTATAGAGATGTTAATTATGTTGCTAACGTAGAAAATATATTACAAATAATTTGATCACAAATTAGAATAATCGATTCTTTGATTTGTATAAGGAGATCAGTTGGAAGATAATAAATGTAATGATCATGTTACTTCCAGTGGTAGAACAGGAGACCACCCCCTCCCTCCCCCCCCCCCCCCCCCCCAAAAGAATATAGAGCCAGTCTAACTGAATTTTACGTCATTCAATAAATTAAAATATTTCCTAACTAAATTCAGGCCTGATGTAATCGTGTTTTAAAAACTTCGAGATATTTTTAAAGCTATTTTATACACGTGGAAAATTGTGAAAAGAGTAGCTTCGTATCTGGCAAGCCGCTCAAACGTATTGGGTTTTTTTTATTGCATTTACTTAACTTTTTTGAAGACATTTTTATACGTGTGTTAATCTTTAGTATGTCTTATTGTGATGATAATTAAGTGGAGTAATTGCTTTTTGATTTGTTTAGTACAAAAGTATTAAAATAAGTTTTTGGGCATCCCATTGGACTATTTAAAGAGGAGAGATAAGTCATGGAAAGGTTTGAAGGTGTTAGTTTCTGTAGAGCCATCACTGCTGTAGTAGATCTGTTTGTACAAAAACCATCAGTCTATCGAGATAAAAAAAAATATGGTCGGATTTTGGGCTACATAAACGGCCAGGCCTAACCATCCCCCCAACCCTTCTCCCGTTTTGCGTGGTCTTACGGTAGGGTAGTTCCGCCCCGGCTTATTTCTATTATTAGGATATTAATTTTATTAATTCATTTTCATGCTCCTTGAGATATTATTTAAATTAGGATATTATTAGGGTTTTTAGGATATTTCTTTGATAATTATTTAGGATATTATTTATGACATCAGATATTTTTTATTTTTAACATTCTGGAGAATATTTAGAAATTAGTTAGGATAATGATTAAGATATTGGTTAGGATATTGGTTACGATATTGGTTAGGATATTGGTTAGAATCAGGATATTGATAAGGATATTGGATAGGATATTGGTTAGAATTAGAATATTGATTAGGATATTGGTTAGGATATTGATTAGGATATTGGTTAGGATACACTGTTACCTACTAACCCTAAGACGGCGAGTAACCAGTTGAGGCGAGATAACTATCCTGTGTGGCTGAATCTCTCGTCAGTCGTGCGAAACTTTCGAGAAGTTTCTTCTAGTCAATAATTCAAAACGTTTTCTTTACTTCAGCTTTAATGGGTGCCCGGGACGGTCATTTAGACGGCTGGTTGATAGAATGGACGGCCATTTAGACGGCTGGCTGTATTACGTGCTGGTTGATAGAATGGACGGTCATTTAGACGGCTGGTTGATAGAATGGACGGTCATTTCGACGGCTGGTTGATAGAATGGACGGTCATTTCGACGGCTGGTTGATGGAATGGACGGTCATTTAGACAGCTGGTTGATAGAATGGACGGTCATTTAGACGGCTGGTTGATAGAATGGACGGTCATTTAGACGGCTGGTTGATAGCATGGACGGTCATTTAGACGGCTGGTTGATAGAATGGACGGTCATTTAGACGGCTGGTTGATAGAATGGACGGTCATTTAGACGGCTGGTTGATAGAATGGACGTTCAGTTAGACGGCTGGTTGATAGGATGGACGGTCATTTAGACGGCTGGTTGATAGAATGGACGGTCATTTAGACGGCTGGTTGATAGAATTGACGGCCATTTAGACGACTGGTTGATAGAATGGACGGTCATTTAGACGGCTGGTTGATAGCATGGACGGTCATTTAGACGGCTGGTTGATAGAATGGACGGTCATTTAGACAGCTGGTTGATAGAATGGACGGTCATTTAGACGGCTGGTTGATAGAATGGACGGTCATTTAGACGGCTGGTTGATAGAATGGACGGTCATTTAGACGGCTGGTTGATAGAATGGACGGTCATTTAGACGGCTGATTGATAGAATGGACGGTCATTTAGACGTCTGGTTGATAGAATGAACGGTCATTTAGACGGCTGGTTGATAGAATGGACGGTCATTTAGACGGCTGGTTGATAGAATGGACGGCCATTTAGACGGGTGGTTGTTGTAAGTGCTGGTTGATGGAATGGACGGCCATTTAGACGGCTGGTTGATAGAATGGACGGCCATTTAGACGACTGGTTGATAGAATGGACGGTCATTTAGACGGCTGGTTGATAGGATGGACGGTCATTTAGACGGCTGGTTGATAGAAAGGACGGTCATTTAGACGGCTGGTTGATAGAATGGACGGCCATTTAGACGGCTGGTTGATAGAATGGACGGTCATTTAGACAGCTGGTTGAAAGAATGGACGGCCATTTAGACGGCTGGTTGATAGAATGGACGGCCATTTAGACGGCTGGTTGTTATACGTGCTGGTTGATAGAATGGACGGCCATTTAGACGGCTATAAAGTTATCAAAACCTAGACAAGACAAAACAGAACTGGCTGACCATGTGAGATCTCTCTATACTTGAGCGGTTACATATTGCTTGCATGCACTAAGTTCTAGCCAGTACTTCTATATCACCCAAACCTTTACTGAACCCTAACTTAATTACATGCACACGATTTTAGCTGCAGCCAGTCAACGATTAGCCAAGCTAAATAGCTGAACCCTTAATGAATTAAATGCACTAGACCCTGTAGAAAGCTACACTGTGTTCAACCAACTACACACTCAGTGTAAATAATAAAACAAAGTGAAACATGAAGAGGAGTTTAGCTAATACTTGGCATATTGATCCAACACTTGTTTCATCCCTAAGTGCCCAGCTAGTCTCCGTTTTTGTCCTCAAGGGTATATTTAGGTCACCCAGCTCGGGAAATAAATATCAGCACAACTGAACCCTAATCTTGTCTGGTATTTAGAGTTAGCGGATTAAAGAACTGAACCCTAATCTTGTCTGATATTTAGAGTTAGTGGATTAAAGATGGAGTATAATTTTCTGGCATTTTTATTCATCCTCAACTGTAAATAAATGTCTTTTACATTTATTTCTCTTCTTAACAGACTCCGCGAAGTTTACTTTTATTTTCTCGACTTTACAAGATTCTTGATTTCTTTTTTGTGATTACGCATCACATTTTATTTTGAAATATTATTTGCATATATTAAATATTTTTCATCAAATATTAAGTAAAATAATTTTCATATTCTCAAATTGTAACGTACGCAATATTAAATTACTCAACTTAAAATCTTTTGATTAATTGAAAATGTTTAAATGTGTGTGTATCACTCTTGCAAGTTTGATTAATTGAAAATGTTTAAATTTGTGTGTATCACTCTTGCAAGTTAAATTTGTTATCAAGTCACAATAATTTTTTGAGGTTATTTTTTACATAAAGTCATTTGTATTTTTAAAGCTGATTCTAAAGTACTTGGTGGAGCGTTAATTAAAGCGTCACTTCATTAGTGGATAAAATATTTTTAAAATAAAATATTGGTTTAAAAAATGTTCGACAGTGAATATATTTTATATTTCATGTATAAAAAGTCGTAATGGACTGAGCGAACTGTGCTGTCGGGTGGTAGAGCACACATGTGCTAACCTGAAAGTCTTGAGTTCGTAATACGGACTCTAGTCTGTATGAAGTCCCTGAGTTCACCCAGCTCTGATGGGTACCTGACCGTATGACGTTCCTGAGTTCACCTAGCTCTAATGGGTACCTGACTCAGTGAGCAGTCAAACTAAACGCGCCATGGCATAGTGCTGATGGCCATACTATCCTTTCATATGCCGAGTTCACTGAACCAGGTGAACTCTACTTCACCCGACCCAAGCCAGTCGGTGTATTTGCCTTTCTTTTTATTCGATGAAATACAGTAAAAACTAAACAATGTAGTCTACATTAAACTCCATTTTTGTAGATACATACATGACTACCATGGAAATGTCCTTGAAAATATTTTACCTTCTATGTTACATTTTAACACTTGTCATGGTATGATTCTACTTATATCAGTCGTGTTACGTTGTTTCACTCAAATGCTAACTCTGTTCCCGATAACTGGACCGCTCTGGCCGTCCAGAGATTAGCCGTCTAGTGTAGTGTAGCGTTGTTGTAATGAAAGTGACCCCTACTTGACAGCTCTGGCCGTCCAGAGGTTGGCCGTCCAGAGATTAGCCGTCTAGTGTAGTGTAGCGTTGTTGTAATGAAAGTGACCCATGCTTGACAGCTCTGGCCGTCCAGAGGTTGGCCGTCCAGAGATTAGCCGTCTAGTGTAGTGTAGCGTTGTTGTAATGAAAGTGACCCCTACTTGACAGCTCTGGCCGTCCAGAGATTGGCCGTCTAGTGTAGTGTAGCGTTGTTGTAATCAAACTGACCCCTACTTGACAGCGGTGGCCGTCCAGAGGTTGGCCGTCCAGAGATTAGCCGTCTAGTGTAGTGTAGCGTTGTTGTAATGAAACTGACCCCTACTTGACAGCTCTGGCCGTCCAGAGGTTGGCCGTCCAGAGATTAGCCGTCCAGAGATTAGCCGTCTAGTGTAGTGTAGCGTTGTTGTAATCAGACTGACCCCTACTTGACAGCTCTGGCCGTCCACTGTGAGGTGGCCAACTACGAGTACGTGGCCACCAACAGAACAGGTTTGAAGATGCTGCCCCTAGCAGAACATCACGTGACCAGCACCATGATCAACTGTGCCTCCAAATGTGCCATCAGCAAAAACGACTGCCGGAATCTCATGTATGACCAGACCACTGGCGTTTGTACCCTCGGTAGGTATACATATAAATAACACATACAGACATACACGCATATATATAACACATACACACACATACACACACATATAAAACACATACAGACATACATACACACATATATAAAACACATACACACACATACACACATATAAAACACATACAGACGCATACACACACACATAAGACACATACACTCATATAAAACACATACATACACATATACACACACATATAAAACACATACACACACATATAAAACACATTCACACATACATACATATATAAAACACACACATACAACACAAGTATAATACGTACACACACGTATACGGTCACCCTCACATCATGACCCACGGGTCACCCTCACATTATGACCCATGGGTCGCCCTTACATTATGACCCATGGGTCACCCTCACATCATGACCCATGGGTCGCCCTTACATTATGACCCATGGGTCACCCTCACATCATGACCCACGGGTCACCCTCACATCATGACCCATGGGTCACCCCCACATCATTACCCACGGGTCACCCTCACATCTTGACCCACGGGTCACCCTCACATCTTGACCCACGGGTCACCCTCACATCACGACCCATGGGTCACCCTTACATTATGACCCCACTCTTGTTCATTTCCTGACTTTACTGTGTGGTTCTAACAACACTGTACAACTAACAATAAAAAACGTAAAGATTCCACTATAGACCTAACGATCAATTGGGCAGATGAAGTGGAGTTCATATGTTTCTATAAAGAGATAATTTGGTCTGCACTCTGCCCAACCCCAGGTCACTGGATGATTCCAGAAAACCGTGTCGACGTGTCAGTCCCTCAGCCACCACCCGAGGCCAAGTATTTCTCCTTGGACAAGACGTTCTGTCAAGTCAATGAGACGGTCAACTTCATCGGCAATGGCAGGATGGGATCTTGTAACACTGCTGCTTGTCTAGGTATGGGATCTTGTAACACTGCTGCTTGTCTAGGTATGGGATCTTGTAACACTGCTGCTTGTCTAGGTATGGGATCTTGTAACACTGCTGCTTGTCTAGGTATGGGATCTTGTAACACTGCTGCTTGTCTAGGTATGGGATCTTGTAACACTGCTGCTTGTCTAGGTATGGGATCTTGTAACACTGCTGCTTGTCTAGGTATGGGATCTTGTAACACTGCTGCTTGTCTATGGGATCTTGTAACACTGCTGCTTGTCTAGGTATGGGATCTTGTAACACTGCTGCTTGTCTAGGTATGGGATCTTGTAACACTGCTGCTTGTCTAGGTATGGGATCTTGTAACACTGCTGCTTGTCTAGGTATGGGATCTTGTAACACTGCTGCTTGTCTATGGGATCTTGTAACACTGCTGCTTGTCTAGGTATGGGATCTTGTAACACTGCTGCTTGTCTAGGTATGGGATCTTGTAACACTGCTGCTTGTCTATGGGATCTTGTAACACTGCTGCTTGTCTAGGTATGGGATCTTGTAACACTGCTGCTTGTCTAGGTATGGGATCTTGTAACACTGCTGCTTGTCTAGGTATGGGATCTTGTAACACTGCTGCTTGTCTATGGGATCTTGTAACACTGCTGCTTGTCTAGGTATGGGATCTTGTAACACTGCTGCTTGTCTAGGTATGGGATCTTGTAACACTGCTGCTTGTCTATGGGATCTTGTAACACTGGTGCTTGTCTAGGTATGGGATCTTGTAACACTGCTGCTTGTCTAGGTATGGGATCTTGTAACACTGCTGCTTGTCTAGGTATGGGATCTTGTAACACTGCTGCTTGTCTATGGGATCTTGTAACACTGCTGCTTGTCTAGGTATGGGATCTTGTAACACTGCTGCTTGTCTAGGTATGGGATCTTGTAACACTGCTGCTTGTCTAGGTATGGGATCTTGTAACACTGCTGCTTGTCTAGGTATGGGATCTTGTAACACTGCTGCTTGTCTAGGTATGGGATCTTGTAACACTGCTGCTTGTCTAGGTATGGGATCTTGTAACACTGCTGCTTGTCTATGGGATCTTGTAACACTGTTGCTTGTCTAGGTATGGGATCTTGTAACACTGCTGCTTGTCTAGGTATGGGATCTTGTAACACTGCTGCTTGTCTAGGTATGGGATCTTGTAACACTGCTGCTTGTCTAGGTATGGGATCTTGTAACACTGCTGCTTGTCTAGGTATGGGGTCTTGTAACACTTTGACCATTACAACTATTACACATGTAAGTAGCATACATCACATACACCTATTATTTTCTCCCACCCAGAGCAAAACTCTGTGATTGTAAACAAAAGCAATGTGATTTACAACACATCAACTTACAAGTCATGCATGGATCTGAGGAACTCCAGCAACCCCAGACAACTTTTACAACTGTCGTCTGGTCTTGTCGTCATGTGTGACACAGTGACAGATGGAGGGGGCTGGACAATTTTCCAACGTCGCGTCTCCGGTGTCGTGGACTTTTACCGCAACTGGGAGGAATACAAACACGGGTTCGGAGACTTCGACGCTGGAGAATTTTACCTGGGCAACGAAAACATTTACTGTCTGTTGAACAGATCACACGAGCTAAGAGTCGACTTTACCTACCTAGGCCAAACGTACTACGTCTCTTATTCAGTTTTTAAACTGTCGAACGAGAGTGAGTTCTACAGACTTTATCTTAGTGGATTCTCGGGTAACGGCACGAGAATTCTGGAAGACAACAGCAACCGCTGGTTCGCAACCTACGACAGGGCTTATGACAGCAGCGGCATCTACTGCGCCACTTGGCTCCAAGGGGGGTGGTGGTACTCTGGGTGTGGCTACACCAATTTGAACGGGGTCTGGTCGAACCGAGAGTTCATGAAAGGCTTGATTTGGTACTACATCACACAAGATAAAAATAGAATTAACACATCTGAGATGAAAATTAGGCCCTTGTAATTCTCAATTAAATATAATTGCATTATTTTTGGCCTTTTTTGATTAATCGTATTTAATACTATGACACTTTTTTCGAGTTTTTTTTAAACAATTTTTAAATATACTTAGTAGTTGTTGTAGTTTCAGTTAGCCACAGCTTTCCAGTCAAAAAATGGTTTCTTCAACTGTCCACAGTGGTAACCCATCTTTCGTGTTCTAGTTTATCCAACTGTCCCCAGTGGTAACCTATCTTTCTTGTGCTAGATTCTCCAACTGTCCCCAGTGGTAACCTATTTTTCGTGTGCTAGTTTATCCAACTGTCCCCAGTGGTAACCTATCTTTCTTGTGCTAGTTTATCCAACTGTCCCCAGTGGTAACCTATTTTTCGTGTGCTAGTTTATCCAACTGTCCCCAGTGGTAACCTATCTTTCGTGTGCTAGTTTATCCAACTGTCCCCAGTGGTAACCTATTTTTCGTGTGCTAGTTTATCCAACTGTCCCCAGTGGTAACCTATCTTTCTTGTGCTAGTTTATCCAACTGTCCCCAGTGGTAACCTATTTTTCGTGTGCTAGTTTATCCAACTGTCCCCAGTGGTAACCTATCTTTCGTGTGCTAGTTTATCCAACTGTCCCCAGTGGTAACCTATCTTTCTTTTGCTAGTTTCTCCAACTGTCCCCAGTGGTAACCCATCTTTCGTGTGCTAGTTTATCCAACTGTCCCCAGTGGTAACCTATCTTTCTTGTGCTAGATTCTCCAACTGTCCCCAGTGGCAGGGGCGTAGCGAGGGGGGGGGCGGGGGGTGCGGACCGCACCGGGTGACACCATTTAGGGGGGTGACACCAAGGCAAAAAATAGCAAAATATATAGAGAAAAACTCGAGGGGGGGGGGTGGAAATCGAAAGTTTGAGGGGGGGGGGTGCAAATCGAAAACTCGAGGGGGGGGGGGGTGCAAATCGAAAATTTGAGGGGGGGGTGCAAATCGAAAATTTGAAAGTTTGTCCCTGGGAAGGGTCTCTATGCCTCTGGGGGGGTGACACCATTAAGTGCCGCACCGGGTGACACCCGACCTCGCTACGCCACTGCCCAGTGGTAACCCATCTTTCTTGTTCTAGTTTCTCTAGAAACACGTCACTCATTTACTTTCTTTAAACTTTTTAAACATATATTTGTTGAAAGCTATTTTAAAGACATTTTTACAGGTTTTATGCACATTAGAAGATGGTTTTTCGTCAGATGAAATGTTTATGTCACATGTGCTTGTACAATCATTTATCGTTAAGTAAACAACACAGTATCAAATTGATCATTATTCTTTGATTCCACAGTAAAGGCACATTTTTACAATTTTGCAACACCAAAAACGATTTTTGTAATAATGAAGTTAATTTGTGTTGAATAAAACATTATCCGAGACGCTTAATGCTACTTTAATTGAAATTTGTTACATTTTAAAAAATGTATTTCTTTACTTATGTAGGAGAACTAAAATAATTGTGTTCATGTAGTGATGGTGTTTTAGTAGTTTTATATATTGTGGTGTTGACAAGTTAAGTTTAATTTTTTACATTCGATGTATTTCTTGAATTTCTTGTATATTTTGTATTTCTTAAATTTCTTGTATTTCTTGTATTTCTTGTATTTCTTGTATTTCTTGCATTTCTTGTATTTCCTGTATTTCTTACAGTCCTATTTCTTATATTTCTTATATTTCTTGTATTTCTTGTATTTGTAATATTTCTTAAATTTCTTGTATATCTTGTATATCTTGTATTTCTTGTATTTCTTGTATTTCTTGTATTTCTTGTTTATCTTGTATTTCTTAAATTTCTTGTATTTCTCGTATTAAATGTGATGAAACGTATTGACCTCGTGTTTTTTTAACATTATGTTTACCTATTCACCCAACACCACCATCAGATGATGTTTTGGTTTTCCCTCAATAGAAAGCCATAAGCTGCATGATAAAAGCACAATAGAATTGTTTGACTGTCTTCTTCATTGGGGGTGTGTAAGACGGGTATCACGTGACCATTGCACGTGCTGACCAGCTTTGTTTTAGAAATGAAAACCTCGAGGCTATGACGTCAGGATAAGAATAGAATTGACCACAAATGTTTTAGAACCCACAACCTCGACCCAGCTTGGTGCAGATATTGACCGGATGTTTGGGTTTCCCAGTTTATTTATAGCTCGATTGGTTGTTTGAAACTGTGATGGTCACTGTCATCATAGGATTTAGGTCAAGCTAAGGTCATGTAAGGTCAAAGTAGGTTAAGTCTCTCTCTCTCTCTCTCTCTCTCTCTCTCTCTCTCTCTCTCTGTCTCTCTCTCTCACACACACGTACACGCACACTCTATGTGACGCCTTCTGTTTCTGTTATTCTAATAATTTAATGATTTTCGGTTGAATTACAATATCCCAAACTTTAATCAAGTACACCAAAATTATAGGGTAATAAAGTCTATTCTACTTAGTCGAATGGGTGACATATACAAGACAATAGCACAATCTCTAGAATACATACCCTAACATAATCCACTACACAAATCTACAATCCTAATATATAAAAGCCCATGTGCGCACTTCTCTCTCTCTCTCTCTCTCTCTCTCTCTCTCTCTCTCTCTCTCTCTCTTCTCTCTCTCTCTCTTTGGCAACGTCGTCAGCATGTTCAGCGATATATGGAGAACTTAAAGATACGGACTTTTGTTGAAAATATTATGGTGAATGGTATAAAGGTATAAACTAAATTTTATTTCATGGAGGAAAATAAAAATAAAGGCATATTCGAATGTAGAAACAGATTTCTAACTAAAGCGTTTATTGTCGTGTCAAGAACGCAATAAACAATGACGTCACATGATACATGTTTAAACTGAGGATAGAACACAAAACTAATGGCGCCATCTTCAAATTTTAAATATAAAGAAATGAACTATTTCATTCAAAATTTATTTAGCTCTACAGATCCTCTTATCAAGACTTACGATATGAAATGTATACAATTTTCTCGGCCTAAACTAATTAGTTTGAAAAACAACAAAAAAATCATTGAACAGCCGGGTTTATTAACGGAATCATTTGAGTCTCTTGTTTAGTGTGTGCATTTAATATGGTGTTGTGTTGACTAATAATGTATAGCCTATAATTTGGTTTTAATTTTTCTAACAGATATTGGTAGCCTATGTTATTTTTAATGTGTCGGATTTTCAGCTATTTAGTTATTTCTTTGCTTTGTTCAACGTATAGTAAAGCACATTGCGTTTTGATCAATAACTATTTTATAAAATATTTATCTTAAACAAGTATAACAATAAAAATATATAGGCCTATAATTCACGTGTAACGGGTACCGGCGGCTAGTGGTAGTAAAAAATACAGAAGTCAGACGTTAAAGTGCACTGTCTTTTAGTTTATACTTTCATCCATCCTTATTTTCTGGTATAAATACTAGACCAACTGGACCACAATAACAACACGACAGACAACAAACTGGACCACAATAACAACATGACAGACAACTGGACCACAATAACAACATGACACACAACTAAACGGACCACAATAACAACACCAACGGCTGACAACAACTCACCACACGAGCAGTGAACTGTGTTGGTAAAACAAGTTCACAAACACATCAACATGACCCCAACCTCGCCTAATCTCGCGGAGTCTCGGCCTGCTACTCCAGTACAGAAAGAAACATCACGGAACGACAAGTCATTCTTCATCAAACTTGAAGGTATGTACAAGTTTTCAACAATCTTATTGTTATCGGCCGCAGTCATCTGTTAACAGTCGTATGACATTAATTGAAGTAACATTGCTTTAAGTCAACTAGCTCCCGAGTGTTAGCACTGTTACAGCGTTTCCTTGTGTCAACATAAGTACCCGGGTGTAATTTTACTCAGGTTAAGTAGGCCTACAATGTTTTATCATCGATGCGTCGATAGTTTATGTCTTATGTGACATGTGTCTTCTCGATAAAGAGCTCCTCTGTATTTACTAGGATAAGATGTTTTTTGTGACCCCTTCTCTTCCCACACACACCGACACCCCCACCTCACACACAAAACCCGGGATCTCTCTGAATCATTGTCAGCCTTTTCTGAACTTGTTGGGTGTACTGTGATATAGATATAGCGAAATGTATAACATCTACATGTGTGGTACAACATCTACATGTGTGGGTGGTACAACATCTTCATGTGTGGTACAAATTCTACATGTGTGGTACAACATCTACATGTGTGGGTGGTACAACATCTACATGTGTGGTACAACATCTTCATGTGTGGTACATCTACATGTGTGGTACAACATCTACATTTGTGGTACAACATCTACATTTGTGGTACAACATCTACATGTGTGGTACAACATCTACATGTGTGGTACAACATCTACATGTGTGGTACAACATCTACGTGTGTGGTACAACATCTACATGTGTGGTACAACATCTACATGTGTGGTACAACATCTACATGTGTGGGTGGTACAACATCTACATGTGCGGGTGGTACAACATCTACGTGTGTGGTACAATATCTACGTTTGTGGTACAATATCTACGTTTGTGGTACAATATCTATAAAATGTACCACACCCCGTTCCACAACAACTAGAACTTTACCCATCCCCTCCCCTTCCACACACACTCCACCACAACTAAAAATATCACACCACTCCTCCCCCCCCCCTCTTTCCAGTACCACAACTAGAACTTTACTAACACGTACTCTACCACAACTAAAAAGTATATTCACAAAGTGTATCTAGAAAACTTTGGATGAGGACCGTCTATTATCGCATGGGTTCATCATATGTAGAAGTCTGAGTTCCGCTTATGTGCGCATGCGTGCGTTCGTTTGGAATCTGTCAATACATATTGACCTGGGTTAACTCGATGTACAGATCAATAAGTGGGTGCAGGTCTGTGTGACACAGGGGAGCTTATACAGTAGATTCAATGTGACAGGGTTGTACTCAGTTTGGGGCGGTTCGATGGGGTGGGGTA